CCCCCCCCCTCCCCTTCGAAAAATGTTGAGTAACCCACGCAAATGCTTTTGCACTAGTGGCATGCAATCCACGCACCATAAATACCTCCTAAATCTTTGTGTGTGAACCTATTTTTCACCTCAATTGCTCCTAAATAGGGTTTAAGGGCAATCCACTTATAGTAGTAAATTCTTGGGAACAAGATATTTGGTTCTATTGCAAAAAAAATTTAGAAAAATGTCGATCAAATAAAATCGAATTGACAGTTTGTGTGAATGTAGATCCGAATTTTTTTATTCTGCTCAAAACACCTGCCAAAAATTGTAATCTGAAGACAAGTTGAATAAATGGACTTTGGAAAGGCCACTCAAGTTAAAAAGAAGTGCAACCCTTTTTAAACTACTCAGTTGAATTTGAAAAACCAGTATCCCCCCCCCCTTCCCTTCTGTCCTCCTCCTCGTCTGTGGGAGCCCATATCTGGAAAAGTCATGCAGGTACATAGCAAGTGCTCAACCCTCAAGCTATCACTGCTTTTCGTGTCTATCTATAAATCCAATCTATCGTTAAGTAATAACCCACTCCTCCCCCCCCCCCTTTATTTATGACAGTTTGGGTCAAATATAAAAATTGTACTTGTACTACAAAAGTGCGTGACCCAAATTTTGGGCCGCCCTAAATCCACAAAATTTCAAAAGATTTTCTTCTTGCTAAAAAAAACCCTTTGAAAATGTTTTTCAATCTGCAAAAGCAAATTTTGATTTACTGGAAAGAAGTTTGATTGCAAAATTGAGTTGAGATTACGATAGTGCTTTCCATCAGGACTACAAGTTGTAGCTGTCTTACATTATAAATTACAAGGATCTTCTTTGAACATAAATTTTGTCTCAAAAATCAATAAGCTAGGTCCCCCTTCAAAGTGCAAAATGTCACAAACGTTCATCAATCTCAAGCTGCTCCACTCTGCTACCTCCCACTCCCATTATCTTCGAGCAAACCCACATCCTATTTGAGGCTAATTAAGCGGGAAAAGTCTAAGATCTGAGATTGCAGGGAAGTGGGGGGGGGGAGGGATGGAGGAAATTTTTGCTTAATCTTTACTGAGGATGGAAACACACCATTGAAGTTCCGCTAAAAGTTAGTAATTTCTCAAAGGGAATTCTGAAATTTTTAGTTTTTGACTTTTTGGAATTGAAGACAAAAAATCAATTTTCATTGTTTTATGAGAGTAAGATAGATCAAGGAGGGGGGGGATAGGGAAAACTTGATCCCCCCTCCCTTCTCTCGTTCCCCCAACTCCAGAACTTTCAGAAATTAGTCTTGGAAGCTCTAGCAGCTCTTCTCAAAGCGTGACTGATTCACTTCCTTCGCAACTTGCAGCAGTTGCAGTTTTTTTTCTCTAAAACCCCCTCAGCTTCCCCCCCCCTATTCTCTCCCACGCGTTCATCATAAGGTGGACGAACCACACTATTGTTCCCTAAGGGTAATAAATCATGAATGGTGCAGAGACAGGGGAGGAGAGCACAAACAAAAGTTGAAAACACTTAATATTTTGAATTTTCAGGTTTTTGACTTAGAAATTTCTTACAGACCAAATTTTTGTACCCCCCCCCCCTCTTCACGTCACACACCCCTCTATGGAACACGTGTGCCATTAACAAGATTTCATTATTAGATTTCACTTTCTACTACTTACGAAGACCTTGATTGAAGCTTTGAAAGCGCTTACGTTTCTAATCTGTACAAAGGTAAAAACTCTTAAAAGGGCGATTAATGCGTATTGTTGAAAAGTATTGACGCAATGACACTAAATGCAACAATTAACCTTTGCTCAGTGATGATATTCGACCACATTTACAGTAGATGTACATTCTATAATAAGTTAAGAGGCTGTGTGACCTTAAAATATTACATCAGAAATTGTCGAACTTAATCGGACCAAAACAACAGGGGGGGGGGGGTGGGAGGGAATGAGTCCCAAGCAGCTTACATAGTGTAAAAGAAAAGCAGCCCTGGGCCATTATCCAGTCAACAAAGGCAATTCAGTAAGATTTATGATATTGCATAAGAGAGTTGGATGACGTGGTTGAGTTTCCCAAGAATTTCGCCGTCTTATTCGTGGAAGATTGTGTACTAGTTAAGAAAGGCATGATATCTTAAGGTTTCAATTTTGTGAAGTCAAAGATTATCATGAAAAGTTATGTAGGCTAAAAAGAAGAAACATTCTGTAACCACTTAGTTGATCAGTTACTTCCGTCATCAATATATTGATCAATTATTGCGCCGATCAATATATCGATCGGTTTTTGCATCCTCCATCAGGCCGGAAATTCTGCTAGCATGAGTGACAACGAATTTTGCGCGTGTTTTTGTGGCTTTCTCTAAGAAAAGGCTGAAGGATGAATAAGGGGTGCACGGAGCAACAAAATTATCAAAAAAGATTTAAAAAAATTATTTAGCTCAAAAAGAGGCGACAAAACGCTGTGCATCTGACATATAGATTAAAAATATTGATTGATTACTAGTGTGTCAATCAGTATATCGATCAGGTGCATTGCCGCGCTCTTTTTGATTGATTGCTGCGTCGCAATCAATATATTGATTGATTTTTGCTCTCGTTCGAATTACTACGAATATTATTGCTAACAAATTTGTTCCTATATAGTGATACTTTCCTAAGAAATAAAAAGGGAAAGCGGGCGAAAGAGTACGAGAAAGAATAGAGGAAACCCTCTAATATTGAAGTTTCTGGGTTTGTGTTGTATCCGCTGACATATCATTCTTTCCATCAGTGAAAATCCATTCTGTCTCAAATGTCTTTGTACACCTGATTTACACTGATTACACCATGATTTATAATTGTTGTTCACGTCCTTTACGTCACAGATGTTCATGAGAACATCAAATTGAATGACTAACATATCTTAAGCCCCGTTCTATTATCAATCAACTGATGCAAATCGATTGAGGAACAAAAATTCAAATCTTCGGGTACATCATGAGCTATATGGACTAAATTAGCAATGAAATATTTTTGTGTATATGACTTTTCGACAAGCTAAATGACTCAAACGACTCAAAGGTTTTGCATATATTCGATCAATAAACTAATCGATAATTGACCGATTAGAGTGATTCATCCCGTCATTGTAATTGTAAAATCCCACTGTGCACAGAAATATACAAATTCGGTGAATTCATATAAATCATGCGTTAGTGGGGGCAATGGAACTACGAACGTTAAACTGTTACGGTGTAACGATCGATCACTATATCGATTGACACATGTTTGAATTCGTACGGTATATCACGCATCAATCAATAAACGATCGATACTAGTTGGACTGGTACGGTACATATCTATTCATCATTAGATGATCAATAGGCGTTTAAACTGGTGCGGCACATCACTTCAATCAATACATTGATCGATAGTTTAAGTATATACAGGAGATTATGCATCAATCAGTATATCGGTCTATATGTGTTCAAACTAGACGAAACGGAGGGAAAAAGTGATACTTATGGTTCTTTCTTTTATTATTACCTTTTGTTGCATTGACCATATTTTTTAATCAGATTTGATTATCATGAGCAAAAAGACTTATCTGTTGAGCAATATATCGATCGATGCGAGCTCAAGGTGTACGATATATTGTCTATCAATCAATATATCGATCCAAACAAATTCATCTACTTGTTTGATGGTTGGAAGACATTTGGCGAAATTTAACATATTTTTGAAGGACTTTGAGCATACTTTGATCCCCTTTTCTCTTTACACTTATAAAATCTCGTCTGCATGTGAGAATATCATCAGCTAGCGCATCAATATCATCATGTAAACTGAACATCTGGCCTAAATGCCGTCAGTTCGGCTTATGACATTCGCTATCAGTGCAATCTCAGAGCAACTGCGATAACTTCACCGCTTTGTCACACGAAGCAATGAGGAAGCGCCTCTTGTCGATGATGGGTGGACGGGGAGGACGGGGCCCTCGGATGATAGTCCTCTCGCCCCCGACGAACGACGAGGCAGCGGCCGTATCTCGTCGTCGCCGTCGCTGTGCCCGTCGTGGGGGGCGGAGCCGTTGGCCAAGCTCACAAAGCGCAACGAAATGGAAAAGCTCTAGAGGAGAGTGTGTGTGCGAGTGGCGCACATGCTCGAACCGACGCATGTGACGCTCATCGTCAACGGTGAGAACTCGTCTGCGCAGGTGATGACCGCAAAATGTGCCACCGCGGCTCCGGTGACGGCAGCGGCGGTGGCGGTCGAGGACGAGTTCCGCGTGCCGTTCACCATGCACTGTACTCCGCCACGTTCTTCGGGCGATGAGCAATCGACTGGCGATTCGACGGAACTTATTCAACGGCCCTATATTCGGAAAGTCGATCCGAAAATGCGCCATATGACGAGGAGAACTTCGCATACACTGCTCTATGTGCCGGAACAACGCCGAGTTAGCAATGTGTCCGGCAATTCCGTTGCCAGTTGTCCTTGTCCAAGCGAAGTCGGCAAAAAAGCCGACTTGGCTCCTCTGCCTCCCCGTTTCAGCCTAAATCTCAGTCCCACCAATTCTCGAAGGAAAAGCGTCCAGACTGGAGCTCCTGCTATCGGTTTTCGTCCGCTGAAGTCTTTCGAGCGACGGGCCAGTCAACCAACGCTACAGTTCGACCTTCAGACAAGGATTATTGAGCCTCCGCCGGAGCCTGTGGATAAGTCGAAGATGCTTACGAAGCGGGTCAGCTGGCTGTCGATGAAGAGCCTACAGGACGGGGAGAAGTCGTCCGCACGTCGGACGAGTTCGCCGTCGAAGGGTGCTGATTCGCGATCGGCTAGTCAATACGGTAGTCAGAGTCAGTTATACGGGGATTACGGGGAACATGATTTCGACAGCGATACGCCTCCGCTGGATACTTTGAGTTGGAGTAATGCAGGCAGTAAGTACCGTAGTCATTATTTTGAAGGACTTATGTGGATGTTATTGATTGATTTTCCAGTTCTTAATTTTTCATGTTCCAGACGAGTACGACAATGTGACGTTGATGTATGCCAAACATGAGAAAATTCCAATGAAAGATTTCGGTTCCGAAATTCGTGCCACCATGGATATTGATCATTTACTGAACAAAGCTGTACTTCTACTTGATCTGCAAGAAACAAGCCTTGAGGAAATCTTTGCTAAGTAAGTTTTACCCGATTATTTGCTGACTTATTGACGTCAATTTGCTCTCGGCTGTCATGTCAGATCCATCAATTACCTCGTTTTTGGCATTCTCTTGGGATTCTATTGCTTTATTTTCTTGCTTTTCCATTCTAGGTCTTCTTAATTCTGAAAATGAGAAATTTTTTTTCATTTTCAACTGTTAAGAGGAATGGAAAATTTGGAAGATTTGTGCCAGGGTAGAATTTTCTAAAAATTTTGCGTTTGATGCATTTTCAAGAAAAACATTTACACGAACACGTTCTCTATTTTTTCTATTATTTCGTTTTCTATTTTTCCATTTTCAACTATCAATTAGGCATGGTTTCTGAAAAATTGCATTTGAGATTGCATATTTTTTAGAAGAACTTTTATATAAATACGTTTTTTAATTTCCGGAGCTGAATTTTGGATTAGATGGATTCTCGTTCTATTATCACTATCTTCCCAATTTTGAAAAAAAATTCCAAAATGGACGTCAAAAATTCTAAAAAAATTATTTGGCCAGGAAATTTTTTTTAATCTTTACGCTCTTATGCACTTTTTGAAACAACGTCAACACATATTCTAATTTTTCAATTATCAGCTTCGCGAATTCTGAAAATTCTGTGCAAAATTTTCCGTTTCACCGAAAACTATCGGAAAATCGTCGTTTGGATTTTATTGGAATTATGGTGCAGATTTCTTTGTTCTAATAAAATTTTTGGGGACTTTTCAGCCTTCGCATTTTTTCGAAATTTTTGTGCAAAATCTTCCTGTTTCATCTACAGGTTAAAAATTTTGGCAGTCAGTTCTTGAGTTGATTAAGAGGATGTGGTTAAGTGTAATCTGCTCTTTCGTTACCGTATACACTGTTATCAAAACTGGATATTGCGCCTAAATAATTGAATTCCTCAATCCCCACAAATCTACAAAAATTCTCCTTCCTCCATTTTGCGATATTTTTGTTCAATCTAAAAAGGTCCTAAATTTGACATAATTTATTTTGCACCCTTACCAAATCGTAAATATCGTCTTAATTCTATTTATACCTTTTATGGGTTCTTTACACTTATTGACGAGCATTTAACCCTTTTTTTTCATTTTTCATGCTTTCTCCTAATTCCATTCCCCCACTCCCCCTGCCCTCCTCTCATTGTTCTTTCGATCCCCATCGCCCTTATTTTCATTCTCTCCTCTGCTTACTGATGGGCATTACTTCTACAAAATAATCGCTCGCTGGTTTTGATGACAGCGCGTCCCTGGGGAGAAAGGGGGGGGGGGGGGGTGTGCTGGGCCGAGTCGCCGAGGGTAGAGTCTTTGAGTGCATGTTCTATACATAATAGGATCATTAGTGGACAATACGAGGATGACGGGGGCAAGAAAAGAGCGGGGGGGGGACATATCGGCAAAATCTAGAGTTTAGACTTCCCTATCTGGTAAACTTCCAGGTCTTGCGCGTAGGTAACTTACTTAGGGTAAAGAACTTTGTGACGTAGGCCAAGATTTAATCTGTACCTGTTTACAACTTTGGAAGCGGCTTGAAAGGCTTCCTTCGAATCTATTCTCTAAGGGCACATTCCTTTATGGGAAACGATGGGGTTGGAGGAGGGAGGGGGCTAAGTAGGGCTGGCTTCTACAATCACAAAAGGGCCATGATTGAACTTCTCAGCCTTCTAGTGGTAATTTAATTCCACTCAAAAATTGACGAACGAGAGTTCTCACTAGTCATGTTGCTCTTTTCGAATTAAAGTACATTCGGGCAACTGTCGCTCTTTCTGAGGGCGCTGAGATAGGGGTGAAGTAGTAGAGGGCGAGATTTAAGGAGGGGGGGGGGGGGGAGATTAATATGAATTTCTTTGAGAATTCTATTGGCTTAGGAGGTTTTGGAGAGGCGGGGAAGGGAAAAAGTAGTACTTTGAATATGTTATGACAAAGCTAAATTGTTTGCGATCGTTTACTCGGCTAATGCCGATTTATTTGTCCCCTCCCCCTTTCTTTACCATTTCCCTCTCTCTCTCGATTCTTGCTACGAGCCATGGATTGCTATTTTTGAAAAGATCTACACTATGGGAATTAAATGGGATTTGCTCTATGCCAGATTGAAAGACCCCTATATTTTCAATCGCTCAAGGCACAGTTTTGGGCTCTGGGAATGTGGAAGCTTTAATCCAAATATGGCTTGATTTCGATACCATGTGATTTTGTCATTTGGATAAAAGTCAAGATTCGGGTAAATGAACATTCGCGGCTCAAAAACACATTTTTGAGGGATCAAACTAATCTCAAAATTGCGCTCATTTTTCATATTCTCTAGCTTTGTGCCTATCGATGGTCATAATCCACTACTGCGCAAATAATTAGCCAGGGAATCTAGGCCTTACCTCCCCCCCTCCCGTAATGATGTTATTGATTTGAATTTTTGGAACCCAGAGTTACCTCCCAAAGTTGGGACCTAAAGAGAACTAAGATAGTTTTCAAAATACCCCATTTACAAGCTGAAATTCGTGCCTATATATGGTCGTATTAGTCCATTACTGGAGCAAAAAAAAATTGAAAAAATAATCACGTAAACTCTAATCTTCTCCCCTCCCCCCTCGCAAAAATAATATTATCTTGAAAATTTTGGACTTAGGATCATCAGTCGTCCTCGAAAGAATGAGACTCAGAAATGAGCCGTTTTTGATGGTTACTGCGCTTTGTAAATGGTCATAGTCGACTCTTCTGACACATATAAGTGCCCGGAGGAGACATTTATCTTATTTTATTCGTTTGAAACCCTCTCCCCCTCTCCCTCCTCCGTATGTCCAATATTGATTTGACATATTTCGAATTTTCTAGTTCCGCTTCCAATATGAAGAAGCGAGCAACGAGGCGCATCCTAATTTCATTTGCTAATTTTCTTCCGCTTCTTCAAGGGCCATCGGTCTCGCTTGCACATCCGCTTGGCTACATATGAGCCCAATTCATTCATCGTCCTTCGTATTCCCAAGCGACCCACTACGGGAAAACTCGGATGTCGTATTGGAGACGGAAAAATACGTCCAAAAGCAATCACAGACTAAACATGTGGGACCTCGGCCCAAAATGGCTCTGCTTCGGCGGCTCTTTAGCCGGCGGCGGAAAGGGAAACGACACGACGAGTGAGTGAAAGCCGCCACTCGCTTCCAACCACCACCTATTTACGGGGGAGAATTTATTGTGGGGCCATTTGGGGCCATTTGTGGTTTAGTCGATTAGTTTCGGGACGATTCTGGAAGTTTCAGACTCTTTGCACTAAGGGCTTGTGCGTGCTGTGCCCAAAGGAAAAGAGAGTTATTGCAGTGCACATCGGCATGTGCAATTATCAGTTTCAGCACATCTCTCTCTGTCTCGGTTACAAACCCCAATTTAGTTCGATTTGCTATGCAACCCTTGGGAGGAACTTGAAGAAGGGAAAAATGAAAGTTTGCATGCCTCACTCGATGAAAAAAGATGGGTAGGAGGGAGTGGGCGACAGCTTCAGAGGAAAAGATTGGTGGAATCAAGGAAGGGTTTTGAAAGTACAGTAACTCGTCTTCTTGGTTATGGACAACAATGACGAGACAAAAACTCGAAAAAATTCCTTTTCTAACCTCTTCTTCTTTCAAAATTGATTTTTCAAATTCTTGCCCTGGATCTGCATGGCTCATGATTCTTTCGTAGCCAAAAATTAGGTGGTTCTGCAATTTTCACTCTTTCACCGATAAATTTTTGTCGGGACCACTAATTTACGCAAAGTTCTTTTTAGGCAATGCGCAACGAACACATATTAGGTTGTCGGATAATTTCTGTTACAATTTTTATTTTAATTCTTAAAAATCTCAGAAGCTTTGGAAAGATCTCATGTTCACGGCGTATGAGCAGGGTCAAAAGGCCTATATAAGGGTACCGTCGCATTTGCGACTCGTGCGCAAAACACCCACTTTGTGGCTGAAAATCCGTTTCTTCGCATTTTTGTAAATGAGCTGGCGTTTTCTCAGGTGATGAGCGATAGACCAGACAATGTGGTAACCAGGTAGGGCATAGTCTGTAGCGTTCAGCGGGAGACGGCCCTTCTGTACCGCTAGCCTTAGCAGCCTAATTACTGCGCGCCTTTGATTGGTCGGCGCTGCCTTGAGAGAGCTAGGCGTTAGAGACGCAGGCGCTCTCAAATTGGACGAGTTAGGTAAAAGCACTCTTTCAAAGAGAAGAATCAAAGAAGAAATTGAGCTCTAACATGGGAATCAGACTTAGCACGTGGTGGCTTACATAGATTTTCAGCTTACTTGTGCAGATTTTGCAGTGGTTTGGAGAACTGCGAAGAGGAAATTACGAAATAGAGAGTAAAAAAACTCAATTTTTCAATCAATTTTTGTTTTCATATAAAACATCGACACTATTATCGACCGAAAATGTGCACTAGCTTGCTTTGAAATACTCCGAAATATTTGAAAACTCTGTTAGATTATAAGAAAGGCAAAGTGATTACCGCCGCTCTGGGGTAGGATAATTAGCGCTAAGACGGAGCGGTTCAGAAGGGCACACACCCGTGCATCATATAGAAATGAATACAGAAAACATAAAAATGATTTTTTGAATTTTTTGAAGAAGTTTTTTTCGTAAAAATTCCGATGATTGCAGAGTTGGCGCACACTGAGATTTCGCTCAGAAAAACGTGTGCAGACATGTCTGCGTTATCCCCCCATATTAGCTGAACGTTTTTCTGAGCGAAATCTCAGTGTGCGCCAACTCTGCAATCATCGGAATTTTTACGAAAAAAACTTCTTCAAAAAATTCAAAAAAACATTTTTATGTTTTCTGTATTCATTTCTATATGATGCACATAAAAAGAAGAATTTAGGAAAGTTTTTGAATTTTTTTGATATTTCCTTCACCCCTCGTTTTTGAAACGCTGGAGGCACCGGAATGCCTCCATTTAAAAGACAATGCCGAAATACGTTCTAAAAAATTCTGGAAGAGGAAAAGCGCAAGTAGGTGCAGAGAAAAAGATCAGACAAAAACTGAAAAATTTGACTGCTTTTACAAAACTGCCGTAAACTTGTTGGTCATTAGTGCACTTGCGGCACCAATCGTGCTTTTGGGTAGACCCTGCTATGTCCTAAACGTGTTGCAAATTTGGGGTTTTCAGAAAGCCTCTGAAATTTCCTAGAAATTTTAGAAAAAAGTGTAACAGAAATTAACCGACAACCTAATATTTTATTGAAGCAATACAACCTTTTTACTTACAGTCATCATATGCATATCCATCTCTTCGGAAAAAATAATAAAGATGGCTTGAGGTAATTCAGAGTGGGAGGAGCAAAGCAACAAGTTTTTAAGTGGTTGTTTTGGTTGTCCCCATGATTAAGTTGTCAAAGCAATTTCAAAGTCCAACTTTGAGAACAAGCATGATGTCAGATGGCCTCCTGAGTAATTGGTATGATGTGAGGGAGAGCCGTGATTGGTTAATTCGTGGTTGTTCAATTTTTGATCGGTTACCATATCCTTTTCTGCCAAAATTCAAGGCAGAATCTAGTCAGGACGAATTGAAGGTGTAGATGTGAGAGGGAAGCGTAAGAAGACAAAGAGGTGAGCTGAAGTTTTTTTAATAGTGAATGTATCAAGGAAGCTTGGATCAGAATCAATTAACGATTTGTCTATGTTGCCCTCAAATTCGTTATGGCGGTCAAGAAAACTTATTATCATTACTTGGAACAATAACTTAGACTTTGCCATCTACCCTTCTTCAAACCTTTATGCATTATTTCTTCTCCAAGAGCTTGTATCTTTCAAAGATATACTGCTTTCATATTCATAACCTTTGTTCGCAAATGTCTATGAAGAAATAGTTGCTCATTGAAATCTTGCAATGTACCCGCTTCAAAGAGTTTGAATGACTATAGTAAATGAATTCAACGCTCATGGATTTCACGGCTCTAGTATCACGAAATTTATCTGTTTGCTTCATTTTTTATAAATGACGTCATCTGATCAAGTTATGGATAAAGACACCAAAGCTATAGAACCTTTCTTCTATTATCCATGAATCTAAGGCAACATAGGATGTATTTCTTCTGTCGCAGTTGGCTTCGCCTGTTACTTTCTATGTAGGGCTCGGCACAGGCGGCTTATAAGCAAGCTGGATATCGTTTTTGGGACAAAAAGCAAAGGAGGTTTCCTTTATGCAGGTCGGAAAACACAAGTAAGATCAGTCAGTCGAGGTTTTGGTTTATAGGGTTTTTAGTCGATTCGGATAAGGGGTCAAATGGGACTTCGTAAAATTTTGTGAAAGTCAGGGGACTTCGTTTTCTGCATTTTCGGGAAGCCACTTTGGCCGAGCCCTGTTTCTAAGTTTTACTTTCTATGTGAATAATGATATGGCGATTTGGGTTAATCCCATCAACGTTCTTTTTCTACATTAACATCGCATGCATATTTCCACTCATTTTCGTAAAAATACCATTTGTCTATTGACTGAGAAGTTGTCACATGGAATATTTTTTCATAGCACATCATCTTACCTGCTATAGTGTGGACCCCGGCCAGCTTCCCATATGTACCTCCGCGCCGCGAACGCAGCGCATGCCTTCAGTGCTCTTTTCGCCCCAGGACCTATTGGTTTCTATGCGTTCCTCTCTTTATTAACTTTGTTTTTCCTGTAATCTCTTTCTTTCAGGGTCAAACGGATCACACCAACTGATGATGACAAGTTTTTACGAGCCTCAAAAGTCTTGAGAGCTTCTGCCTCGAGCTTCTGCCCCAAAAGCTCTCGTTTTTTTCCTCCGCAATAACGATTAAGTATATTTTAAAGAGATTTCTCTTCAGGGTTTCTATCACGGATCAAACGTATCTATTCGATCGAATTTGTTTTGTGTAGAAACGAACTATCCGATTAAGCTTGTTTTGTCTAAATCTTTTAGCTCTTTTTCAATGCGGCACTGAAGCTTCAGCTTGTATAATTACGCTCTCCAGCTTATGCTTCTAGTTTTTCAATGATTGCAGAAGAGTCGTTCAAAAAGTAATCCTCTTTTCGCTATTTCTACGATTTTCACCCGTCAGTGGTAGTTTTATACTAGTATGCATGAGAATGACAAGAAACCAAGTGTTCGTGGAAGTGGACGCGTTTTTTTTCTGCTTAAGCTTTTCTCGAGGTGAGAACAGAGGGTTCCACTTCTTGTCTCACTCCTATCTTGTCTGAAAAATGATTTTTCGTTCATATGGGATGAGAAGCGTCAATAGTGCGCGCGCTGCGTATGCGCTGCGGAGGTACATATGAGAACCTGGCCGGGGTCCACACTATACCTACCTCTCTCCTATCTATTAATTGCGTTTTCCAAAACTGTCTTTGTCCGCGTGGCTCCACTTATTAGATTACAAACGTCATTTTCAACTTCGGATTTCATGCACTTTATCGTGGAAATTTTTTGTAGAAATAAAACTGCTTTGGCACAGCGATTCTTTTGTTATTCGTTTCGTCAATATGCCCCATAAAATCATGACGATTTCGAATCTATTCGAAGCATTTTCTTTATGAGCCGTTGCCAGATGTCCACTAAGTCCCATGAAGCTGATACAGGGATCTCCCCTGAAAATGCGATTCGCTAGTTTAAGATCTCTTTAGACGATAGGTACCATTGAAGCTATGCGAGAAAATTATGAAACCATTTTCTAATTTCGCGCCGTTTTCACTCTCTTGAAAGCAAAAGCTCCAAAAGCTATTCTTGGAATCCTTTCCATTTGTCGTAGGAATTCAAATGTCAAGAAAAAACGTTCACAGTGTTTGGTTTGAATCCAGTGAATACCGTAATTAGGAGATTATACTCAAATAAAAAGTGTGCTGAAATACGCAGTGCTTTACAACTTTTTTATTGTTAAAATGACGCATACTTTTGAGACCTCAGTTTCTGGTTCGCATTAATTTTTGACAAGTCTGATATTTTCATAATCTGAAAAATTCTCAACGGATAGCTTTGTTGTGTGTAAGCTCTGTCGCGTCGCATAAAAGTCAAAGTAAAACTAAGTAGTAAAAGAGTAGTTTTGTTTTTTCTTTTCTTCCTTTTGTCGCCATTTTTTTGGCATTGGCCCTCCTGTTCAACATTACTGCTGTAGGTTTTTTTGTAAGTGGAGAAATCCTATTTTTTGTGAGAACCGCAAAAACATTTGACCTCTTGTCGCTAATAATTGTTGTTGGCAGTCGAAATCATACAATACCAATTTCTTTGCGAGGAACTATCATATTGATTGAATTGATTGATTTTCTCCTCAAATCTCCTATTTCGACGACGTATTGTCTAGCTCATGTTGCTTTTAGCGTTTATACTTGACCGCTCGCAGCTTCCACTGCCGTGCCACCTTTGTGCCGGCGCCGTGCTAGCGTCATGCTGGAACCTGCTCACACGCAAACTGTACTGATCGATTAACGTTCCAGCATAGCGCTAATGCGGCTTTGAAATGATACTGGAACGGCGCTGGCACTACGCCGACACAGCAATGTTATACAACCTGATCTTTTCTTGTGCCTATTTCTGGTCTCCAGTCTGTTTTCCATGAATAAGTAGACCACAACTTGAGCCAAAATACCCAAATAAGCATAAAACCAGCTAACTCAACACAAGTCGATGTAGGGGAGCATTTGCTCGTCAATCATGCCTCGCGTCGGTGATTATGTCGGTTAAGAGCCGAGCCGAGCGCCGAGCCTCCGAACATATAACGCCAAAAACTCGGCCGAGCCATCGTTGAGCGCAATAAGCCAAGCGGAAAACGGAAAGTTGATGGATTTGACAGATATCGAGAACAAAAATAGCCCAGGCCTCTGCTTTATCGGGGGCAGAAAATTATGCAGTTAGGCTTTTATGAGATGAAATGAAGATATAGGAGAGATGGAGATGCTTTTTTTTTTCAGAATCATCCATGAAATGGACATACAAGAACCAGAATTCACTAGCGAACAAGTACGAAGTGTGCTATTCACTCAGGATGCAGGAAATCAATGTAAGTGTTGGTCCAGTCAAGATGAGCTCTTAACATTTAGAAGTCGAATTGTGATAGATTTTTTTCGTCGAAAATCTATCTCAAATCTGATTATTGTTTAAGCTCTAGCAAAGTATTCACTCAGAGAAATCGGAATTTTCGCAGAACGTTTGGAAAAGTTCCGCCGGGTCACCTGCGGAAGTTCCCAATTGGGATGCTGCGGAAGTCCCGAAGAATGCCAACCAGCGAGACTCGCCTACTATCCTCTGCTTGTCAAAGTGCTGTGCGGAACCGCTGGCGTTTTTCGGAAGTTTCCGCAGCGCTTTGCAAAATGTCCTGCGGAAAATCCCGTTTTCAACCATTCTGACGTAAAAATCCTGCGGAACAGCTGCAAATTTTGCTTCTCCTGCGGAGGTTCCGGTGAATTGTCTGAGCATCTCAGTTTCATTTGAAATGAAGATAAAATGGAATGGATAGATGGCACATATCTCAGCTGCGGTATAAAAATATTAATCAAAAGCCTTTTACGCGAGTGCCACCAATTTTGATTGGTACCACAAAAACGCAAAAATTTTCTTATTGTTAGTTCTCTGGACTCCACAAACATTTTATACCGTTGGCTCGCTGAAATTCTATAATGGTTAATGAATTATTGATCATCACTCTTTCTTATGGTAGTACGGTAGAAACATCCAGAATTGAAACTAGAATATTCCAAAAACTTTCTGAAATTATGGTCAGTATAGTATAAATTAGTAGAGTGGTCGTATCTAACTTCAGAAAATTTTTGAAATATTGTCATGTTTTTTCGATAGTGTTCTCAATTGCTATTGCCATTCATAATCTTGCTGTACTGTAAATTGTACAATTGCTTATACACTTTTCTTGAGACAAGCGTGGAAAGCGGTGTTACAGTAAGCATACCGTATCATTTTGATGAAGCACTGCAGGATACTAGCGTGTATCTAACTTATATACATAGAATTCCTGATGAAAAAATTTCAGTTGCCCCTGGTATCAATTCAGATTGTAACAACCAGCGACAAGGGCGAATGCTATAGGGTTTTACCTAACACTAGTAAGGGGAAGGGAATAGAGTAACATTTTTCTGTATAGCGGGTTCAAATTCAAGCCGTGCCTTTAATGCCCTAAAGCTAATAGCTGACAGATGGATACAATATTCTGAGACAGCGCGTATATTACAGTGTTATGCTATGTAGTATTAACTCACGACAACGACACCTAATGCTGGAGGTGCCGTAGGACGACGCGATTTTGCACAACACTTTCGGTGGTGGTTATTTACGAAATGCAAGGTTGTTTTGTAAACAACTATCAACATTTTTGAACGAAAAACCTACAGGTCCCAAGAGTGCAAAAAATTGGAAAAAATGATATTTGAAAAGAATAATAGACCTGCAAATAATATGATTGTGCAAGAGGTGTGGGCCACCAGTGGTCCACATCGCGTCAATGGGTTAATGTGGTTTACAAGCGGTGTAAAAGAGCCGTCACATTCTTATCCCCATACATATGAAAATCATTTCAGTTCACATTCTCAGTCGAACAGTACAATCCATCTGTACAACGGGTTCCATAGGTGGCTCATTCGACTATGACCAAACATGGATATGCGCTTTGTGAGTTCTTTTGGATTCTTTGTATCCTCTCCACCTTATCCGTACTGCTCCGACCTTTTCATTTCCTATCTAATTTCTTCTCTCGATTTGAAGTTTTGAAACTCTCTATATCACAAATCATTCATGGAAACTTCTCGAAACTTCCAAGTTTTTTGCTTTGTAGCATGTCCACGTAGCCGTCAATTTTCCGGCTTCAACAAGTTTTAATCAAGGAGCAAGGGTTTCTATTATAGTGGAGGATAAAATAATACGTGGAGAAATGAAAACTTTTGCTGACAGATGGCAATTGTGATCGATAACAAGCCAAAGTGGATGTATTTTTTAACAAAATCGACGACATTAGGTCGATTATCGATAACTATAACTAATTTTCTTCTTATTATTGATGCTTTGAGATTAGATGTTATTGAAGGAGACATTCTTGGAATCAAAATGACTACCTATTTCTTCAGACTTTGTTGAAAATTAGAATTAAGCCGTTTTTTCTCAAATCATTACATTTAGCTCCTAGAATCAAATAGACTGTAAATTTGAATTGATTTGTGAATCAAGAAATTGATCGATTATAATGTTTTCAAAAGTTCAGACTAACAGACTTATTTACATTGACAATGATGGTCAATAAATCGATAAGAATGTAAGCGGTGGTAGTTTGTTTCCTTTTTTCATTGAGAAAATTGGAAAGCCTCTTGAATATCTTTTTTGGTATTTTGAATGTTTATAGTTTGGATGTTTTCCTTTAGCCTAGGTAAACCTTCGCATGTCATACACTTCAAATAAGGATTGGCAAACGCTTTCATTAGCCGTTCGGGTTTGATTCTTGATGTGTTGATCAATTTTGATCTTTTTCTATCGCTAGGGCGTTCAGTACCACTTTATAAAGGCAAAATAATTTTCATTTTCTGAAAAATCAATGGCATGGCTGCTCTCATTTAACTTGTTCTTGTTACCCAACTCTGTCTTATTTTTGCTCAAAGTGCAACTTAAGTTCCACTTTCAATCTCAAGCGATTACTGCCCATCTAAACTTTCCTCTTCCTCTTCCAGTCACGGAACCGCTGAAGCGTTAAATTTGCGCTTTGTGCTTTCTAGCGTTTTGCGCGCTTGACACGCACAATCTACATGAAGTTCGCAATTGCGGCAATTGAGCGAGGGTGGGGAAAGGGGGGGGGGGCAGGGCTCGGAGCTTTTCTGAAGCATTGCCGAAGTGATGGAAGGGAGTGTTGGTGAAGTGTGAGGGAAGTGAAGCTGTTGCTCTGCTACTGCTGCTGCTAGGCTCTTCCGGGGGGGGGGGGGGGGGGGGGGAGGCGTAGAACGGGGCTCTATTCGGCCGCTAAGAGGAGAACTCATTGCAAGTGACATAGAAAGCGCTGCACATCGATCCGAGTATGGATATGCTCTTCTGCCATCGTCGTCGCCGTCGTCGTCGATGTCGCTGCGCCCGGCGTCCGCCAAAAAACCATTCATCGGCACACGGGGGGTCCCGCGGCGCATCATCATCATCATATGTCTAAAGAGAATGACGCGGCAGCGATGCACAATGGGGCAGTGCTATGCTCTATTACTTATTCAGTTCTCTTTATGGTCTTCGAGTGTGAGATGTCACGGGTTTCTGAGTTTGCAATTTCAAGGTTGAAAGTTGCAGAAGAAAAGGAGAAAAATTTATCCAGGAACTGAGGAGAGGAAGGGTGCAATGGGGGTGGAAAAAGTATCTTGATGAAAATTGCAGGGAAATTACTTGCCCCAAAATAAGCATTTTCATCTACTATGAAAATATTTCTTGCTAATTGTAAGTACGTAAGTACTTCTTTCATATATCTGCCTCTCCTTCCCCTCCCCCCCCCCACCTTTTCGCTCTTCTTTTAGAGTCTTTGAAGAATAAGCGGTATTGAACTGTCGCGCGATATGCGTTAGTACTGTATCACGGTACGAGCGCTGTGATTGGTCAATAGATTCCCAGCCTTACCAATTACCGTAATCGAACTGGCATCAAACGCGCATGAAGGCGCTCAATTCCACTTACATTCTAGATAGTTGAAAGTTTCTTTCTTTTCAAAACCAACATGTCAACTAGGAGAAGAAAAAGTGTCAGCTTCTTTTCATCAAGTGCATCTTTTTGATGGCGTCTAGGGGGGACAGCTGTGCGATGCAGCACTTTATGTAGTTTTTCTTGAAGTAATTTCATTGCTCAGTAACTTGAAGATTGAATTCAAAGTTCTTGCTAAACCTTAGTATAGAAAGGGCACCAGGGACGTGAGAGGAGGGGGGGGCGGGGATAACTTTCTTTCGGTCTAGCTATCTGAGAAATTGCGGCTGGTTTTTGATTCTGGAGCGGGTGACGAATACTAGGAGCAACAAAAATAGCTGATCCCATATCCCCCTCCTATGGATATTTCAAACCTCATAGAAACGAGCACTTTTCTAAGTGATTCCCTGCTGAGATTTGGTAATTGTAATGGATTTCGGGCATCTAAAAATTGAATTCGTAAATGTTGCAAATTCTACATAGCTGTGAATGTTCGTACATAACCTGATGAAATTTGTCTTACCTAGGCGGAGAATACTGTTTTATGGCTTCACACCTTATCTTCATATTTATGGCTTTAAACCACCTTTACGCACTTACGTTATTCAAACTGTTGAATTCCATAAGAAAGTGTCGATATCCGTCTACTTTGCAGTGTTGTCTAGAATGGCTGGAGAGTTTTGGGTCAACCCATAAGTCTTGCACCAAAAATTACTAATTTATCTTGAAAAATGCTCAAAACAACGTCACAAGTTATATTTTATAAATATGAAGCCTACAATAAGTGTTCATTTAACCACTAATAGAAATCACTTGAAAAAAAATCGAAATATCGAGTTAGAAAAGTCGAAAGCCATAATTATCGTTGTAGAAACATCCAATTCCTATAATTTCCATAGCTGAACAAAGTAAGTCGTGAAACCATAGTTGAAAATGAAATTGGAATTTCGTGAATCTTAATTTTTAACGACCAAAATAAAATAATAATTTGACTGTTTCCCTTAATCAGTGCGGTATTACTTTGATATTAAAAAGTGGATTCTTGCTTTGAGCACTATTGTGAGCACATGATTTTCTCTTTCCATTTGGTGCAAAACTTTGGATTAACTATCGGTTGAAATATTTGTGGTTCAAAGCACTCTGCTTGGGCAGAAACCAATTTTTGATGAAGAAAAGGCTCGAAGAATGAGAAACCCGATTTTTTCATGGCTCTCAAATGTGAGAAAATTCCTTGATTCTAACATAAAAGATCATCGCATTTCAACATTTTTCCAGTTAGGTAAGTATCAAAAAATCTTGTGTATGCAGTTACTCACTCATCTAGGCGTCTACTACAGCATGAAAAAAAAATTTAGAGTCAAAACGTGAGTTTACAGAAATATGATAGGTTGAGACATAGCTGTTTGTTGCTGAAGAAAATTTGAGTAATCGATTCGTGACACAAACTATCAAAACTTCTATCGATTCGTGACACAAACTTGCAAACTTACAATTGTCTCCTAGCAAAAAAAATCTTAGCTAATTAACTGCAAGCTATCTTTTGCGTGGATTTATGTGTCAAAAGCAAGTCCATTTCTAGCAGTATTAGGAACTTATCATTTTTATCCAGAAGTTTTCTGCAAAACAGCAAATAACTGCTCTTCACATACTACTAATTAGTGGAGGATTTGCTAATCCTGAATGTTTACGCTCTGAATGCGTCAATGTTTTCAATAAGCTCTCTCTATTCTATGCTTGATATCATCACATTGCCGCTAGCTATCCGAGAGTGAGAGCTTGTTATGATGTGTGTGAGGGTGAGCCGCGCCGGAAAGAACTCGCATCTCTCATTTAGCCAATTATGGATCCTCGGCGAGTTGTGCACAGCTTTGCACATCTTTTTTGGGGGATGGGATGCTCCAGCCGTTTGCAACGTTTGGGTATAAATCACATTAGATATGGTAGCTTTCGAACCAACTCTGCGAAATCGCAGTGTAATTGGCGCTCTTGAGTTCGTGCCAAATTCGATTACCCAGCTCAGTCATCAGTCGCCTTACCCTTAGGGTTTAGAATCTTTGAACCGCACCTAGGACTTGATTCTTTGTCCAGGCAACGTTCACGGCGATCAGCATGAATAGCAGCTGATTTCGTGAATGATGGATGCGAAAAAAAGTAGGGATGGAGGTGAAGTGTTGGAGGAGGGGGGGGGGGGGGGGAGCAAGAGCAGGGCGAGGTAAATTGCGACATTTTCTTTTTTTACCATTACCCATGTTTACTATACTGAAACAGAATTAATGCGAAAAAGAGCCATTTCTCCCACTTTCAGACTATCATTGCTTCTAGTCCTTTCAAACCCTTCCCCCCCCCCCTTTTTTTAGGTATCTCTTAAATTTCTTCCGCTTTACAAAAATTGTGATATCAATCAGAGTACAATGGTAGATTTCATTACCAGCAATGATTTAGCTGCCTATCTAATCACTTTAGAGAAGACTGATGATCTTATTCGCACTTCCTTATTAGAAGTTTCATAGGAAGCTAGAGAAATCATGAAGAAAACGGTACATAATTGACGAAAAACTTCTGATTCATTAGTAAGTTATTTACCTTTGTTGCCATGGAAAGCTGAAAATTATGCTTTCATTCCGGTAATTCGATTAGCAGAAAAAGTAGGACAGCGAAAGAAGTAAGGATGGGAAAAATAGTGCTTGTTTTCTGAACGACAGCAGTCATCACGGGAAATCAAAAAAATGTCTGAACTAAAGCCAGTATGGATTCAACCTTTTTACAGTCACCGTATTTTATTTGTTACGAAAAATTATCACCATCTGGCGTCGTTGATATAATACTACGATGGGAATGAAGCGCGACTTTCTTAGAATTGGGGCGTCATACCTACGTATTGAAAAATCAAAAAACGATGCTGAAAAAATTAAAATGAAGACCATGATAAAATTCACAATTTCAGAGAAAAACTATAAGATCTCAAGAAAGTGCATAATCTTTTGGGAAAACCTATTTCAGTATTCTGTCACCAATTTCTCTTACGATGTACTCTTTCCACATCTCACCTCTCTGTTTTTCACTACTTTTTCTTCTTTTTCTGAAATTCTTTTTCTCTAGATGTATGCTCAACACGGTACAACATCGTCACGTCGCTATTGCTCGATTATCACATCCGACAAATCTCGGCCGAACAATGCAAGATCTACGATTTATCATCATCGTCATAGCACCAAGTCGAGCGGTGAGTTCATGAAGAGAGTCAGCAAGCTAGAATTTTGAGGGACCACTACTGTTGTCACCGTCACGACTTCCTGTTTTTTTTTGGCGGGGGAGGAGGGGGGATGGGAGTTCTTTGAAGTGAAGACCAAACTACCCTGAGACAAATTAACATCCGCTCACCATAACCACATCTTTTATCATGCTCTTGTGCCCCATTTTTTTTTACAGCAGAGCTTGATTCATAGAAATCTGCTCACATAAAGTATCCTTTGTGACTGAAGGTAATCAGATGGGCCCAAATTTACATCGTAATTACCTGAAAGACACAACAATAGCACAGCTGAGTGCTGACGCAAATCCTCGGTTTTTTCCGCCGCGATAGTTTAGGATGAACCATATGTTCTGGCTATTTAATCGCGTGGTAACCTTTATTGTTCGATGAAAAAATTGTATGGGAGTTACCCAGCTTGTGGTACCTAAGCTCAAAAGTTGGGGCTTTATCGTTCAAATCTCAAAGAATAAGACAACAATTCTTAGGGTTTTCAAGATGGCCATATGTAAGTAATAAATTCTCAGAAAGGCACAAAAACGGCGCTTGAAACTACGAGGACGTTTGCCACACTTTTCGCGGATATGGAAATTCGTCAGCGTTTAGTTATGGCATCGACTGTAGAGGCATTCAGGTAGAGACCAACACAACTTAGAGAACCCAGTTTCCCAAAAGTTACTTTGATTTCAGGTCAACACTTTTATCAGCTGCTAAAGAGCTTGCGATGGATCAAAGTCAATGGCGAGAACGGAAAGCTTCTATCCACCTCAGTCAGGCCAAGGAACAAATTGTGGGTTCTCTCAAGTTGTCCGCGCACTTGTGGGCCGGGAAGGGGAGGGGGGCTTTACAAAAACAAGGCCATAAAGAGGGTCCTCGCCCGTTTTCGAAAAAGTTATTGATTATTGAAATCATTAAGATTATTGCGCAAATAACAACGCAAAAATCCCGAATATACAGGGTGTCCCAAAAAAATGTATCGAACGTTTGATCGTTAATATCTCTCTTCCCAAGAAGTCTTTTGCCTTGCTTCAGGTACCGTTTTGTAGAGCTGGCTTCAACTTAGATTTGCATTATAGAACGAATCACCCATCTTTCTTCATTACTGTAGGATTACGGTAGAAACTTGAAACATATGGTGTCAATGTGGAAAAAGCTGCCGTTTCAAAATTTTTCAAAAAAAATGTGAAAACTTGTGTATTGGGGTTTTTATGGACGCTGAGTTCAATACTCAACTATTCACAAGATTACGAAGCTTTCTAAAGGGTGTAACCGCACTTTTTAGGAACATTGAAAAAATGGCCGCTACCTCTTACCTGGCATAACTCTTCAATGAAGCATTATAATAAATTGGGAACTTTACGGTTATAATCAGCAACTCTAATTAGCCTAGTGTAAAAGTTTTCAGGCTGTTTTGTTTCCTTTCTGGGGCAAAATATGGCCTTTCATTGCTTAAAACCCTCTTTGAAGTTTCTACCGTAATCCTACAGTAATGAAGAGGGATGAGTGATTGGTTCCATAATGCAAATCTAAGTTAAAGCCAGCCCTGCAGATTGGTACCTGAAGCAAGGGAAAAGACTTCTTTAGAAGAGAGATATTAACGATCAAACGTTCGATACATTTTTTTGGGACACCCTGTATATTAGCGTAATTAAACTTTGTAGCTATTAACATCCTCTGACATTTTCCTACATCGAGACGACATTGTGATATCACTCTAACAATCTGGTACATAAATCCTCTTCCAGCAGGGCGGTAGGAGAAATTTGGGGACAGGGTAGGTCAGAAATTCTCTTTGGATAAAGAGCATCTCTAAAGACATTTTTCAACGTCACGTCACGTTTACCACAACCCGCAAAAAATTTCTGACATGCTACACAATCTTTCTGTGGGCTTATAACTCAACAATAGGTTGCTTTTATTGGTGAAGAAAATTTAGCAGAAAATTTGAAAATCGTTTGAAAATTAATTTGTGTTCTGAAACATTTTCACTATTCTTGATTACAAGAAAGAACAAACTTGCATCCCTTCGCTCTTCACTTTTCTTGGTCTGCCACTGTCTTCCAGGAATATCAACTTTTAAACTAATAATTATCTACTAGACAAAAACTTCAGTTTGTTATCAAATGAAGCACGAGAGTGGGAGGTCGGAAGACAACAAAAATTTATGAAAATTTGTCTTGTTCTGAGTTCTCAGTGCGTATTTTCAATCACAGGAGAAAGTACCATGCCATCAATTTTTGCTGTAAATTGAGTGAAATGTTGATTAAGCTTACTTTGATGAATACGGATAATTTCTCGTTTGGACCATGGGGTATGAAATTTTCCATCAAGTTTGATTGGCCATAACTAATTACCGTATGCTTTCTCACCATTGGCTGAAACTGCTGATTTTTAGTTCGGGCCAAACGCATGGTATCCATTCCGTGGTCTTACCGAAGAGTTCAAACGACGCCTGGCTGTTTATCCATCGGATTTCACCGATGGCGTCACGGGCCATCGTACAATGTCAAAACTATTCTCTACAGTAGTGTTTCTTTACTTCGCCTGTATTCTGCCTGCAATTGCCTTTGGTGTGCTCAACGATGATAATACGAGAGGAGGCATAAGTAAGTTCGACGGACCATTCTAGAATTTTAAATTTTTTACTGAAATTTTGCAGATGTTCGGAAAGTTGTCATTGCTCAAGCTATTGGTGGTATATTCTTCTCGCTGTTTGGCGGTCAGCCGATGATCATTCTGCTCACTACCGTTCCCTTAGCTATATACATAAAAGGTTTATCTAAGACAAAAAAATGTACCGCATCTAGTGAAACGTTTTTTAGTGATATATAAAATATCTGAAGAGCTTGGTTACGATTTTTTCGCCATGTACGCGTGTGTTGGCTTATTTTGTCAAATGTTTCTTGTACTCTACTCGGCTACTGAGTTATGCAGTTTGATGAAACTGGCTACGAGGTAGGCAGAACGACCGTATTTCAATAGAAAAATATGTAATTTTTGTTTTGATTTTTGCCTTTTTTCAGGTCAGCCGAGGAGATGTTCTCTTTATTTATTGCTATAGCGTTCACTGTAGAAAGTATGCGGGCCATACATTCTAGTAAGTTTAGTGTCATTTGTTTTCTATTCTTTTCCCTCAATGAATTTTTATACTCAAACTGAGCAGTAGCCGAAAGATCCTTAGAGGAAGGGGGTGATAGAGATTTGAAAATAAGGCTAAATATTGACCAGCATTCCAAGAAACTTTACGGATTTTTGGAAAACTTCGAAAGCGTTTGACGCAAGCCATGTTTCTGAGAGTTTTTTTTACAGAGCTTTTTGAAACTGAATATACAAGGTGTCCCAAAAAATGTATCGAACGTTTGATCGTTAATATCTCTTTTGCCAAGAAGTCTTTTGCCTTGCTTCAAGTATCATTTTGTAGAGCTGGCTTCAACTTAGGTCTACAGTTTGGAGCGAATCACCCATCTCTTTTCATTACTGTAGGATTACGGTGGAAACTTCAACGAGGGTTTTGAGCCATGAAAGGCCATATTTTGCCTCAGAAAGGAAACAAAATAGCCTGAAAACTCTTATACTAGGCTAACTAGAGTTGTGGATTCTAGCTGTAAAGTTCCCAAATTATTATAATGCTTCATTGAAGAGTTATGCCGGGTAAGAGATAGCGGCCAATTTTCAATGTTCCTAAAAAGTGCGGTTACACCGTTTAAAAGCTTCGAAATCTTGTGAATAGTTGAGTATTGAACTCAGCGTCCATAAAAACCCTATCGCACAAGTTTTCACATTTTTCTGAAAGGTTTTGAATTGGCGGCTTTTTCCACATTGGCACCATATGTTTCAAGTTTCTACCGTAATCCTTCAGTAATGAAGAGAGATGGACGTTTCATTCTATAATGCAAATCTAAATTGAAGCCAGCTCTACAAAACGGTACCTGAGGCAAGGCAAAAGACTTCTTGGAAAGAGAAATATTAACGAACGTTCGATACATTTATTTGGGACACCCTGTAGAATTTATAGAAATTATTAGGGTGTCTCATAATTTTTTACCGTTTTTACTACAACCGCCGTATTTTTGCATCTTTCTTTCATCTGATGTGGCTTGAGTAATCACTCGACAGGGCAAAGCAAGCTCTACAAGATGGCTATCAAAAGTCTGTCCAACTCGTATCCCACCTGAAGTTTTGAGCTGAAATCTGATAGTAGTCAAAAACGAACTTTTCTGTCAAAATAAAAAATTCCCCATTTATTTTAGCATATGCTTGATACATATACATCGCGTATTCATTTGTACACTTTCCGAATTTTTTTCATGGCTAGAAATAAAGAAAAAGGAAAAAAAGTGAGATAAAATGGCAAATTCCGCCGCTAGACGTCCTGAGCTCCTCTTACGCATGTGAGCATTTTGTCCATGCATACAGAAGTATAATCATGTATTTGTGTACTTTGTAGATGCCTCAGTTCTCGAGAAATGCTAAATTTAGGGTAAAAACGGTAAAAAATTATGAGATAGCCTAATATTCAGTTGTTTATGAGTAAAAACAAAACGCTAACACACTTTTATGACTTATATAAGTCACTAAAAAACACGTTCGAACAAGAGTCCCCAAACCATTTTCCTCTCCCAATCGGAGTCATAAGTTTGTCGTAGAACGACCACCTACTTTTCTTTGTTCATATTTGCCTTGGTCTCCTAAATTGGCTACCTAAGCATCATGCAACATGATTTCCTTGAGAATTTTTTATTTGAAAATTCAGTCAAGTAAATATGCTTTGATATGAAATAGATACATGCGAATGGCATAAATAGAATGTTTAAAGTACTTTTTAGTATTCAAAAGGAACTACAGCGGATGCGATTCCATGAACACTACCAATGTAAATTCGACCTTAATTAATGCAACATCTGAGATGGTAATACACTTATTAACTCTGCGTTCTTACTCTTAATTCATCTCTGCTCTTCCAGGATAATGGCGCATTATGTAGAAGGGATACGACGATACTTTATATGCTTCTAATGTTTGGAACGCTTTGGTTGGGACTATTCCTTTACAATTTCAGGAAGGTAAGAAAAATGAACGAGCAATTTCATGTTCTCATTGTTCTGCTATAATTCATCAAATATTTTTCAGACTCCATACCTGACGAGATCGCGTCGAGAGTGGCTAGCCGACTACGCTTTACCAGCTTCTGTCCTAATCATGTCATTCACTGGATCTTACTGCTTTGCCGATATCGAAAGTAAGTTATAAACTATGAGTAAATCAACGTGCATTTCATTTTTCTTTTTACAGAGGATCGTTTCAAACTTCGCGAGAATGTGCCAATTGTACATCTAGCTGATATCTTCTCATTGCCACCATCCGGATATTTTGTGTGCCTTCTATTAGGATTCTCTTTGTCATTTTTATTCTTCATGGATCAAAATATTACATCTGCAATCGTGAATAACCCGCAAAACAAGTAAGCATACCTTGTTCTTTTGTTTACGTTTAACCTCGCCCGAGTACCGGTGCCGTGTCAGTGCTTTGTGTGTCGTAATCGCCGATCGATCAACACGAGCGCCTTAACTTGCCGGCACGGCGCTAGCACGACGCTGGCGCCGTATTGACCCAGCGCCGACACAAGGAATCTTTGAATGCTGCCTTTCCAGTCCAATCGTACTTGATTTTTTGATTAACTGTGCATTTTCAGGCTTAAGAAAGGCTCAACGCAAAACCTGGACCTCTTCGTTGTTGCTCTTCTCAACGTGTTTCTTTCATTGTTCGGTTTGCCATGGATGCATGGAGCGCTGCCCCACTCGCCGTTACATCTGCGAGCTCTCGCCGATGTCGAAGAGAGGGTCTCGCAAGGTCATGTGCATGAAGTGTACGTGTACGCTACTTTCTGTATTACTTACCTTCATCCTTTTTACGTCGTTGCTGCGTATCGAAATCTTCAGAATCATGAACGTCCGCGAGACACGGTTAGCGACTCTGATCGCCCACACGTTGATACTTTTATCAACGTTCTACCTTATACCGTATCCCTTACAACTAATTCCAACATCCGTCTTGCATGGATTGTTCCTCTACATGGCATTGACCTCGCTGTCTGGCAATGAAATGTTTGAAAGGTTACTGCTGCTTATCACCGAACAGGTAACGTCGACTTTTTGAACCCTTTTTTATATTCCACATACTACAACTTATTACAGCAAGCATATCCGCCCACTCACTACATTCGTAAAGTTCCACAAAGGAAGGTCCATCTCTTCACCGCATGTCAATTACTTCAGCTGATTATCTTATGTGCATTCGGCTTCTCACCGTATCCTTTCATCGAAATGGTATTCCCCATTGTTTGCATCTTCTTCTTGCCGATAAGGTTTGTTTTGATGTAATATTAAGACAGCTTAGTAGGCCATATGGGCCATAAAATTCAGTTGTGGCTGAATATTTTTCCTTCCTTATAAAACCAAAGCTTTTGCATATTTGATATCAAGGAACGGGGTGTACAGGTTCTACATAGCGGTGACGCTGAGATTGCCGAAAAGTTAGGAGAGGGGGTGTAGCTCACTTTCACCGATCTATATACTTGTTGCGATACCCCCCCCCCCTCTCCCATTCCCAAGATGTTGCGCGACTTAGTTGCTGACCCCTATTTGTGGCGGTAATTAACCTACGCGCGATTGCAGAATCACTCGTGCCCCCTACACCCCTTCGATCGCCTTGTACCCAGTGAATTACCTGGATGCCTCCATTGCCTCCTCCATCCCTGCCGCCAGATCATCCAATGTTTGCGTATCGCGCCAGAAACACGAGAGACGCTATGGAAGGCTTTATTAGAAATTGAACGTACCTGACGCCAGTGATATCATTTTGTGATAACTTTCGTCCACCGATTGTCACCGAACCGCATTTTATGTTCGGCCCAATTTACCTTGCTCTGTTTGGCATAAGCGGCAACGTCCCTTGATTTCGATCATTACCGTAGAGTGGAAATCCGCACTTCTGCTTTTACTTGCATGAATCGGATCAGCAATACCCTTTCAACATCACGTTCGATAACATCAACCGCACGTTCGTCTTGCTTCCTCATGATTTTCGCGTAAGTCAAAGTAGGAGGACCCGTCGAGTTGAAGAGAGAGGCGCTAAATCGGATATTCTTGGTTTTCTTGGTCTTCTGTCCCACATAGATGTGGATGTTAATTGACACTGAATCAGAAATAGATCAGGGTTCGGAAAGGTTTGATATTATTATTAAGCAGACTATGACTGCTCAGGTGTACTCAAGTATCTAAGTGTACCATTTTGACCAGTATGACTTTGCACAACCTATTAACATCTCTTTACTTTCAGGCATACACTTATTCCTCGTATAATCGACTACAAATATCTTGACGCTCTGGATGGCCGTCACTAAATGGCAGCTTTTTCAACGTTTATAATCTGCACCGTTCGACAGCTTTATTTACGATATCTCTAGGCGAAACGATTCCTAGTGGGAGGACGCAACGCTCCTTCACTCCTTTTTCTTCCCAATTAGCAATGATGAAGATCTGAAGTTTCAATTTTGTTTAGCATTTAGGTCTACTTTACTCACATTCTATTGTATAAGTTTTTGCCATATTCCGGCGCCTCAGTCGCGAAACTCAGTGTGTGTTCGTAACGATTTGTTGCAATGTATGCCACTTTCCTCATCGATTCGGGTTTAAGTAGCATAGATATTCATTCAGATACGGAGGCGGTAAAGCATTTTGCCATAACCTTTGCATAGGCGTTTCATATACTACTTGTCTTACATCCGGTAGCTTTATTTAGTCCAACATCATCACATGATAACTACTATATATGTGATACTTAATAGGTCATCATTCTATCTTGAATTGAGATGATGTCATCATTCATTGGTTGTAAAAGACGCTTGAGACCATTCTGTCTAAGTCTATAACTTTTGGTCAGAACAATCTCGTGCAGCATTCGAGACTGTTGAACATAAATAGTACTCGTGATGGACTGAATGATGACTTCTTCTGATGAGTGACAGAATTGTAACTCTGCCTTTTCACGTTTTTTCTCTCATGAACATCGTAAAACTTATGTTTTCACATGAACTGTACTCAAGAGTTGAATAGTGCCATATATGAATGTATCAGATTTCTATATAATTAATAAAGTAAGTAAATAAGCACCTCTCTACAGATTACTGCAGACATAACGAGTACCTGCACATATGACACTGAATTGGTAGCAGAAATCAAGTACGCATACAATGAATTCATAAATTTTCATTAGGGATCGCTTGAGAAGCGGATGGCACGAGAAAAGAAGCTCTACACATGCAGGACAAAAAGCGTAAACTAAGAGATGAAAGCAAACGTCAACTATAGCGCACTTCCATCAAAGTTTTCGTTACGGGACCAACAACTGATTAGAAAGGAATGGAGATTGGAAACCATGCGAGGAAGTTAAATTGTCGACACATGTCATCAACACAAAATTACACATTTTTTGCAAGAAAATTGTCTCTAGAGAAACGAATGTAATTTTACAATTTATATGTTCACTCTCGAGTGTCGATATTCTTGTCGTATTCTATCAATGTAGAACTAAAACTAAGTCAAGTGTGACAATGTCAAGATGAAAAGCTGAACTACTTGCGCAGGCATGTTCTCTTCCACAGTCGTTGATATACCGCTTTTGCCCTAACTGGATACTTAGCTTGATTACTTAACGATAAATATTATAATACTTGCCTTATTGGGTTTACTGTGCGAGACTCTTGGGTATTTTTACCCGAGTTAAACTTTAAACTTACTTTTGGTGGTTCAGAGGATTCTTCGAGGTAAACAGACAGTTAGAGATCGAGCGTTTTTTGGGGCGGTTATCGCCAATGTGGAGTAACAACTGAAGGGGGGCAGCCACCAGAAACGAAAACGGGGCCGCGCCCCGACCCTCTAAGACGACATCATCCCGATGATATGCCTAGTGATTAATCTTATGAATTTGGTTACCCTGATTTCAGAGTAAGACATCATCACCGATGATATGCCTAGTGATTAATCTTATGAATCTGGTTACCCTGCTTTCAGAGTACAAGGCGCACCCTTTCGTTTCCTAATGTGGGCAGCTTAGAAGCCTTGCTATGCTTCGTGAAACGATCTCTATGTGACACACAATTCTCTAATCTAACATCATTGTGAGGGACCTGTCGCTCTCTTAGCGTGTTTCGCCATTCTAGTTCAAAAAACCCTGCACCTTGTTCTCGTAAGATTAAGGTTATCTAGCTTTAATAACTAGAGCACAATCATACAATAATTTGTAGGAACCATACTTCACCAATGCAGCTGCAATCATCATCATTATGCAGTAAACGCATACATCTGCTGGTTTTCTACTAATGATTGGTTCTTTATTCACCATCTGATTTTACAACTTTTTAACGGTTGACAAATAATATAACTGCTCTTCCACAGGTCTGTATAGGTCTGGTGCTCTATCGAAGCTGAAGGGCATATTTTTGTACACATTCTAGATGTTCAAATGAGTCATACTGTCAAAAAATTTCGTGCATTTTTGCGACAACTTCCTTATAGCAATAAGAGCTATAAGTAGGAATAAAGAAATTATGAGTAAAAATGTACAGACCTTCTGAAATCCAACTGCCCACGCGTCGCTTTGAACATCAATGCACGGGACGGTTAAAATGTTGATCCCCGAAACGCTACAGGCTTGTTGCAAGTGACTATGAGCGCGCACTGCTTTCACGCAAATTTTTATAAGCTTCTGAAGGTTTGATCAAAACATAATTCAAATCAAGTCGTTGAAAACGATATGGAAGTTGACGGAAATTTTTTCAAAAATGGTGAACGCCTACATTTGTTTGTTCGCGGCGACTGCTCGCTTACGATGGTGTTCAAGGCACAGTGGACAGTTGGGTTTTACAGACCTATAGCATGTCAGGTCAAATGAATGTACAAGAAACAGTACTCGCTTTCGCATAAATATGAATCAAAAAATATGTAGACACTTTTACTATGAAGTCGTTTTTAGGGAGTCTATCCTATTATGGGAATTTTGCCAAAGAGAAGAAGGCACATAAGGATGCGATGGTCGCTGTCGTTCGTAGATTATACGTTGGGGGAAGTGACGAACTTTTGGCTTAGAACGGACCATAGACGTATCTGGGGGTGACACAGAATTTTTTCTTTGCGGAACGAGTCCGGATCGCATAGCACGGTCCACGTAGTCCTCAACTAATCGCTTCAAATCTTGGTCGCTAGCGCCGAGCTCTGCTGCTTTGAAAACGGAGTTCTGAAAAGAGTTTAAGCAATTTAGAATGACAATTTTTATTCTCACCACAAGCTGCTTGTACATCAACGTTGGCAAAAGTTGAGCATACACTGAACATTCTCGCTTTTGAGCTTGGTACATCTTCAGTTCTGGTAGAATGCTATCCCATTGTTCTGGCCGAAGCACACTATGGACGTAAGTGTTCACATTTGCTAGAACCTGATAGAAAAACAGTTTACAGCCTCTGTCTCCAGAAAAAATCTCATCCAACCTGGTCTGAGTTAGTCCCATCGAAAGCACTGTAAACGTATTTGCGGACTTCTGATTTTTGTTCTGGAGTGAGATAACGCTCTAATACAGATTTTGGTCCAATACAGCCGCCAATAATGAATGTGGATGCCATCATTATTGTAGAAGAGACCAAAATAAATAGTTTATGAATCATCTGCAAAGAGTAGTGATAGTAAAAAACAAAAATGAAGCAAAGATTTTGAATTGGTGTTCTCTCTAAATCTAAAGATTTTACTTAGAACGGCCAAGCAACACTACGGTTCACCAAAAAATTCAAAATACCAGTTTAAATTTAACGAATCATGTTTCCACATGAATTAGAAGGAAAAAATCTTTCCACATAAGTTGGAAAGGAAAAATCATGCTCTGAATGTGCTTCAAGCAGCATCTTTGTAGAAATTTAGGAAAGGGCGTCCGTGAATGGGAAGAGAATTGTATTTCTTCAAAATTTGTTTGCCAAAAATGCTAAGAGACGTGGCAAATTTTGATTTTGCTTCAAATATGATTACTTCTTTTTAATTGACAATGAGTGTGCAGATCATGTGAATTTACTGTTAGTTAAGATATGCGATTTTTTACTCGATATTATAAATTTTGTTTCTTATAAAAATTTCATTGTCTGGTAAAATGGAAAATTTCTTACAAAATACATAATAATATGAATCAAAATGATTCCCAGCAAGTAGAGCATTTTTCGTTGCAAGGCTTATGTACGAGTTCAGCGAAAATTTTCCATGCTATTCTCAATGAATAATAGCACAAAAAAGATTTCCTAAGTTGTTTGTAATGATAGCATTATAAAACTGTAAAATTAAGGAGACTCGTTCAAAGAATAAGTCAAATCGAACAAAGAGAAAGACGATCTTGAACACTATGCCATGAGAGTGATAGAAGCGCCCAAATAGGGAGCTCAATTAGCTGTTGAAAGAGCAACGTTGCTTGTGCAAATACACCACTTCGAGAACACTTGAGAAATTCTGGCGAGTCCAAGTGTGAGGATGATTTCGTAAGATCAACAGCGGCTACCGAGGGATCGCTTGAACTTAATTTTTGATGTTTTATCGCTTTTTTTTCAAAATGTTAAATATTAGATGATTTTTTCCATGTATGTCAGATCTTCAGTTCTGAATATATTTAAATATTGTTTCAAAAATGTTATAGAATGCCTAGTGTCATCAAAGTCACTTCAAATAATTATGAGGAAGATACAAGCATAAGCATAGAATGTCCTTTCTTACTTTTGTTTGGGATTAAATCAATTCAAAAATGGCTGCATGGGATTAAGGCTCACTTGAGGTAAAAATTTCTGGGTTGAAAAGATGGTATGTGCAATCTAATATATAAAAAATCGTTAGCTCAATACAAAAATCTTCAAATGGCGGGAAACCTCGGCGGGTCCTGAAGCGAACTTTCTTCCATTAGCACCTTCAGATTACTGGTTCACTAGTCTCGCAAAAATTTGGCATCCAAAAGCATGACTTAATTCATCCTGAGATGAAGTGCAAGATATTTAAAAGGATCAGTGTCTGTTAGTAAGCTGGGATAATCCTGTTTATTTCTTAACCAGTTGCTTTGTCGATATCCTAAAAAGAAGAATCATCAATCTCCTACGGTTAAAGGAAAGGAAAAACCTGATAGATTTTGCGAATTTTCCTGACTCAACACTAATAGATCATTATATCAGCTATTAATTGTGCAACAGTTTTAGCCGCGAAAAACATTTCTGTCAGGGAGAAAACAAGCAGTAGTTCCAAGTATGAAAGGAACTAACTAGTACAGCAGACACCCTTCGAGGGAATAACGCAAGGATGTGCAAAAAATTTATGCTCTCAGAAAAAGTCACTGACTTCTCAAAATTTGTCAGAATGCTTTATGCAAAGTGATTGACGAAAAAATGGCCTTTTGTATGACATGTGATATTGCTAAACGATGACCCGAACGATGATACGAATAGAGACTGTTAATAATTATTCTGCGTACTCGATGCTAAAGTCGATATCGTATTCACACCGCATTTTCGATTTTCGCTCACGTTTCTACATTACCCTAGATGGCTAATGCGTCGCGACTGCTTTAATAGTGGCTATGAACTTCAGGTACGAATTTGTTTCCTGAAATTATGCTTTTTAGTGAATCTTCAATCAACCAAGATCACCATAGCATGTGCTGCCAAAATTTTCAACCAAATGGCAGTCAATGTCCTTTCATAAACTGTATGCGATCAGATATCCTTTAATTCAACGGGATTGGCGGCTGGAAGACGGGGCTGCAGAACCTAATCAAGGCTAGAGAATGATCAGAGAGCACGCTCGCGAGAGGGATGCAGTCTGGGTCGCGGGTGCGAGCGGTCGCCTTCTAGCCGCCAATTCCGTTGAATCAAAGGGTATGGGTCAACCAAATTCTTTGATGCTGAGAAAATCACCTCCATGTGTTTAACGTACTCATTGTCATCTTTAGCTCTTCATGCAGTAAATTTTCTTAAATGTAATTAATTCTTTTGATCTCGATTCCGCTTTACCAGAATGAGATTAGTGTGATCAATCGATTTCATTTCATATTTTTGCAGTCAACTTTTTTTTGTTCAAAAGCACAGGCCCGTATCGTGAACATACCTGCTGGGAGGAGAGCGGCGCTCGCACGCAATCCTCTTATGACTTAGGGCGCACTCCGCTCGTCGCAAGAATGTTCATGTAAGGCCTTAGTCAAACAAAGACGGATTCCTAATCATGGCCCAGATACCAAACAGCTCTTAGAATTGTTTACAGAGCTTCCAAATTTTTTTTGAAAGTTTGACTTTTGAAAGCAATTACTTATTCTCTCTATGAAGCAGTGTCTGTCCTGATTGCCTGTTTGTCTATCTGTCTGCTGTCCGTCTGTATGGCATAGTTGCGATAGGGGGAGCGATGGATCTTACCCCCTTCACTTTGAGGCCAAACTTTCGATGACCCCCTTCACCTGGGCCGAGATTGGTATTATACTCTGAGAATATAAAATAAAAATCGTTATTAAAAGTTTTTGCAGGCTAAGTACCTCAAACAACAAGAACACTCATAAATTTACAAAAGAAACGGTATTTATGTTTATTTATATCATTTATTTATCCTCGTAGCATTCATTTGGAGAGCAGAAAGTGAGGACAAAAAAGCAGTTGGTTCTTGAAGTAGATAAAATCCCTCATATCTCGCGGCACAGAAGACGTCTACGTCGATTCTCCATGATCTCAGCTTTCGAACGGTATACAGCATGTTAGGGCTTCTTTGCTTCCCGGCTCTAAAAATCATTTGCTCCGGTGACCGATAAAAGCCAATACATTGGTGGAGCTGGGTGGAGCTTCGCTAATAGTAAATATCTCCACCCCATTTTTGAAAACTGGTTAGTTTTTTCGCCTAGCAACCTATATACCATTCGAAAGCTCAGGAAAAGGGGATTCGACCTAGACCATCGCTTCTTTCTAGAACCCCCTCTACCGAGAGATACACCGCATTTTATCTGAAAACATGGTCATTTTCAACAGCAGATTTCTGCCAAAGGAAGACCTAATCACTGCTGATTATCTATCTTTGTTAAAGAGCAAGTCTTCATTAACAAACGTAGACCGTCGACTTTCTTGTAGCATTCATTTGGAGAGCAGAAAGTGAGGACACAAAATTAGTTAATTTTTGAAGCACCTATAATCCCTCATATCTCGCGGCACAGAAGACCTAGAAAAAAGTCGACGGCCTATGTCGATTCTCCATGATCTCAGCTTTCGAACGGTATACAGCATGTTAGGGCTTCTTTGCCGGCTCCAAAAATCATTTGCTCCGGTGACCCATAAAAGCCAACACATGTATAGGTCGTCCCGAAAGTTCTTGCGCACGATTTTCAAAAATTCATAACTTCTGATTTTTCCAACCGATTTGACTGCTTCCATTTTCGTATGAAATAGTAAGTCATGTTTCTTATAATGACATCTTATCTGCTTACTAATGGTCATCTGTTGCATAGATAGGAGTGATAGAAGAAAATTGGTCAAAATTCGAATTTTCTGTGTAGGGTCATGAAAAATCGGAGACTTGCAACAAAAATCGGAGCAGTCAGTATTGTAGGTTCTTTCACCAGCTCTTTCTAACAGTGCAGTTTGCGCTGATTGAGCGTCCTATGAAAAGTTATGATTTTCGAGCAAGCAATACAAAAGGGCGAATTTGATTTATTTTAGCTTTATTCAGGGAAGTCATAACTTTTCATAGGACGCTCAATCAGCGCAAACTTTGCACTGTTAGAAAGAGCTGGTGAAGGAACCTATAATACTGACTGCTCCGATTTTTCATGGCCCTACACAGAAAATTCAAATTTTGACCATCTTCTCTCGCTCCTATCTATGCAACAGATGACCATTACTAAGCAGCTGATATGTCATCATAAAGAACATGACTTACACTTTCACATAAAAGTGAAAGCAGTCAAATCGTTTGGAAAAATCAGAAGTTATGAATTTTTGAAAATCGTGCGCAAAAATTTTCGGGACGACCTAATAAGAGCGAGGTGGAGCAAGTTGATAGTAAAAAATGTGATGTGGATTGACACCGTTATCAGCACTAACGGGAACGTGAGCGGACGCGTCTATTTAAGTGTGCTTATCGTTTTATATGTTTATGTTTTTTGGTAAAAAATGCGCTTTTGTTTGACAGCTATGCCATTATAACTAGCACACACTCAAAAAACTATGGGAGATTGGTGAATTTCCACACTTTCACACAAAATCCCGCCCATTTCTAATCTACTCTCCGTAAACCTAGTGCTGAAGAAGGTCACTTTCATGAAAACGCTCTAGACTTACCTTACCTAATTTGTAGAAAATGGTTGGTTTCAATGAATCAAAAGCTTCAAGACATTCAGAAGAATAACATGTTATTAAAATATCCCTCAATGTTTTGGAAAGGTTGGCAGTTTGAAGAGGAAACGGCAGGCAGAATACTTTACAAAATCGCAGATGACTCGCATGTGTTCCAGTTCAACAGCGAGGCAGAAGGAGAATTTTACGCCGACGAAAATGTTGTCGACATTGATACAGATTGACAATTGAGCGAAACTCTCTGATTTCCTACATAAGGAATCCAAGCAGATTGCCTAGTTTCAATGAGGAAATGTCCAGGAAGTCCATTGCTGATCTTCAGGTTGCTGAAGATTTCAAGGCTGCTAAATTCACAAACATGGATATGAACAAAAGGAAGGTGTTTGTACAAAGCATAGCTACTGCTCTTAGATCCCGACTGGAGTGCGAACCCAACTCTGTGCTTTATGCTTTTGGAAGTTATTCGCCTTGTGACATTATTACCTATGATAATGAAAAAAAAACAACGTGCAGCATAGTATCTACTTTTTTTGGCTGTTCCGCAGATGCTGTTAAAGAAGAAGTTGAGCAGCTTTTCTATCAGCTAACAGGACGTATGCCAGAGGAGGTGAAGCCAGAGTTCGACAAGGCCCAAAAAAGTATGCACTATTTTCTTCCCGTGTTGCGAAAGCATATGCGATCTGGCTCTTCTCCCATTACTTACCGCAAAAATCTGATGGACTTACTGGCAAAGCTAGTTTTCATTCCGACCAGCACGGCAGAGGTGTAGAAAGAAATTTTCTATCTACTCTGTTATCAGATTACAACGCAGAATTCGTACAACGATGGAGCATCTAAGCAATTACTTAAGGTTTGTCAATCTTCTACTACACATATTGTTATCTAAAAACTTCATTTAAAGGATTGGTATAAGTGGTCCAGACAGGCTGTTACCGTATGACTTTTTGAAATATCCTAGAAGATGTTATGAAGAAACTGGTCACCTACCTGCTGACTTTCCTGGTGCTACCAGAGGGCCAGGAAAAAAATCACAAAAGCGCTTAGAAGAAGAAGAAAGTTTTAAATCCATTTTCGACTCAGAACGCTTTTGCACGCAATTCTACTTCTACTCCGATGATCTTTTGAAGGAAAAAGAAGATCTCTCAGGCAGCGAATTTGTTGTCTCTGACGTTAGCGATAGTGATATTGTTGATGATGATGCAGGAATTGTAAGTTGTTCCTAACTTGTACATCTTTTGGGATACCTTATTGCTTTCGTTTTTTGTCGATGCAATGAAATAGGAGCACAGATCTTCATAAAGTCAGTTTTCAAAAAAATTTTAATTTCTTTTAAAATTTTAAAAATTTTTTCAATTTGTGCCTAAATAAGGTACAAATTAGAGCTCTTCATACCACGCTTTTTTACCTTTTCTCTCTTCCTCCCCCCCCCCCCCCCCAGACTCACATACCCCCTTCACCCTGGAAGGTCGGGAACAGCCGAGACCCCCTTCACCTGGGGAGAGCCCTGCTCCCCCTATCGCACCTATGCTGTATGGTCTGTCTGTATGTCTCTCTTTGCCTCGCACATCAAAGCAGCCGAAGACATAGACCACAAATATATTTCACGCGATTTCGTTCATGATGTCATATGGAATTTAAGACCGTATGTGCTAACACACCTGTGGCGAAGAGAGCGACGTCCCCAGTGATGAAGGAGCCGCAGCGGCGTCAGCACGCGGCCCTTTCATAACGAGGGCGTCGCTGCCTTCGCCGCGGGGATTTTAACGCATACGGGCCGAATTGTTCATAACTTATCGCGTAGTATTCTAAATGTACGAAAAGGTTGTTAAACCGGTCTGCAAGAGTATACATACTATGTATTTGTAGTCTGCCGTTATTGAATCTAGAGGCATAGATTCTGCTAATTAGGTAAAATGCTTTTCCTTTGGCCTACAGACATACGACATTCAGATGCATCACATACGTTGCCCAAAATGTTTTAGAGAGTTGCCTTATCGTTAGCAGCATTTAGGATATTACTGCATGCATATTGTATACTATACCTAACGAAGACATCGTGCAAGATCCATCATGATCTGAAGGTACGCCAGAAAATGCATTTTTCTGCTCATTTGGACAGTCGATGAAGTATTTGTAACTATTTGCAATTCTCCTTCTTTTGAGACTTAAGAATTTGATTTTTGAAATCATGATCTCATCATGTACGCGTTCAAGATGTCATCATATTGTACAGCACTGCGCTTGCAATAATGATTCTAGCTGCACGCTTCGGGGCCACACGGATCCTATTCTTCAAGATTGCGAACTTCTGCTTCCATCCACCGAATGTGCACTTGACGATGGCTTGCATCTTCGAGTGTCATCGGTTGTAGGTCCACTTCCTGCCTGGTTGTCGGATCCCTAATGGGAATATATGGGAAGATACCGGCATCATGGACAGATTCCGGGAAGTTCGCGTTTATATAAACCGTATATAAACCTCCGCGGACGCCGACAGCAGTTAGCACATTCAGGACTGTAAAGCCCTTGCGGCAGTAGTACTGCCAGCCGGAATGTGTCGGTTTCTGTAACCGTATGCAGCCGTCGACGGCACCGATGATGTTCGGGAATGCTCCGGTTCGGGCGAAGGCGGCGGCATTCATTCCGCAGAAGTCCTCGTCCCTAATCGGCAGCGAACCAAGTGTAGCACGATTAGGGAATGGTTGAGCGCGCGGACAACCATTCTCACCGCATTCGAGACTGTGTCAAGCAACGCAGAGCTATCGCAACCTAAATGAGGAAACATTTAGTCTTATATTCGATTCAGAAGCCCTTCTCAAAGATAACATGCTAAACATCAACTCAGGTTCATCTCTGCTTGTTTGTTAAAGGTTTACCAGTTTTTGATCCCCTTAGGTACCCAGCCAAACCCCGCACGCACTGCGCTAACAGCATGTCTCCTAGGAAACTTCTACATGTTTGAGTCATACATGCGAAATAATTGCGTCATACGCGTATGTGCATAACATTAACATTTCAGTAATACGAAGCATGGATGAACAAATCTTGGTTGTACTGACTTTGTGCTCCAAACTAATGGACCAGTTTGGAATTTCACGCCCTCCTATCAGCGGGCGGCGCGAGCAATTGGCATATCCTCTTCACATGCGTCTCTTCCATCCAAAACTTCCGCGCCAATATCCGCTGGTCTGATGGAGAAGTCGGATAGGATGCAGCCAGCCAGCCCCCTTCTCACAGCACACTGTTACAGATAAGCATTATTCTGTAACAGACACAGATCAATTGCTCTACTCTATTAATGCATGCAAATATAAGATAACGGATTATAGAATGGAGACATAGGCGCGCTCAGGCGAGGACAGTCTGTTATTGAACTTCCTTGATTGATTCACCTGGTCTGGCAAATGCTTTGCAGCATATCGCTATCTATAGCGCAACACGTGTGAGCGCTGTTATCGCGGGCATCAGTGGTTCGATGGCGCGTGGGTATACTCTTTTTGCGAGGCCCTGCAGATAGATCGCTATAGCCTTGCGAGATACTTCGAGCTATCATGACATAGTCCCTCTATGTTGTGACGACCACGAGGGGTTTACTACAAGCCCAGGATCCTTGTAGCTGAAGCATTGTTTAAGGAATTTGTCCCTTATTGAAAAGAATGCAACCCAACTATGCACCAATCATCAAAGTTCATTTATTATTTCACTATTATCTCAGCAAATACTTGAGTTACTTCATTGACTGAGAGGGCACTGTTTGATCGTTAATAACTCCCTTGCTTTCATATCTTTCGCCGACCTTGAGGCACCATTCTGTGGAGCGAGGTTCAACTTAGATCTAAATATGCGAATCATCGATTAAATCATTACTTTAGGATAACGGTAAGAACTTCTAGCATGTGGAACCATTGTTAAATATGCCATATATGCCATCTGACAAAATTTTTTCTTCAAAAAATCTGAAAAGTGTATTGAGGTTTTCGCGCACGCTGATTCCATTACGTAACTTTTTACGAGTGTTTCCAGCTTTTTTGACGCTATCATATTTGTGACAAATGCTAAGAATTCACTTATTATTGTTTACCTGGGATAACTTTGACAAGAAACATCACAGTATATTCGAAATTAGCGGCTTACATAACCATAGATAAAAGCTTTTGGCTTGTTTGGTTTTGTTCCGAGTTATTAACGATCAAACAGTTTCACATTTTTTGGGACACCCTGTATATACCCAAAGGCCTTTCTCTCAGTCAATAAGTTTTTGATCATCATGGTAATGATATTATGAGATGAGATCAAAATGTTGCTAAATGCAATGCACGTAGATGAAAAAAAACGTGGGAAGAAATGTTGAACCAACATTTGCGCAAAGCCTCCCCCCTCTCCCTCTGGCCGACTCACCGGGGTGACCCTCTCCCCCTCTCTCTCCGCCTCCCACCCCCCCCCCCCCCCATCTTAGGGCCGCATGCACTAACATCCCCGCGGGGAGGGGATCGCAGCCTAGAAGAAAGCTTTATATTTCGAAACTCCAGATTCCTGGATTTCACGTTGTGTACCTATCCGTAAGTATTCCTACTACCCTTCACTATGAACATGTTGAAGAGGAGCGAGAAGCTGTACGAACCGCATTTTCCAGCTTTTGTATGATCCCTGATGATCCCCGGCGCTTTTCTTTAGAGTCATTTTTCTTTCTTCGAAGTTAACGAAAAACTTCCAAAGTTGTGCAGATTATCTAAACCGACAGTGCTACGCATGTTGCTGATAAGAACAAATGATGTTTTGAAGTCATGAAATTTTCGATGATCCACAGGTCGAAATTTGAGGTTTACCGAAAAATTCGACTTTTCAAAGACTCATTTGTTCTCATCAGCAACATGCTTAGCATTGTTGTGTTGCTTAGCATTGTTGTGTTGTTTCAGTACAACTTTGGAAGGTTTTCGTTAACTTCGGAGAAAGAAAAATGACTTTGAAGAAAAGCGCCGGGGATTATTAGGGATCATACAAAAGCTGGGAAATGCGGTTTGTACAGCCTCTCGCTCCTGTTCAACATATTCATAGTGAAGGGTAGTAGGAATACTTACGGATAGGTACACAACGTGAAATCCAGGTATCTGAAGTTTGAAATATAAAGCTTTCTTTTAAGCTGCGATCCCCTCCCCAGCGGGGAGGTTAGTGCATGCGGCCCTTAGAGGGGCGGGATCCCTACGACCCCCTTCACCCTGGAGAGGCCGTGTTCCCGTTTGCACACGTATGCGCTGGTATGGTGTGAATGTTTAATAGCTTTTGCGGCTGCAATCATTTACGTTTAAACATGGACCGTGTTATCTCGGCAGTTCTCATCTATGGGTTACACTAAGGGTGCCTTCATACCGCGCCGGCAGCCGCCGCTAGCAGCCCGTAGCACCCACAGCAGCCGCCAGCAGCCCGTAGCCGCCGCTGGCCGCTTTTGTCATACAAGCGCAAAATCATCAAATTCTTACTATTTTAAATGCAACCGCCTACGCCCTCCATCCTCCACGCTTTTTCCTCCCTGTTGCCGCAATTTGATCTCATATATCATCATACTTGTGTCCATTATTGTTATTATCTTGTCACCGTAGATTGGTTATCCTACTGATGCTCAGTTTCCCTCTCGCAAATAAACCATATTTCGCCAACGTTTCTTTGCGATGTGATTTTTTCTGACTATGGATGCGTCCTGTTCCTGCAGGTTGCTATTTGTTAATTTTTAGGATGTTTTGCTTCAGTCATATCACTTCGGTGTGGAAGAGGGAAAGTATGGGCAGGCGCACGCAAAGTACTAAGAATTTGATGATTTTCGCTTCCATGACAAAAGCGGCCAGCGGCGGCTACGATCTGCTGGCGGCTGCTACGGGCTGCTGGCGGCTGCTGCGGGCTGCTACGGGCTGCCAGCGGCTGCTGCGGGCGCGGTATGAAGGCACCCTAAGAGCTCAAGAGTTCACATATACAATGAGTGGACGAGAAACCTTCGATTCCACTGCGTTCGTTGCAAAAGGGCAAAACATAAGTTTACCATATTACGGAGACGAGAGTGTAGCTCGTGACACCTGCTGCCTCAATGTTTATTCTCAAATCTTTTCAAACTCGCTCACAACTGAAAATTTTATCCGAAACATAATACAAAAATTTATTGTATTCAAATAATGTTAGTTATCCTCTGCCGTGAAAATGTACGAAACCAAATGCAATCTTCTTATGGATTTACTTTCAGGAGAGAAATAATTCCAACGCATTACAGTATACGACGCTTGCAACACGAGATCTCTTGTCACATTACGGCAATGGTAATTTATCGTCAGTGAGTTGTATCTAATCCGTAAACTTTCATCTAAAAAAAAACTATAGTATTCGAACTGGGAATGAAAAACACGATTGTTGGCTTTTCTTCTCAAAGTATGGGATTGACTGAAAGCAAGTGATAAGAAACGCTCATGCTCCTGTAAAAAAGACCTGCTTTTAAAAGTTGATGGGGATGCAAGTGATGCGCAAAGAAATACTGCTCGAAGTTTGATTCATCAACAAGAAATGATGCATACGTCGTGGAAAAGCAAACGCGAGGCACTACCTTGCTGGTGTCACGTAGCTGAATAACCGCGAACTCTCTCACAGGAGTCTAAAATCGTTAAAAAGAGTGAAGCGAGAAAGAGGCAAGAGCTACTTCAAGAGCTTGAAGTATGCAATAACAACCCGACTCAGTAAATGGTTGCAGAAAGGAGTTTGTTTGAAAAAATCTTTTTGAAATACAAACTTCACAATATTCCAAATGTGAAATGGTGGTAGTTTTGTAGTCTTCCATTCAACTGCTTTTGTTATCTACTAGTCAAAATTTGTTTGCAATAATCTGTGACGCTGCTACTTTGTTTCCAATACAAAGCTTTGCCTGCCATCTATTCATCCCCTTTAGTACTGTAACGCTTCAGTCCCATGAAGCGCTATCGTCCATAACTTTGATTTTCTTATCTAAATCTTGTCTGAGCAAATGCAGCGCAAGCGGTACCCACAAAATCAGAGTTTGCCCTTAAAAGATATTCTTCTATCATTTGAATAGAACGAGCTATAAATGTAGCAAAGCCCACACCTTTGGAGGAAATCGTAAAAATCGGCTATATAAAATTAGCTGCAATGAGAGAGGCGATCAATTCAATGGGTCCGTCTCTAAACGAAAAACGAAAGGTCATCAATCAGTAAGCAGCTACTTAAAAGTGTGCAGATTATCTCTTTTTGAAAGTATTACTCTTACCGCTAGCATGAAAGATTAGTTCATATGCTACATTTTCAGTATCCTTCGCAAGTATGCATAAAAAATTTTCGATTCATAGAGATGAGGACCATGTTTTTACTTGCGAGGTCAACGGGCGCCAACTCAGCAGTTTTATTTTCTCATTGCTTTCTTAGTAGTTTCTGCTTGTGTAGAAAGGCGTTATCGACCAGGAGAGACTGGACCTCGAGATTTCGATCTTACTAGTCATAAGTTGAAGCATTGGCAAACATGAGGAGTTTGATGGTTCAACTAATAGCAAGGAGATGGATATTAATTGAAATTCGTCGGTGAAAACACGATATGCGATAATGAACAAAAATATTGAAACGACTGTATGCACAGAATTATCGCGATTTTCGATCAAGGAAAACGCGTTCATCGGCCAAGGAGAATAGCACGCAGATTCCAGCTCAGAAGCGATCGATAGATGACGACAGATCGCAGGTAAGCAACCAAATTTGTTCGAAACTTTATTCTGATAGCGATAAAATCGCAATGTCAATAGTCTGTAGTCTAAAAAGCTGCCAAAATTCTCGCAATTGAGTAGCAAACACATTAAGGGTCAACAAAACAGAGTTCGAATAAATGGAGAAACGATAGAACCCGGAAAAGGCTCAGTGAATTATGTAAGTAGTTATTCATTGAATTTTTACAGTGACTGATTCATGCACCTTGCGACCACGAGAGTAGGTGCACGCAAAGGTATAATTGACATTTCTTTAGTATTATCAGTTGTTTGAGCCCCTTACAGTTACCGGCAATGCAAGTTCCCCCAGGGTTTCTTCATACTACGCCGCAGGACGCGGCGTGCTGCGGCACGCGCGGCAGGACGCAACAGCCTGCCGCAGTCGCGGCGTGCGCCGCTGCAATCGCAGTGATATAAGCTCACTTGCTGTGAATGAACACTCGGAGAACACGAACTGCAACAAATATAAATGCACATCCATAACCGGCGAATCTGTGCTGCCGTGAGCGTAAATTTTCAATGCGCCTGCAGCGGCGCACGCCGCAGCACGCGCTTCCTGCGGCTAGTATGAAGGAATCCTAAACTGTAGTTTCTGCTCTCAAAATGGTTGAAGTGGCTTTTTAAACACTTTGTGCTCACTAGCCCGTTATCCTTACTTTAGGTGCGTTTACACATGACAAGCACATACGCGTTCTTTGTACTACTTGCTTGCTTGCTCCCAAGAGTTGATGCCAAAATTCATTTATACTTGTCAGAAATTTACGCGTTTCAAAACTTTTTCCAAACAGGGTCTCAAATTAACAAGTAACAAACCCTGATCAAGTTTTATTTGATAATTTTGATGAAAAGTTCTTTGCAATCTCCTTGCTGACCCGCTTTTGTGCCTCGTTTTCAAGCTCCTTGTGAAAAAAGCGTCAATGATCTGCAAAGGCAGTCAATAAATCCTGAACATTTAAAAATTCTGTGGTAGCATGGCCATTTGAGCACTGACCCCCACCTTCCTTCCCCAGAGTTTGTCTTCAGGGCCGGTAGTAATCTACCTCCATGGCGGCCTCAAAGATGTTGCCAAGTTGGCACACATCTCGGAAAGTTGCCAACTCCGGCAGCAGCTCGCTAATTGATCATAGGTTCTGATAATATTGAATAGTGTCACTTCGCAGTTCTACGCTCATGAAATTTTGATGACGCCGATAGCCGCAAAACAGTGGCATCGCGCGCGTTCGAACGTGCATGCGTCAACCTCAATGCAGTCGCGTTAACCATTCGACCAATTTCTGTTGTGTGCGGCAGCAGTGATAGCAACGCTAATTGGCCCCTATATGAGAAGCATGATCAATACATTGAGTGATAGACGCTGACGTGGAAAAACAGCTGATTAATAAGAGCGAGCGAGAGACGAAATCGTTGCAAATGAGATTTAAAGCAGTTGCAAGATGAAAATGGCGTTTTTTATTTTTACATAATATTACTAGGTCTTTCTTGTGCATGCATATCATCAATTTGAAGAAGAAAAACCCATATAATGACAAAGGTGATAGTTTTTCGGTAGAAAGTAAATTTTTTTGATTTTTTTGCTGGACTAAGTTGTGCGATGTTGCCGCGCAACGCAATTTCACAGACACCGCCAGCAAGGTGGCGCTACCTCGACGTGGTGAGGGCACGTCGGGGTGGTGGCACTCTTAAATGAGCACGTTATTTCTCATGCTCTCTGACCTGGGGGCATTCCTCAACGCTAAAATTTCGACGAGATGCCACCAGGTCAGCTCGCGAAGTTGCCGCCAGCACTTCCTGCCTACCTCAATAATTTTGTTTAAAGGGGGGGGGGGTGTTTAGAATCTCCATTTGCCAAGTGAGGTTCTCTAGGGTCACAATGACCTCCTCGACCAGGAAGATCGTGGTGAAAAGGGTTTGGAGGCAATTTGAGGTCGGTGTTCCTGCCGACTTCAAGTAAATTTGACGGAACCTAACAGCGAAACATGCCGCCGGTCGGGGGGGGGGGGGATTACTACCGGCCCAGGTACCATTTTGTAGAGCCGGCTCCAACTTAGTTTTATAGTGTAAAGCTAACCACCGGTTTTTTCTCACTACTGTAGGATACGGTAGATGTTTGCAAGCTTTGATGGCGTTATTCATACGAACCACTGGCGAACGTACTAACGATGCGGTTGTCTACGGTGTGTTGAACTGATTATCGGTTGAACAACGCGGTTAACATAACACCAGTCCGTGGCCCGAGGATATAAGCATACATACTTAGAGACATTTAGCTTCTTATAGGAAATAAAAAAATTTGCATGAGCTCATACTAATGTAGGCCACTCCTATCGTTAAGAGACGGAGGGAAATTCACATTCCAAAAATTGTGAGGCAAAAGTACGATCTCTCGAAACCCCGAAATCCGAAATTTCGCTCAACCTCAACTTCTAATTTTTTTCTCCTCATTAGAACAAATGCAAAAAATCAGCAAGTATAGCAAGCTTATAGAAAGGCTAGCATTTCACTGTATTGTATAGCACTCACACATTTGATTTCCGCAAGTAGAGATATTTCGACTGAGAAAGTGCGGACAGGAAATCAAAGTATAACATATTTTACATGTTTTACAGCACTTCACCTGCAATTCCGGCGTATGCAACATAAACGTAAGTTCTGTCTTGACATTTCATGTTTCTTACAATTTTCTTCTTATCCCACATATCTCAGCTGAAGCCATTTATAACGTATGTCACAAATAGAGATATTGTTGAAATAATCGGCTTACATACAGTGACCGCCAAAAAGTTGCGGACAAGCCTCCCTCCCTTTTTCATCGCTCTTTTTCAGAGGGAAAACAAGGATGAAAAAATGTAATGATTGCATGAGGTGATAGAGCTCTTCAAGATCTACAATCTACTCTTTGAGTTTTTCGAGAAACATGTGTTTTAAAAATTTTAAGAAATTTTTTCTAAAAAAAGTCCGAAAATGGCCGCGTCACAATGTCGCGGACAATAATTCTTCGAACGCAAAAATTTTCTTTTGAGTCCTATTCTAAACCGGAAACACAGTTATCCGGACGGGTAAGCATACTACTATACAGAGCTCGTCAAGGCTACACACTGGCTATGGTTGCTTCCCTAAAGAACGCAAGCTTGAGTTTAATTTTAGTTTTTTCAAAAACAACTTCTAATTTCCTTTATCAAGCCAAATTTCTTCACACGGAAACCTGTTCAAGACATCCCAATAGAGCCGTTTGGATAAAATAGATGCTCTTTGCCATACTCTATGCATCGGACGTGTGCTGATGAGTTTCTTGGCCGAAAATGGCCCTTGGCAGTGCTTGCACATGAGCCCACCTGCACCTCACCATTGACTTGTACCGCTTTGCAGGCTTGTAACTCGGCCTGCAGTTAATATTTGAGCCTGCAATTAGGCTCATTCGAAAGAACGACACTTCCTCTACACGATGGTATGCAACTGAGTTGAGTTTGAGAAATTTCAGAGATTTGGCGGATGGGGTGGTAGAAGGCAGCTTCAGTTGTAGTCTAACAGGGGAAGGATACTTGGATGCCGTGGCCATTTATAATGATTTGTATACCAAAAAATGCGCTTTTGAATGCTGGTTCGTAGACTGTCTCTCATATCTGCGAAACGATAATCTGAATGGAGTTATGATTTTTTTCATTAAAAAATTGCGTTCCTGCGGAGGGTCAAAATCATCAATAAAAAAATTTTCTCTCCTTTCCAAATGCTGAGTATGATCCAGATAGTCTGAATAAATATTACTACGTCTAAAATTTTCTTCAGTAGCATCAAACGGTAGGCTAGATCAAATCTGGTGATTTTTACTATCCAAAAGTAGGCTAAATTTTCAAGGAAAAAAGTTCATAACTTTCTTCAAAAAATCGTTTCGCAGATTTCGAGCACAGATTCAAAATCTGCATTCGAAGGCGCATTTTTTGGTATACAAATCATTAGGAATGGCCGCGGCATCCAACTATCCTTCCCTTGTAAGCACTTTTCAGCTAAAGTTGAAGAGAGCTCCTTTCGCTACCAATTTCATCCTGGAAGTTCAAAACTGTCAATTTTCTTATAATAGATCCATTTCGAAGCTCTAAGGCTGTTCTGGTGTCCATAAGAGTTTTCACTCCAATCACCTCTGAGGCTGCCCTCTACCACCCCATCCGCCAAATCTCTGAAATTTCTCAAACTCAACTCAGTTGCATACCATCGTGTAGAGGAAGTGTCGTTCTTTCGAATGAGCCTAATTGCAGGCTCAAATATTAACTGCAGGCCGAGTTACAAGCCTGCAAAGCGGTACAAGTCAATGGTGAGGTGCAGGTGGGCTCATGTGCAAGCACTGCCAAGGGCCATTTTCGGCCAAGAAACTCATCAGCACACGTCCGATGCATAAAGGATGGCAAAGAGCATCTATTTTATCCAAACGGCTCTGTTGGGATGTCTTGAACAGGTTTCTGTGTGAAGAAATTTGGCTTGATAAAGGAAATTAGAAGTTGTTTTTGGAAAAACTAGAATAAAACTCAAGCTTGCGTTCTTTAGGGAAGCAACCGTAACCAGTGTGTAGTCCTTGACAAGCTCTGTATAGTAGTATGCTTACCCGTCCGGATAACTTGTGTTTCCGCTTTAAAATAGGACTCAAAAGAAAATTTTTGCGTTCGAAGAATTATTGTCCGCGACATTGTGACGCGGTCATTTTCGGACTTTTTTAGAAAAAACTTCTTAAAATTTTTAAAACACATGTTTCTCGAAAAACTCAAAGAGTACATTGTAGACCTTGAAGAGCTCTATCAGCTCATGCAATCACTACATTTTTTCTCCTTGTTTCCCCTCTGAAAAAGAGCGATGAAAAAGGGAGGGAGGCTTGTCCGTAGCTTTTTGGCGGTCACTGTATGTTGAAGAGAATGTGATCAAAATTCAAGAGTAGGTTAAACTACAAAACACGATTTGTCCACCAATTTCTCAATATAACTACGGCTGACCCTACTGAAACTTATTATCGTCTTCCACCTTTAAATGGTAGGAACCGCAGACGATTAAAATTAGACTACATATCGCACTTAAGTCTAAATCCAAAAAACAGCAGATTTGCTGAATGCTGAATTTTTTCCCGTATAAAACTGTCAAAATCTCCACATAAGGCGTTTGCAGAGGGCTACCTTGTAAAATGAAATTTTTTGAGCATTATTCAATGCCCATCCGCATTGCGACAATTTGTTATGAAAGCTGGGAACCGAAAAACATTTTAGGCCACCTTTCAAAGCAATCTGCTGCAAATGCACTTCTCGCACACATTCGAGCCATAACGTTTCCGGGGTAGAAGTCCTTAACCTTGACGAACACAAAAGGTGCACGATAACTGTTGAAATTACTTGGTTAATGAGAGAGAAATATATAGGACTTAAGAAGGAAAACGAGAATTGAGCAAACCACTTAAGCGTTGCGTGTGGTTGAGGACTATATTGCGTAGTTTGAAACTGTCATAATTCAAGAATGTAAGCATAGACCTTTTATGTTTTCTTTTTTGTGCAAGTATGACTATGACCGTTTCAAGTTGCGCAAATGTAGTCCACTGATCTCTGCAGCAACTTTGAACCTCTGCTCACAGACAACAGAAGGAATGAATGAAGAATGAAAAGAAGAATGGAAAATAAGTGAGAAATATTTATGAATGGAAAAATAAGTGGAAATATTTATTGACGCCAATCAGCTTCTGTTTTTGAAGAGAGTCATTGATTATTTCTGCTTTATATTGGAGTTCCATTGTTTATGTCTGTCTTGCAAGCGAATGCTATTTGATAGAGCAAAGTTTACAAAGTGGTTCCGAAAATATGTATAAAGTTGACCAACGCGATTTGCAACGCAAAAATTCAAAAAAAATTTCTGAAATCGGATCATCAGAAAATTTTAGGAACTGCTAACATTCTATTATATAATCCACATCAGAAATTCCAAGCAAGCTCTATATGAGCTCTAGCTCTAGCTCTACACGTTCTATGACTAGGCGAATGTAAATCTTTTTCAGACCTTTTTGCTAGCATTGTACACTATTCTCCACATTATTACGGCAGCATCAATCATCTTTGCCCGAAAGCTTTTGCTTTGCGGCAAACTTGATTTCTCAGAAGATACTCTTACAAAGGTGCGGAACTGATTCTGCAAAGCGTCTACTTTCCATAACTTGTTCGAAAATCCATAACGTACAAACCAGAAATTGATTTATCTGTTGTCAAAAAATAATGGAGCTTTATGCATCTGTGATGCTAAAACCATAAACCCTTGTTAGAACAAGTGCTGCAAATGTGCAAAATTGTACTCATACTTTTGTAGCTTTCTAGAACATAACTGCTTACGGAGGGACCCAAGATTGCTAGGAGAGGAGTTTGCCGTTTTTCGAACATATCCCGTTCTTGATTTCCACTCATTAATATTACAATTGTACAAGTCGACGCTTGTATGTGTCTATTATGTATGACTGATGATTAGATTGTAGCATTTTTTGTGGTTAGATTTGTCTTAAAGGTACTTTGATCTTCTCAATTTTTGGCTCCAATTTTCCTAGAACACCACTGATGCAAATGTCTGGTGAATCTCATGAAGCATGTTTGCTTGGAAGGTTCCACACAAGTTTTGGTATCCATCCTATTGTGGTGGCATGGAGCGCCATCAGTTTTTTTTTGACAACTTGGATAACCATCGGCTGCTGCTTTTAATGCATTTTTTGCGGGATAATCAGCAACTCTTCACGAATATGCTGCCCCATATGCCTACCATTATATAATCATCATTTTTATTTCGAAGGTTTTTGAAAATTCCAGCACTCAACGTTGTTACCTTTTCTGTTCAAGAGAAACAGTTTCAAAAACATTGGGCAGATAACTCAATTTGCGCGCGTTTATACTTTGCTCACGGTGACGAACGAGCAGAATTTGTTTGATAGTTGTATTAGATTGTTTTAAAAGTCCGATTTGCAATTTTCTGGTTTAAAATGTTATAACTCTTTTCAAAATCAATATTTTCAAATAAATCAAGTTTTGCTGGATTATGCAAAGTTATATCTATTACAAGAACAGTTGCCATGCGAAAAAGACAAGTGAAAGATGAGGAAAAATCTAGAGGATTCTGCGAGATTTCCGTCACGACCGTCTACCTTGACATAGTAAAGCTCCCACATAAGAATAGGCACACATATTTAGCTGCCATAAACAATTAGTCCCTACATCAGAGATTATCCAATAGCTAAAAAACCCAAATCGTCTTTGCTGCATAAAAGTCTTTACGAGCAAATAAAAAAGCCATTATTTGAGCCCTCCTCGCGCATGCAAGTATACACATCTTCGATGTCTGATTTTTCTTGTTGTTGCAAATAAAAAAATCTAGTTGGCTGATGGTCCTTGCTTGTTCTCGGTTTACTCTAACATAGGAAGATTGAATACATTACTTACCGTTATGAGGAATTGCTGTCGCTAGTTGAATAACTGAGCACACTTCAATAATTGGAAAAAATTCGAAGAGTAAGGCATTCTCATAGGAGAAAAAGTGTGCGTAAGTTAACCTATTATACCCTTAATCATTATAAAGTATTAAATAGGTGACTTTACAAGCACTTCGAAAACTCTCGTTATAGGAACTTTTTCTTGAGCATCATTTTGGTACCTTAACTTTAAGGCTGGAAACTTCCTCACTGGAAAGCTATTTCGTCGAGATTCTGTAAGCATGGAAAGAGCGAGAAAAATGCTTCTGTATAATGCTTACAATAACTGCGAAAAGGGCAATCCAAGAAAACAGCACGTTAAAACAAGGCAACTAAAAATCGGACAGAATATTTGAAACAGTCTAGTACAAAATTGGTCAATCTCTTTAATCACCTGATAAACTTCCACGTCCTCTTATATTGATTTCCTATTTGATGCAAACAAGCGATTCTTACTTTCTGCTTGTGCTTTGATCAGTACAGATTTGTTCGATGCTAAAAATAGTTAGATTGATCTGAACCTACCATAAAAATCAAATTCTGGACGCCCTTTAAGCTTGCATCTTTTGAAGCGGTAGCATTTTTCCATGCTAATCATCTATTCCACTTCCACGTTAAAGGCTGTTCTTGTTTCTTAAGTGATCTTCATTTGCGGTTTTCCTGGTTGCATTTTGTATTTGATGAAAATGAGCGTAGGGTGGTTGTATGACAGAGCAACTTTTTTTTACAATCGAATCAAGTAGAGACAAGAAGTCACCGATAAGCTTCACCCCTAGAGCTGCTACTTTTGATGATGAGGAGTGCGCATTTGTCGCGCAGATGCCCTCGCGGGACTTCCTCGGTGAGCCTAATGTCCTCTAGTCTATCGCGAGCTAGAACCCAAAAACATATGCTTTTCAGACAAAAAGACACTGAGCACTTTCTGCAAACCTGATCACAGTGGGGAAGAGATACCTTCAGATAATATAACAACGCTTGGCACTTGTGACTAAGTTTGACTAAGCTCTTACCAAAGCTCTTACCATCAGTCTTGAAAAGGGACATTTTTGCTTTCGCACATAACTTACCTCGAAGAGATGCTTAAGTGGAAAGGTTCGAGTCCGAAACCACCCGTCAATCTTATTATGTGAGCAGCGCCGTGTATCGACTTTCTTTCTGCATCACCGTGTTAAACACTAGAGAATTCGAAAGTCGAAAAAGATGTCTATTGTTCTCCCTCTGTAGTCCTTCGATATGGAAATGTAGCGCATCGCGAAGGAGAACTCCCTGGCGCGCTTCTTGGCGAAAAGAGGTCGCAAGGACAGCTAGCACGCACCTCCGATCATCGAACATCTTGTGCGTTTCGAATTCGTCCCTCTACCAGATCATTCTCTATCGAGTTATTACTTTGCAGCACTGTAATCGCAAACTAACCCATGTCAGGGGCGTACCCAGGATTTCAGTTTGAGGGGGGGGGGACAAATTCTCTGCTGAAGGTGCGTGGCGTCAGCAACGCACTTATAAGGCTAAATTTTTTTCAAAAAATTTTTAGAAATTACTTTGCGCCCCTCCCCCCTCGGTACGCCACTGACTCATACGTATTTTTCATCCGTAATTATACTATACAATGAATAATTATAATGATAATTACCAATACTAATCCAAATAAATGCTGGCGTTCAAGTGGAAGTGAACTCGAGCTACACGGTCTGAAAATTAACGCAGCGAAAACCGAGGACATGGAGCTGGGAATTCAAAGGCCTGGAAACATCTAGATTAAAAGTATTTCAGTTAAGAAGATTACGGCTTTTGAGTTCCTGGAAACTCTCATATCAGCAGATGGTACGCTTCAAGAAAAAATTACCTCTACAATAAACGCAGTTTAATTGAAATGGAGATGTTACCGGAATCATCTGCGACGAATACCGATCAAATCGAAATCCCAGTTGTACCGCACCGCGATCCCCCAGCTGCTTTATATGGCAGCAAGTGTTGACCATGTACGCGAAACGATGGAAGGATCAGTGTAATGGAGACAAGTATGCTAAAATGGACGGCAGGCATCACTGTGCTGGATCATGTCAGCAGCGGTACCATTAGGACCTGAAAGTCGCCCCGATTTGTTAAGAAGGTACAAGAAAAGCGACTTCAATGGTATGGAAATGTGAAAAGGAGAGAAGAAGATCACGCCATTAGATTGGCATTATCTGTAGATATCACCGGGAAGAGAAGAACCGGAAAGACCGAAGCTAAGATGGATAGATAAATTAAAGCGGACCTCTAAGAACTTCAAATAAATCAACATCAAGTTGAAGATTGCGAAGAATGGAAAAGGCTAATAAGAGTAGTAGATTAGATACGATGATCCATTGTTACGGTTCGTAGTGTAGACTGTAAGAGTAGTAGATTAGATACGATGATTCATTGTTACGGTTCGTAGTGTAGACTAAAGATTTTTTATTTTTTATCTTGCTATGGAATGCCGAGATTGTATTGAACGAATGAAAAAATGATGTTACAAGAGTAGCAGAATCCATACAAGGAAACAATGAGAGGATAAAAAAAATTATACTATACAAGATCAAGATCAAGAACAAGATCAATCTAATTAAATGACCACTCACATAAAACAAAACATGAAACCATGATCTTTCTCAACAACTTGAAATGGAGGAATCCTAAGTTTGGAAGCATGCTTGAAATCGCGTTGTATTGTTCTCGTCTGTTAAGCAGAATATTAGCTTGGCACATAAGTTTTGCAACTTTTTCATAGCGTCCCGCTTTTTAAACATAGCGTTCTTATTTGTTGGGATTGTATAAAAATTAGTGCACTTTACAAGACTGCATAAACCGCTTGTTTTTGATAACAAATTAGGAAATTGGAAGCATTTTTCAAAACGTGTTAACAATCGAGCTTTTATATTTTTGCAAGCAAAAAATAAAGCTGACAACGATCGTACACATCCATCTGTCAATAACTAAGCTTTGAAAATTTAACATTTGCCTAAATCCACAATGGGATAATTCGGCATGGTGAACATGCACATCATTTTCAGTTGTTGCTTGGTTAAAAATTACACTTCAATCTTAGGAAGAAGGCCTTTTATGTGGAATGATGTGATTACGATTGGCATATAAACTAACCCCTCTAAACCCAGTTTTAGCGAAATCTGAAGCAATCTGAAAAATTTTCCCTTAAACTGTGAACCTCGATGAAGAAATTCTGCAAAAATGGCTGCATTTGTAGCTTACATGATAATCTTTATAATAACAAAGAATGAATGCATTATATTGAAAAAGGACAAAAGTTATATGGAAAGCAGCACTACTTATGTCCCAACCTGATAATTCCGGCGCACCAAAGTATAGATTCCCTACAATCATAATCACACTTCAGTGAAGCAGCATATGTTTTAGTCAGAATAAACCCTGAATGTGTTCTTCACAGATCAAATGTACTCATATCAGCGGTTCAATGGTTGAAAAATCCACAAAGCCCACTTGCATGCAGTATTAAGTTGCCAAACTGAGCGCTTCACACCTTTCAGATCAAAATGGATATCATTCCACCTGGGCAGGAAGGAGAAGGCGGAGAAGTATGTTTACTTCTGTTCTCTGGGAGTAGATGCTTTCAGGCATGCTTGTTTCACTTCTCAAAATCTCCAGAGCATTTAGGATGATAATCCACGATCGACAGAATCGGAGAAGGAACAGGCGTATAGAAACACAAAGGTGAGTTTCGCCTTAAATTGTGCTAAAAAGGAAGAAAAGCGGATGAAGGAAGATTAGTGTCAAATTTGAAGTAGCGGAATTATGCTTTGGGTGCGCACTTTGACAGCTTACAATATCCTTCGCAATGCAGGAAAGCATTTGGGGAGTAGAAGAGTTATGTTGCCGATAAATGAATGTTACGTATGCGCCACAAATCATACATCTTTACACATCACAGCTTCTGCTTGTTGTCTTGTGCGCGGAGTCTATTGGTTACATAGTGTCCTATTCAGGCTATTGGCTTTGATATCTGTAAAATGCAAAACTTTTCAGACGGATAAGAAGGTTATAAACAGCGATAACGGTCCCACGGAAGAGCTGGTGAGTCACGGTTCGATCTATCTTGAGGTCTTTTACAAGGGGGATTTATAGACTATAACATGACCTGTTATATTAGGTTGTCCGGAATTTATTGCCCGTTTTGAACTTCAACCGCAATAAGGCATACGTTTCTCATTTCTAAATAGGTTGCAAAATACCATTCAATAGAGCAAAGCAAGCTCTACAAGATGGCATCTTGCTTTTGCAACAGCTCTCATCCACCTCGAGTTTCGGGCGAAAAACTAAAAAGACTCAGCAGCTCGAAAAATCGAAATTGCTAATGTAAACACTATCCACATAAAATATCTATATACGCCTTTGCCGTATTTTTTCCTCCGTCAGAAATCAAGAAAACGGAAATTTTCGTGCATTCGCCAAAGTGGTGCTGTGCCGTCCCCACATGAGTAGTTGTATACCACAAACCTGTAGAAGTACAAACGTAAATTCCCAGCTCTCTACAAGCTTACCTTCTCGAGAAATTTGGATTTTAGCTTAGATCACCTAACTAGGGAAACTATATTCGTTACTTCTCGAGAACCAAAGCTTGTAGAAAGCTGAAAATCTAAGTCTGTACTTCTAAAGACTTGTGGTATACAACTACCTGTGCGGGGACGGCACAGCATCATTTTGGCAGATGCACGAAAATTTCCGTTTTCTTGGTTTCTAACAGAAGGAGAAATACGGCAAAGGCGTATATAGATGTATTATGTTGGTAATGTTTACGTGAGCAATCAAGAATTTTTGTAGGATTTAGTTTTTGGCTCGAAACTCGAGGTGGATGAGAACTGTTGCAAAAACAAGAGCTTTGCTCTATGGAATGGTACTTTGCAACCTATTTAAAAGTGAGAAGTATATGACTTAGTGCGGTTCAAATTCAAAACGGGCATTAATTTCCGGACAACCTAATAGCATCGTGTAAAAACCCGTTCAACGAAGTGTAAATGAGTTGTTTACCAAACATGCATAGTAAGAGAGCGAAAAGGTTGAGTTTAGCATGTACTAGCATATAAAGATGTTACTCCTGCGAGGGGAATTTGACGAGTGCCATATGCCTTTTATCTACAGCTGATATTTTCCTAATGACGAGGAAGGTCAAGAAGCGCGACTTTCTGGCTCTTTTAGCTCATACTTCAATGTAAGACTATACTAGTTCAAAATGGGCAGCTGGCTGCTTTTGGAGTCAATGATTGTTCTTGGAATTTTTTTTGCGAGGCCAAAGCTACAAAAAGGCTTACAGGCTGTGTCAGTGGCGCATTCCCATCTCTGCAGTTCACAGTCGCGCTCGCAGATATCCTGCGCCACGTTAGCGATGACCGCATCTCATCGACCAATTTGAAGGCGCTTCTGATGAAGTTGCTACGTTATTGGAGTACTCTTCCACTTGTTTCGTACATCGCCGCACTGATATGATTAAAGGTTGTAGTAGAAGTAGTAGATGCGTTTTTTGTAGCAAACTATTTGCGTCTCGATAAGCTAATTTCATAAGCCTATCCTATCTGCTGAATGATTTTTAGAAGTTTCGAGCCCCAAAAGTCGCTACATCTGACAGCATTCATTACGTTCAACGTTATACGGTGATGAACCAACGGTTTAAAACACATACTTGCTGCTGTGTTTTTTTTACGCAGTCAATGTATTCAATGCGGATTTTTACTCCTTTCAAATGAATTTGGAGATAAATTTGGAAGGACGACATCCTAAGAAAGCCGCTCATAACTTTTCTCGGAGCGTGTAAGATGCGGATTTATACTCAGCTTGAATGCATTGTCTGAGCAGATTCGGGAGCACCTCAGTTCCAACTGGACAGCAACCGCAAAATACCGCTTCTGAAGCAAAACAATAGCTTAAGAAGTTCTTCGGACATATCCGCCACTCTCTTTGATCTCGTTCTTACCAAAACAGTAAAACTTCGCTAAGGACGATACCGAATCGAGGGTTGTTGTCGTTCTCTTTTTCGAACATCTGAAACATTTCTTCTTTCGAAGCAATAATTTGCAGTCGCAATGACTTGCATGGGAAGCCGGATTCGGTAATCTGCTGGAATTTTATTGCTTCAAAAGACCCGGACACCTCCAAAAAAGCCACCTCTTGTGATGGCATCTATATAAATTTGTCGGTGCGTCTGAGTGTTTTTTTCATTGTGGGTAAAATAAAAAGTGAGGAGGGAGGTAGACATTATGACGGTTACGAAGACGCGAACATCTAGAACTTCACTAGCGTCACCGAGTGATTGTATTGGTATAGCGACGCAATTGGTATAGCGACGCAATTGGTATAGCGACGCAAACCCTATGCATGCGAACATGGCAGGGGCGACGCAAAGCTTTCGCAAACAGATGCATTGGTACTACCTTGAAGGCACCATTTTCACAATTTGTATGCGTCCAAGACCTGATCGCTCTCTCAAAGATGTTTCAAAATCAGTTTTGAAAGAATGGTCAGGAAAAAAGGTCTAGAAAAGTTTGTTCATACTTGAATATTTGTAAATATTATACTCTAGAAGACGATGAGTATGCAGTGATTCAAGTCAATATGGATACAAACAGCTGGAAACGCCCCCTTTGACATACATCCAAAAAATCAACTAAAGGGTAGCAGCATCGGACTCTTGTTATGCAAGTGTAATTGAAGTGTCTTTCACATCAATAGCCACCCTACACTCTATTCCGTGAGTGTCCATCACAACCAGGCACGAGGTGGGATCATTGTTAAGCGTGAACATAGTGCATATGCGAGGAACAAAAAAACGTACTCATAGAAGTTTGTTACTGTATTTTACTACCTATGGCCTTTTGGTAGATGATATTCATAAATTTTTAGGTTGAAAAATTGCTATCTAGGCCGTATATGTCCATTTGATAATAACTTACGAAAATCCGCGCCGTACGCCATGCACACTCGTAATCTTACAGCGAAAAGCGATGATTTTTCATGCTGTAAATCGTATTGGGAGTCAACTTTATGATGCAAAAATTCGCGACCACGGAGCAGAGGGAAATTAAAGGTCGAATATAGTACACACATTGTTGGGCCTACAGTTTATGTCCTTTTCAGAGGTTATTTTTTTCGCATGAAGTTTGACTTAGACAGAAAAAAGTACTTGATTTCAGTGACTCATGGCCTCAAAGAAAGGCTACGGCACAGGGTTCCAGATTGCGCCGCCCTGCGCAAAAATAGCGTGCGCTGCTCATACAGTCGATGGTATACCTCCGGAGGGCAAAATGGGAGAGTACCAGAGTCCCCCAGTAAGGGTTTTTGCCACTCGTGCTCCGGAGCTCTCCATTTTGTGCTCCGGAGACCCCCCATTTTGTGCTCCGGATGTCAACCCGGCATACTGTAACTAGCACTAATTAAGCTCCAAACTACAATTATGCCCCTAAACCCTACCGACGATAATCGCGGGTGGCAAGCGGCCATGCGAATTTTGAACGAGCGGGCACCGGAAAAATAGTTCGCTGATTTCTTGCGGCCCGCTTGCAGAAATTTGAAGGAATGTTGACCAATTTTCACACAAATGCTCGGAGAACTATCGCGGTTCTCCTATAGATTAGTTGCGGAGCATTGGCTGCATTCTCGCGGACTTTCCTCGAAAATATGCAAAATTATTGGGGGCCGCACGGTCCTTTGTGGAGGACCGCACAGCCCTCAGGTACTTTCCGCTAGGAGAAAGTACCTCAAACTTGAGTAATTAAACCATCGATGACAGCTCGGAGTCTCACATATGCTCGACGTAGGTCCGAAACTGCTTAAAAAGAGTCCGAGCGCCTGCTGAAAGTTTAGCCAGCGCTCGCTGAAAGAAATTATTTGACGAGCGCCCGCAGAAAACTTTGTATTATGCCCCGCTAGCAGGACACTCGACAGTAAAGGAATTAGCCACGTTTGGCCACGCCCCAAAATTCCGCTGACCGCCTGCGAAAACGCAAGTTTGCGGACCACCTTCCTCCTGCGATAATCTGAGCAGATTAGCTCTAGACCAGGGTCGAGCAACGGTGTGGCATAGCGCCGGTTACGACCCCCCCCCCTCCCTCCACCCCGTTCTCTACCCCCTCCCTCTCACCCTCAGCGTTTGTAGATAGTAAGATAGAAGAATGGAGACAAGACGAGACATTTATTTCAAACTAGCATATACATACTTAATACATTATATAGAGAAAATGAGTTTTTACGGACGAAATTCTATTGGGTGAAACATGCATTTTCAACGATTTCCTCATTACTGCTTTGTTCGGTCTCGCATCCAGCTCGTCCGTGGTTTCCTCATTTTCCTCTTCTTCACTTCCCTTAACATCACCTTCATCTCGAAGGTATCTGCCCGCGAGAGAAACACGATGCTTCTGCCCAATCATCTTTGTATGGGAAACTGACCCATGGGTCGATTTGAAGCTGCCTTAAAGCATGAAATTATTCTGCAGATCTGCAAAATCTAGAAATGAACAAGAATCCTATTTTGAGCGAAGAACACCCAGACGGTATCTGAGAGTTCAGTCGACCGCATTCTTTCAAAGGATCTAGCTTGGAGGAGAATTTCGGGCGACATTTGGCCTCAAACAGCAGCAATTTCGTTTGGCACAGCTAAATCCACATATGCAGTCAATCAACTCTCGCAAAAACTTAAGAAACTCAAATCTTTTGATCGGTTCAGTCTGCTGAAGTGCTTGTACACTGAAAAAAAACGAATATGAGCGAAAAGAAACGAAAATAGTACTCGGCACTTACGAAAAATTAGCCTAGGTCCAAGAATCTCTGCATCATCAGGCATCAGTGAGGATTTATGATGTAGCAAACACTCAAGAAGAGCGTTCTACGCAGCCAAAAAATCACCGGCAAATGTCAAGACCTAAGATGGGTGCTTATTACGCGCAGGCAAATTAGCAGTGCTGTATACCTGCGCCAATTCCATGAGTGCTTGACCTTTCGTCTTCGCAGGAGCAAAGTTGATTAATCCTTGCGCATTCTTTGATGGTGATTCCCACGAGAAGTCTATGCGGGCCAGTAGAAGCTGATTAGGAGCTCAGCATCTTGGTCCCTTCTACATTCAAATGTCATGAGTTCTTAAAAGAGAGACAGGAGGTAAAAATAGTGATAAGAAATAGAATCTGAGTAAAAATGTATAGTGACGCAAACAGAGCTACAAACGTTACTTTGCATAGGCATATGCCGTATTCCAATACTTTTCGGCTTCAAATCGACGTCAAAGGTTTGCGCATATACCGGAGTACAACCTTTCCTTCATGACCCATTTACTCGAGCTCGCAAAAGCCAGTCCGGCCTTTCTTCTTGCAGAGTCTCCAGCAACCTTCATTGCCTTTCTACCGCAATCAATCCTATGGCCAACATTCTTGATATAGTCATACTTTTCGGACACCAATATTAAGCCTAGAAGAATGAAAGGAGGTAATCTGATGTCTAAAAACACCAACTCGCTTCTCCAAGATCAGCCGTGTTTTGTGATTGCTGCATGGCTAGTTTGGTGGGTGCCAGACTAAGCGACTCTTTTGTTCAGCTGCAGAAGGCGCGCAGAATTAACCTTAATTCTGCGCTCCTTCTGCATCTGAACAAAACAGTCGCTTAGTCTGGCATCTACCTTTCTCGTAAATCTCCAGCCAGAAACATGAAAAGATAGCTGAATTTGAGAGCAGCTTCCACTTATTTGTGCAATTGACCGAAATAGGCCACCATACTCCAACGCTTGCTTACGCTCGCCTACAAACATCTTACATAATTTTTCCCAAGTAAGTTCTAATGTTCTTACCCAACCTTCTCCCGCGCTAATCTTTGCCAAAGCTCTGTACATAAAGAAGAGATCTAGATGGTTGCTAAGAGCAGTGGCAAGTTGAGTAGCTGAATACGGAGATGAATCAACTCCACAAGGAGAGTTAGAACATGGCTTGCTTTTTTTGTATGGCTCCATAGCCGATTCGTTGCATCGTTGAAGGTCAATTAGTCCGTGAGCAGATCTAGCTGTGGTTTTCGCTACATCAGTGGTTTTCGAGATTTTCGATGCACAGCCAAAACTCCTTCGTTTTCCAAACAGAAAAGCGTACCTCTGTCAGCCTCAAAAGCAGACAACCAAGTGACTTCGAAAAAGCTTGCAAGCAATCGCGTTCCAATAAGCGCCAAAAAGAATCGTTAAAACTAAGATTTATTTATTTATTGATAAACTGTTTGTACACAGTGCGCCAGTACAAAGACACGAATGAAACGACAGACAAAGACAGAAATGGAACGAAATTGTGACATGCTCAACACCTTAGAGAAATTAAGGAGAGTAACTCTTTAAACCAAATGCTCATCAGTGTTGCCTTCAAAGTCAGTGTCATGCAGGCTAAACTTAGTATAAATACAAGTCCAAGTACGATGCGTGACGGTAAAGAAATATATGGTCACTTTCAAGCGAAGAAAGGGGGATGAGCACTTGGGCGAATGAGCGAAATCATGCGTACCTGGCGGGCAGGAAACCTCGTCGGCTTACCCCATCAACGCTACATCGGCCTTGGATACAAGATGATCAAGGATAAGAGAGAAACATATAAAACTACACGACATAGACGATGTCAAATTTAGAAGACAAACACTAAGCTGCGGATGTAATAAGAGAGCCTCTGAGGTCATGAGCATGCCAACAAAACAGCAATGCGAAAATAACTGATGGAACAAGATGGCCATACAAATGTATGCTATACTAACCCATATAACGAGAAACTGAAAACAGAACAACAAGGTAATAGCCGATTTAGGCAAAGGGAACGTAGACCGAAGTTCAGCAAAGCTGTATGGACTGAATTGTATAGGCTGCCATGCAAGGACCTTTGAAATCAAAAAGAGAAGGGACAACATAACTGAAGTAAAAAAGCGATCAACTTCTCTAGTGAAGTCCAAGGAGCAGTGGAAATCACAGTGAAGAGAATAGCCAGCGTTAGACTGAGCAAGTCACTCTGAAAAAAGGAGGCAAAGCCAAGAGTAAAATTTTAAAATGTAAAAAAAAGCAAAGGACATAAAGAGAAACTTCATCTCAAAAGTGGTCGGATTCACTATTCCCAGCAGACTGAAAAAGTCATAATTAGGAAGTTTCTTTCTGAAAGTAGTTGAATTTGGAGCAGAGGGAACTGAGTTGGGAAGCTTTTGCAACCAGAGAAGTGCGTGCGAAAAACGAGTTGTAGAAGAGTGTATTTGGAGCAGAAGAGTCAATGTAATGGAAGCTAAACCTACCTGTTCGGCCGTTGCACGGTTTCCAAACCTAGAATTCACTAGGAACAATTTTTGTTTCAAGGCGAATTATCTGGAAGGCAAGTACTAAGTCAGCCAAAATTCTTCGATAAAGTAAGCTATGTAACTTCAAGTGGTCCGCCTACATCTGTAGGAGGGAAAGGTATACGGGTAATCCTTGCTTGGAAAAAATTTGTAATACAGTACACGAGTGAAAACCAGTTGGACTTTCTCCAAGGTTGGAATGTCTTTTTTAAAGTGAGGATTCCAGACTTGGCAAGCATACTCTAATGAAGGGAGAACATAGGCCATATACCTTGATATATACTCGCAAGTCTACATGCTTCAAGTTATCGTCGATTCGTTGACTGTACGGACTGGACATAACCGCGGAGCACGCGCCGCGAAGTAAAACGCTTGCTCCAATACAAACTCGCCATTGTTAAAATCGTGCTCTCGCAACATTTTAACCGCGCCGCGCGTGGTCCGCAGCGGTTGCGCAGTCCGTACGGCCAACGAATCGACGATATGTAATATAAGGAATGCTCTATGTAAGGCTGCACGCAAAACATTCTCAATACGAGATCTTAACAGGAGCATATGGTCCATCAATATTCCAAGATCTCTTAGCACGGGTCTAGCCAGAGAAATGCTGGAGTGAGTGTACTCTCAAGTGTGTTCTCCTGCACACACCTTCTAGTGATGGTCAAGCACATATTTTTACGCAAGTTGACATCAATGCAGTTCAAGTCCGCTCACGATAAAATTTTCTGAAGGCAAGCACTTAAGGCACCAGTCACTTCGACTTCGTCCCAATGATAACAAGATGTTCGGAAATCAGTGACAATAAGAACTGAAAATTTCTAAATGAGCTAAGACAAAAAAATTTCACATATAAGAAATCGGTCGTGTCAAATTACCCACCATAAAATTGCTTTAAGGCAAGAAAGCCTGCTGCCCTCAATTTTTTACAATTCTAGCTGTAGCACCGAACAAAATCACTTTGGTATCTCAGGCCGATATCAGACTTATCCGATTTTTATCCGGTTCACCTCTTCCACTATTGGTCTCACTGGTGAAGTAGTGGATGGAGTGAGCCGGATGAGACGGTTGAACTCAGAGACGTACAAACCAAAGGGGCACTTGCCTTGATATGGTCCAAAGGACGGGCTTGTCAAAAGGTTGAAGAGTGCAGCCGCACACAATAAAAGAGTGCTAAAAAAGTGTTGACGTTGATGCTCGCAACGCAAGTGGAAGACGTGGGAGACATTGGAAAGCTACTATATGAGAGCTGAGCAGCAAAGACGTAATGGAATACAAAAGATGAGGATGATAAAGGCATAATCAACGAGGAAAAAACCATAGCCAAAACTCAACATCAGCAAGAGACGTTACCGCTAACTAGCGTATGAACGAGTGATCCTGGGCAGGTTGGCTGCGCGCCAGTTCTCCAGGGCCCCTCCATATGTGGCGCACCTCCGGAGCAGAGATTTGCGAGCCCGGGTGACGGGTCCCATCCGCTTTTTTGTGACGTCACCGTGACGTTACAATAAGGGACCGCCCTTTCGTCCCGCCCCTCAATGGTTAAGAGGGCCCTCCGGAGCTCTGCCAAAATTCGACAACTCTCCGGAGCTATGGCATCGATCGTCTGAGCTGCGGTCTGCGCCTAGTCCAACCCGCAAAGAGACGATATTAATTTTACTCATCGTTAAAGAATACGGATAAAATCATATAGAAAAGGAACCATTGGTTGTTCTGCATCGCATCCGATGTAGCTTTTCTTGACTGCTATAGTCTGCAATCAAAATGTTTAGTCAGAAATTTCAAAGTCGTTGAGAAGTGAATTCTTCCGCGGCTGCGGCTTCCATAATTTTTAATATTTGTAAATTACAAACAGTCTTCCTGAAAGTTCCCTCCAGCCGGTTCTTCGTAATCTATAGAGTATTGTTGAGAAATTCGTTTGGTTATTAACCCATACCTCTTATTCAAACAAAAGAGGGCCGTTGAAGCCATGCCAAATTTAAGTTTTGTAACACGGCCCTCATATAATTCAAGATCTAAAACTTTACAGTTTAGTTATCTGTTAAGCTGAGCAAAGTCAATAAGTTTTGCATGATTTCAGCGTGAATCGCTGACTTTTTTCATTGATCTACATTTCGAAAACTGTTGGCTCCGCAATTGCCCATTGAACTCGTTGACGACGAAATTGAACCACATCAAATTGGACCGAATATCTAAATCTGCTCCTGAGACTCCTGAGCACACTTCTTCAGTCATAGATGTCCTTACCGTGCTACATGATTTGCTGCATTTCGCCACCGGACGTGTGCTCCTGACCCGCCGCGCGTAAGCATATTAGGTGGGTGGCTCGCCGCATCTGTCAAATTGTAGTAGCGACAAATCGCGAGCCATCGTGGACCAATTTCAGTGTTTTTTTTTTCAAAAAAAAACGTTGACGCTAAGGATTGGGTCAGTCTGCGGGGCGTGCGTGGCTTCCGCACACGTGCATCAAGATAAGGGGCGTACGCCTCCTACGCCGCGCAGTTTGGCCCAACCCTAAGGGCTGTCGATCGCCAAGTTTGCACCGTCAGTGGGTGATAAGACGCGCCTGCCTTCACTTCCCTAGAGAGATTCTGCAATTCTTTTACCTTTTGTAATAGGCGTTGCATACCTAGACTATAACGATCTTTTTAGCATGCTGACGCTTATTTTGTGCACAAACTTACTGATCAAATATATTTTTGTTGAGGTCGCACGCAAAATTGACGACAACACGATCGAGTTGGTGAGGAGTAGCTTAATAAAAGTAAGTTTGGAAGATGTGTTTTTACGTACATAACACACAATTCTACATCAAGTCAATTTTTTTCAAAATGCTTCCGATTTCAAGGCTCTTATTTGACTGTAGACCTAATGAAGAGCATTATCAATTGAACACTTGGATCTCAACGAATATTTGTACCTTCAATGTGACAGTTACATCACATCTATGCTCGGAGGGCACAGTTAGATTGAAGGTACAAATATTCGTTGAGATCCAAGTCTTCAATTGATAATGCTCTTTATAGATAGGCATAGTTAGATAGGCGCAGACTAGCCGATCGTCCTGCTTCAGCAGGACGCGGCGCAGTTTTTGTCATTTGGTATCATGCTGAGCGAGAATTGTGAACAGTTCATGCTTTCGTCCAGCATGAGACCAAATCAAATAACTGCGCGGCGTCCTGCTGAAGCAGGACGATCGGCTAGTCTGGCGCCTATCTTAGCGCTTTAGACTAACTACTTAAAATGCAAATAAATTACTCAGCCTGATGGTGGCAAGTGCATTAGTCATTCTGTCATTCTGCGCAGATACTATTCAAGAAAGTTACGGGGGTGCATTGGGCTATTTGAATCTCAGATTTTGTACCATGTGTTGCCTTTAACATATACGAATCAACCCCAATCATGGTGCGCGTACGCGTTGCCATAATTATGAGTATTGTCTCAACGCTACATAAGGCGTCACGCTAAAACCTGTCTACTCCTTACTTTTTCGGTCCCGCAAATGCACTGCAAACATCCCGCCAAAGATCTCGATTCAAAACAACTGTATAGATATTTGCTGCTATGCGGCTTATGATGCGAAGATAGATTACAGTATACAACTCGGCAAAGCCACAAAAACCTTCCTGTGCAAACTTTATGCAAACAATTCTCATTTAGCGTCTACCCGCCGTACTTTTTTGAGAGTGGTTGCCTCGTAAAACTGGTGTATTTTTAAATCTCTACTATCACCCATCCGCGAAGCTCTTTTTTTAAACTAAGAGCAATCACGTCCTTATCTAAAAATTTTTCTAGAAGACTACTATTCCGGCTTTCTGACTTTTTTATACTGTAGCAATGCAAATGAGTCATTCGACGATTGGACGCGATTTTTGGCTGCAGTTTATCCCATTTGAGGTCAGGCCGAACCATTAGCTAAATTTTGCGCCTTTGCGGCGCCAGGGGCTTGGGGTAGGGGAACGAACTCCACCAGCTTCAACCGCCTCCGTGAACTACTGGTCCTGCAACGACATGCAGCAATATTGCAAAAGGACTAGTTGCCAGCAAAGGCAGGCTCAAACAGGCGGAGTTCGTTCCCCTACCCGGGGTTTGCGCTGCATATGCGCACTGTCGGAGAGAACGAAGAGTTTGAAGAGAGAGCAGACAAACGGGCAGTAGGCGTGAAGCAAAACCCTAGCGACGTGGAGTGCGCCTGCCAGTATTGGCTGATAGGGATCGGGGCAGACTGTATTCGTTTCTTTATTACGCGGTGGAAGATGACCAAGCAGGAGGAATTTTTGTGGACATGAATAACGTGTGGATGCCAAGTATAGACACAGTTTATAATTATTTGAGTTGTTTTTGGAAGGAAAAACCTTAGTTGTTCTATTTTCCTGCACTATCAACATATAGAACTCGTTCCACGAGAGGAAACCATCTAAATTTCTTTGACTCGCATTCTAACGATACTCTGCACTTATACGTGGGCTTCTTTGTTACATTTCTACAAATAGTTGGACAAAATCGAAAGTATTTTTGGCCATCCTGAGATGTGACGCAGCGTTCCACTCAGGGACGTCGTACTACGAGACAAACGATCGCGTGCAGCGCATGGCATTGATATCAGTGTACTGATTAAGACGTCAGCAGACATTATATCAAGCTTAAGTGCTAATGAGCTATTTTGAGCACATCTTCTAGTAATTGTGAAAAAACCTATTAATTTTTGACTGCAACTTCAACTTACATTGGATGCGGCGCACAACAAGTCAAGTGGTTGTATTTGTATCAGCTTTTGCTGCCGAATTAAAAAACGATATCAATCATTTCAATGGTAAGCTATATCCATTCCTTTACTAGGCAACATCTTGATAGCGGTCACCATTTTTTGATAGTGGCCGTTATCAAAGGTTGCTTAATGATGGCACAATAAACTGGCTAGCCGGCCGCTAACCATTGCCGTTCGCGATGAATCCCCTTCACATGGTCGTTTGACCAAACCTGCCCTATCGGTTTTGTTTTTGAGAGAACGCTCAAGCCTTTTATGTCTAGTATTCGATTCGCACCCTGATCAATAAACCGAATGCCGGACTGAGGCGTTCTACGTTCAACGTAGGTCCGTCCGCATCCAGTTGCGCTTAACAGGGATTCACTACGGGCCAAAGTCATTTTTGTGAAATAAGGCCTGTTTGGCTGAAACGAGAGCTCAGAGTTGCAAAACTTTTCTAGCTAAACACATGATCTCACAAAGTTGTAGATACCGTGCTCACTTCACCAAAGGATTTGCGGAAAGCAAGAAGCAAGTTGTGAGGCAATTGTGCTAACTCTGATATTAATGTAAAGACTCGGATAAAAGATGCAGAGAGTACGCAGGATTTTTCGAGCGCTAAACAACATAATCACCCAAAAAGCTTATTGTGTCATTGAACATTGTTACAAATTAAGCCTAAGGCAGTATGGGGGACGTTTTTTGAGCCCAGTGACTCCAAAAGCCTAAGCATCTGAGAACTGTGGGCTCCTCTTTATGAACTGCACTGGTTTTAGTGTGTAGCAGATCTCTCATGCATTGGCTTTGGGTGAAAAAAGCTCTGTTTGAGGCGTTCTATAATTATGACTTGGTCAAAAATCGTTTTTGACGCAAAATTCACTCTAAGAATGGACACCGATTTTCAAACCTATGTACGTATATGCTACCGATCTTGCTCTTCCACGTAGTGAATGTTGTGGCAAACTCTACGAAGGAGAAATCCACTCCATGCCGGACTCGCTTTGCTTAGATTATTAGTGCATCAATAACCGAATTTTTCGCGGGACAAAGCAAATACCTTCACTTATCCTGCCGCCCAAAATGGCAAAATTAGAGGCGTTTTGGAATTTATAGCGTGAAAAACTTGTGTTGGAAATCTAGCCGGGCAATCAATTTACTTCCTACATGACAGATTTCAAAAACTTATGCCTCAAATTCCTAAAAAAAAGATTTCTGCCCAGGCTCATTTCTCTGAAATTTTGGGTTTATATCACATCTTTTAAGAGAGGGATTTCCAAGCAGTCAAGCAAGAACACAAGGTCTTCCTTTTGTTTCTGAGCTTAATGACGAGCTCCCTTCGTGCACAGGTGCGCAGCAGAAAGCAGCAACTACATTCAAATTGATTGAGATTATATAAGCCATATGCTCTCCAAAGCATGAGCGCAAGCTCTTCGTCAATTATAACTTTTAAATCATCGAGCTACTGAGTTTATATTGCTATTGCTGTAACCAGCAACTGGTGTCTCACATATCAATCAATTTAGGACGACACAGAAAAACAGCAGGAGATTAGTGGATTCAAGCCGGTGCGTTTTTATATTCTCTACCTAATTTAGAATTTATCTGTATCTGTACTCTGTATTTCTTGATACATATTGAAGTGATTTATGAAAAGCTGCAGCATCGTTCTCGGCCAAAGCAACGTCGAGGAAAATGGACATCTATACGTGGTCGGAAAACAGTAGTGAGCTCATTTATGTATTGATGCAATGCATATCCTCTGTATCATTTGGAGTGGCGACTGGAGATTGGAATTCTGAGTCTGCATCTCTCTCGCAAGCGTATTTTTTAATCGTTTCTCACGCTTGATTAGCGATCGAACTTCCGCCCTAGTGAAGCAGAGGGTGCAATGGTTGTAGAACAAAAATGCAATACAAAAATGGACGAATAGCCAATTGAGTTGTATCGAAGACTCCTCGAAGAAGATTGCACGGAGCATGGAGAGATAGAGTAGACTGTCTCTTCGTGGAGTCTGCAGTGCTTTGCCCAATCTACTGCTGCGAAGGTGGCAATGGACGATACCCATTTGTTCCATTGCAGGATCGAAGAATTTCAATTCTTTAAGCGAGAGATGCGAAGGCGGCCATAATAGCAAGCGTCGGCATTGAGGATTGTTGAAAGATTTTGTTTATTAATTTGCACCGATTTCTTATGTGCAACATCTTGTTTATTTATTCGCAGACCCTGTAAAGCATGGACACATCTCAAAAAGTTTACATAAGAAATTCATTGCAATTCTTAGTTTTTCTGGAGTTCTTTCTCTGAATCTATGTTCGACTATTTATAAATCTTGGCATAGTTTGAATCTTCTGATTGATTTCTTCAGCGTCCAAGATTGGTACAGATATTCATTCCACAATAAACAGACTGACGTTTCGGCAAACTCGCTTTCTTCAGAGTCTGAAAAGTCGAAAACACATAAGTGAACTATCCGATCAAATGCCTCATCGACTACAGAAATGAGCCCAACCCTCTAGAAAAGCAACAGTATCAACCAAAACGCAAGATTCAGCCAGTGCTCACCTTAAGAGATAATAGATTAGGTGGGTGCAGACCACTTATGTCAAGAACTGTACTGCATTACTTTTATACCAATTGTCGGCAGACAATTAGTATAAAAGTAATGCAGTACAGTTCTTGACAGACTCTTCTCAGTTCTTAACCAGTTCCGCCAAAAACGGCAAAATAGTAATTTAACACTTTTGCAACGCCGCGGCCTGCGCGAAATTCGCGACCTTTGTGCTGCCGGAGAGATCAAGGTGTCGGTCAGCGACTAAGGAGGGGAGTTCGTAGTTCTCTCTCGTGATCTGGACATGGCTATCACAAAAAATCATCTACAGGATACTACCGTATACGAGCCTGTGGCACCAAACGATTTCAGAAAGCAGTACCGTTGCTTGAATAGAGTATCGTTAGAGGTAGCTAAGGCTGAAGGCATTCCTAGGGCTATGGCTACACGTCTAAAGACCAATCTGCCTATGTCCTGTTCTCTACACTCTCATCAAGACACATAAGGTTTCCGTAGATAGTTTAGCGTCCAATAACCCTCAGGATTTTAAGGTTAGGCCTATCATCAGCAGCGTTGGTGGTCCTACGGATAGGATTTCGTGGTTTCTCAACACCATCCTTTCTCAACTGCTCCGATTTGTTCCCGCACATCTCTCCAACACAAAAATGTTTCTTGATCGCCTGCGCAGCACAAGCGTAAGGCAAGGGTTCGTTTTGGAGTCTTTCGATGTAGAATCGTTCTATACCAACGTTTCCAATGACGCCGCCACGCAAGCGACATTCGAACTTCTTCTAGAATACCAGTCGTCACTTAATCTCTATGGTCTTAGCATCAGAGGCATCTTGTCGTTGGTTAAAGAATGCCTCAACTGTTCCATCTCGTTGGTGTGGCAACTATTACAGGCAAATAAGAGGACTGGCTATGGGACAAAGGCTAGCGCCGACTTTAGCTGTTGTTTTTATGTCCAAGGTGGAAGCTCCGGTACTGGCGAGTAAGCCTCTCCTCTACTGTCGGTACGTGGACGACTGCTGTATCGTGTGTCCCACTCAGGCCGAACTGGATTCCTGCTTCAATATCATGAATGCCCAGGACAGGAACATCAAGATGACGAGGGAAAGACCCGAAGACGGATGGCTGCCGTTCCTCAACGTGCAGTTATGTTTGTCAGGCAGATGTTTTGAGACCAGATGGTACCGAAAGCCGAGCAGCAAGAATATCATAGTACACCATAAGTCAGCACATCCGGCACGAATAAAAGCATCCATCATAGGTAACATGTTTAGAACGGCTGCGGGGGTCTCTTCTGACAGAGAGGAAAAGATGTTCTCGCTGGAACTCGCAAGATCCGTAGCAAGATCCAATGGATACTGCACGGAGACTCATCGTCTTCACAGACACCAGGTTCATCGTCCACCTAGATCAGAAGCTGAGGATCAGATCTCATTCTGCCTACCATACATCTCAGAAGAGTTTAGTAGAGCTGTTCGCAAAGTGCTCCATCAAGCAGACCTCAACGATATGGTAAGGATCGTCGACATTCCTCCTGCAAACCTTAAGCAGCAGCTGGTACGAAACCGCGAGTATGATCGTCTCTGTACAACTCCTCATTGTGTAGTTTGTCCGTTTGGCAAGGAAGGAGACTGTATGGTATCAGGTGTTGTCTACCTTATCACGTGTACAACATGTGGAGACACGTATATTGGCGAGACAGGCCGCCCCCTATGCACCCGCATCAAAGAACACTCAGATGATCTCAGCAAGGGCAATGTAGCTACTCCGTTAGGCATGCATCGCAGGCTCAGCCATGACGTCCACGACGACGCGGAGGTGGGAGTGCAGGTTCGAATCCTGGCGCGTGAACCCGAGATCTTAGCGCGCAAGACACTCGAAGCGTTTTGGATAGCCGCCCAAAATCCAAAAATCAACCGGAAGGATGAGTGCCTAGCCATTATTAACACGTTGACGACGAGCCATTCTTTGAAGGTCTGTCCCTGTGGACGAACCGTTTCCGGGCATTTTCACAGCCGGCTGCATATATGTATGCATGCATCTATGCGTGAGATACAAAAATGCAAGTGGGGGGAAAGCTCCGCCCACTTTTGGCAAGCCCCGCCCATTTTTTAAAAAATGCTGGAAATCGCTCAAAATCAATAAATTCGCGCAAATTCCGGCATTTTTGAAAAGTGGGCGGAGCTTGCCAATCAGGGGGCGGAGTTTGCCTGACGGTGGGTGGGGCCCGTATAAAAGTTACTTAAGGTCTTTGCGTTCATCCACGGCCTCATCCATGCTTTTTATGAACAAAAAGGACCCCCGTGAGGGGTACAGAAGTGGGCGGAGTTTGCCAAAAAGGGGCGGGGCTAATACATGAGATACATCTGAGCCTATGTTGGTTATATGAACAAAAACTGAGAGGACTGGACAGATAGTATTGAAATTAAGGCCGCCGCGCACCATTGCGCGGCGTCGTCCACAGGGACAGACTGCCTGCCGCGCACCATTGCGCGGCACTGTCGTCAACGTGTTAACGAGCTGTCACCTTATCAGAGCCTTTGTGGCTTTTGAATAATGAGGTCAGGTCTGGACCGGGTCACTAGATTAGTATAAAAGTAATGCAGTACAGTTCTTGACATAAGTGGTCTGCACCCACCTAATCTATTATCTCTTAAGGTGAGCACTGGCTTAATCTTGCGTTTTGGTTGATACTGTTGCTTTTCTAGAGGGTTGGGCTCTTTTCTGTAGTCGATGAGGCATTTGATCGGATAGTTCACTTATGTGTTTTCGACTTTTCAGACTCTGAAGAAGGCGAGTTTGCCGAAACGTCAGTCTGTTTATTGTGGAATAAATATCTGTACCAATCTTGGACGCTGCTGAAGAAATCAATCAAAAGTTCTTTCTCTATTTTAAATGAGTGTGACTTCCGCAAAACATCTCCAGTCAAATCGAAGTTTGTCAAAACTTATCATATCTCTAAATGTTTACATGTAAGTAGGTTGCCCAAAGGGAATTTGACAGCACTTCTCGTCGTAAACTGCACCATCAAATACATTGATTTCGTGTAAATTCTGGCAGAGATCGTGGACTGTAGTGCAATAAGATTTGCTGCGGAAATCCTCGAGTGAACAAGAATGATTGCATCGCCTTGATTAATAAACTCAAACTTCTCTAAAGTTATGCTTCGACTGCAGTCACCCAAGAACTCTCAGTTTGAAACACTAGGTTCAACCTGCGACTCACTCTAAGCAAAATTAAACTAGCTGTTCATTATAAACATCCTTACACTTTTTGACTCTTTCTGACTATTGAGTGGCATCATCAAGACAATACTCGTTCCTTTACAGGTCTAAAAAGGTCTCGCGAACGTGCATTGACAGACAAAATTATTCTCGTCACAGTAAACTCACATCAAAACGTTTGAAAGCGCTCTTATTTGAGCGGCGTTTATAGTCGGCCGCGCTGTTTCAGATGTGGATGGCATCTAGCTCAGTAGCACGGGCCAAAACTTTTTCTGACTTTGCAAGAGTATCAATTGAACATTTCAGAGTCAACATTCTACATATCATCATGCGCGACTCAGTTGGATCAAAAGAGATGATCGGCCAAAAAAAGTGAGTTGTATTAATAAGGTCTAAGAGTCAGTGCCCGGCACGCGTTGGTTTGGAGCATTTTTGATAACGAAGTTCCCTATGACTTCGCGAAAATCTACGAAGTCCCATTTGACGTAAAAATTGGTAGGGAAACCCTTATTCAATCAATGTAACAACAAAAAGTGAAAAGCGCAATTTGAGATATCTAATATAACAGAAAAGCAAAAAAAGGCATTCTGAGTTGACTAACAAGGGAAGTTCGCCGAATCGAAATGGCCGATTGATACGTGGTATATACCCGGACGCGGGGCTCGGAAGCTTAGTAATAAATGTGCGCCCATTAGCTGCGACGCGTTATTGTGAAGCAAGTTATGGCCCTCTGAAGTTTTTGGCGTGTGCATGTCTAGAGAACACACAACTGCTCCGATTGTGGTCGTGTGGTGTAGTGGTTAGCGTCTCGGACTCACAGGTGACCGGTGAGGGTTCGAATCCTGTTGCTGTCCACATGTTTTGCGTTCTTCTCAAAAATCATTTTTTACCTGTTTTATGTATTATTGAGGTAAAAAATGACACACACGGGTTACGGAATGATTTTTCTTACGAAAATTCGACCAATGCTTCATATGTAAGATTTTCGTAGAACATAGCAACGACTTTTTAGCGACGGCTTTTCAATTGACTTTGAAGATTTGCCAAATCCTCACTCCCACATACTTTCTTCGATTGCACGTAGTATTTACGTGACAATCTCCAAGTTGTATCACGTCGTACTATCTATTCTTGCTAATGGGCTACCTTGTGAGAATGACACGGCAGGATGTGTAATTAGTAGAGTTTAACCACCCGTATGTGTCATTTTTTACGTCAGTAGCATAAAACAGGTAAAAAATGAATTTTGAGAAGAACGCAAAACATGTGGACAGCAACAGGATTCGAATCCTCACCGGTCACCTGTGAGTCCGAGACGCTAACCACTACACCACACGACCACAATCGGAGCATTTGTGCGTACTCTAGATATGCACACGCCAAAAACTTCAGAGGGCCATAACTTGCTTCACAATAACGCGTCGCAGCTGATGGGAGCACATTTGATACTAACCTCCCGAGCCCCGCGTCCGAGTGTATACCACGTATCAATCGGCCATTTCGATTCGGCGAACTTCCCTTGTAAGCTCTGCCACTGAGTATGGTACATTTTAGTGCTCAGAATTTTGAAAACCTCCTAGGCTAACAAAATCTGTGGCCTCAATAATTTGGCGCTGCATTTTTCGCCACATAGGTCAAAGGACACCGCATGTGATTGAAGCGCGATGTCTCTCAACGCACAGGTTTACACTGCTTTTGGCTCAAAAATAGAGGAGAGGCAACGGTTTGATTCGCTCTCTTCACTAAATGATAGATTTATGAGCGTTCTAATCGTCTAGATCAAAAAGGTCGAAAACTTACGTAAACTCTCCGACATTTGTGCTCCAAACCAACCCAGTTGGTTTGATGTTGGTTTAGAAACCGACAAATTCGGGAACGGATATTAGGACACATATTTTGGAACTTCTTACATAATATAGTTTGGATTAGTATTCTATACGCAAAGCCCAAACTTGGTGCCATTTGATTGTTTGTGCGCTGTAAACAAACCATTTCTTTGTTCAAGTCTTGCGTTCTAAATTCGCGCGCTTGCGAAAGAACGCGTTCAACTCGTAAAAACTGACATGTTTTTCGTTTATCTTAGCGCTCTGCCCAGGATCTTATAGAAACGTATCCTCGTTGCTTTTAACCTAAAAAACGAAGCCTCCAGTTTGATCCTAACTATCTGTGCCAGGCTCTGCTAAGAGTAAGTGGATACCAGTATAAACCATTCCACAAATCACGCGTTGCATAAAGGCAGTAAAGTTCATTTCGTTTATTTTTGCTAGTGTAGCACCTACTAAAACCTTAGTTTTGAAACCACGTCTTTTTCCTCTTTGAAATTTGAACTACCTGTTAAAAAAAGCAAAATTTTCGAGGCGATTTTACCCACAAAATTTAGAGAAACATCTTTTTACACAAGAATTTCGGCTCCGTAAGCCATGTATCACAGCTCCTTGGTGTTTTTTCGACTAATATAAATATCATATTAATATATCGTTTCAAACGAAACAAACAAATCTTCATTATTTTCCAGATTCGGACCCATTTCAAGCGTGTGAAAAACAACAAGCGTAGGCATAAAGCGTTGCCTCTTCGCACAATTGTGAATATTCTCAAAGCTCTACAGCAGCTGCACAATATTGCTTCTTATATTCAGCTTGCCAAATCGAAAGGAATATACAAATGATTGTATATGTATATGTGTGACAATGAGTGAGTGCAGTCGCATATCATCAAAGTGAACGCATTTGTCTCTTATATTCACGTCGTACTTGTCAATGTTTCACTCGGTTTACAATACATATGAAATATAAGACGTTAAGTTGCAGTAGACACTGCAAGATTCAATACCGATTATAAGTAAAAGCACGATTATACCTTCGAAGGAGGTTGCACACCAGATCCTACTGACTGTCAGAGTTTAACTCGGAATGCAGGGACCACTTACTGCGGATTGCGCGCGATTGCGCCTTGATCGAAATCTCCTAAGAGTCATAAACAACAATAGCGTACCGAGGGGGGGCGAAGGGGGGGGGCGCCCCCCCCCCCCCCCCGAGAACGGGTCGCGAAATTTTTGAAAGTTACTTACTTGGATTATAAAATTGTGCAAATGAGGGTTCTGAGCCCGCGAAAATATTAGGGAACATACCAAAAAAATTTTCGAAGTGCATGGCTGACGCCACGCAACATGAGAAAAATTTTTCTGTCGCTCCCCCCCCCCCCCCGAGCCGAAATCCTGGGTACGCCACTGATAAACAACTATCACAATGATGAAGCAATTGTATTGCATTTTTTAGGAAGAACTAGAACAACGATGCATTAGCATTATAGTTGTAACGAACGGAAAATTTCATCGAATGAACGAATATCAATGATCGATCCTTGAAAAGTTCTTGAACGAATGAATGAATATCGAGTAATTGAATTTCCGAGAATTTCTGAGTGGGTTATGGGCAGTTATGGGCACATTACAAAATTGAAACTTTCGAATATTCGAATAAACGAATTACAAAATATTATCGAATATCCGAGTGCAATATTCGAATAATTGAATGCATTCGAATATTCGAATGCATTATTCGAATAACTAAATGCAATATTCGAACATTTGAATGCAATATTCGAATATTCGAATGCAGTATTCGAATATTCGAAAATTCGAGCAACTGTTTCCCGAAAGTTCTTATTCGAAGATTTGAATAGCAAGGCTTTTCATTTATTCGACTATTCGAATAACTGAGTAACTGAAGTTTCAAATATTCGACTATTCGAATATTCGAATAGTCGAATATCTCGAAAAAGTTATGTAAATACAAATATTAGTTCCAACTATATTAGCATTCACCTTCAAATAAGTTCTTACCACCATATTCTACTGGAATACAATTGAGCACATCGAAAAAAGCTTAAGCCAAATCCATTTCGCGACTGCTATAGCATGGGTCAGGTGTGTAAAGGCGCGAATTTTTTACGCTTACCACATTTTTTTGCAGCACAGCAAATTCGCTCTCTTTTCACGAGTGATGCTTATTTCTGGATTACAGTAAGTTTCGACCCGCATTAGGCGGAAATTGGACTGGCGGGAGTCCGCCTCGCAACAGCTCGCGCCGTTTCGCAGCTACAGTATATCTTATCGTGCTAAGAACCCATGTCTGCGTCTCTTTACTCTCCTTAGTCTTTGCTTACCAAAATGCCAGCGCTATGCGCTCGCGAAGCCTCCAGCGATGCGCATGCGCTGCTCCACGTAGACTGTCTCGCCTAATCCGGGATAAAACCGACTGTAGCTGGCTCATCCGGCTCCGCCCGGCCCTGTCAAAACACTATGGTAAAGCTCTCATCCTATTCCCTAAACCTTTCCCTGTGCCCACGCCTACATGCCAATTCACTATTCCCAATGCTTTAGTAATCAGCATGCTCGATTAATTCCCTGTGCCAACTTCCAGCCCTGTTGCTCAAACTTTGCAAAAAGATAAAATCGATAAAACTGATGGATAATTCCATCTTATATATATAAAGCTGAATGTGTGTCTGTCTGTATGTCTGTCTGTACGTATGTGCGGAATAGAAAATTTTATTTCTGAACCGATCCGGACCAAACTTGGCACACATACACTTCGGGGCAGAGAGCGTGTCATAGGCTGCTCTTCGTCACCGATCGATATCGATTTTTATCGATTTTTTGCAAAGTTTGAGCTACAGGGCTAGGAGCTGGCACAGGGGGGTAAGTGGGCATGGCGATTCCCAATACATTATTAGTTTTTCCAAGTATCGATTACTTTTATCGATTTTATCGATTTTTTGCAAAGTTAGAACTACAGGGCTGGAAGTTGGCACAGGGGGGTAAGTGGGCATGGCGATTCCGGACACAGTATTAGTTTCCAGAATTATCAATTTCTTTTATCGATTTTATCGTTTTTTTTGCAAAGTTTGAGCTACAGGGCTGGGAGTTGGCACAGGGGGTAAGTGGGCATGGCGATTCCGGACACAGTATTAGTTTTCAGAATTATCAATTTCTTTTATCGATTTTATCGTTTTTTTGCAAAGTTAGAACTACAGGGCTGGAAGTTGGCACAGGGGGGTAAGTGGGCATGGCGATTCCGGACACAGTATTAGTTTTCAGAATTATCAATTTCTTTTATCGATTTTATCGTTTTTTTGCAAAGTTTGAGCTACAGGGCTGGGAGTTGGCACAGGGGGTAAGTGGCCATGCTGATCGAAAACAACACGGGAAACGGGAAAGAAGTGCAGAAGTGGGCACAGGGAAAGGCTGTACAGGGATAGGGATGGGAGCTTTGTTACAGTGTTTTAACAGTGCCAAGCGGAGCCGGATAAGCAAGCTAGTGAACTAATATTGTATTCGTAATCAGCATGCTCGATTACCCCCTGTGCCAGATCCCAGCCCCGTAGGTGAAGTCTGCAGAAAAATCAATAAAAATCGAAAAAATCGATATCGATCGATGACGGAAAGTGGCCTATGGCACCCGCCCTGCCCCGAAGTGTATGTATGCCAAGTTTGGTCTGGATCGGTTCGGAAAAATTTGCTATTCGGAACATACGTACACACAGACAGACAGACAGACATAAATACAGACAGACAGACAAACAGATATTCAGCTTTATATATAGGATTGTGTGTGTAGACAATCAGCGCATAACTTCGCACACATATATTTTCGACGCCGCCCCACCCCGCAGGCTACTTTTCGCGTCGAAATTCCCGCTCCTTTCATTGATTTATCGATTTTGAGTGAACTCTTATCAATACTATAAAATCACATTCATTTTTTGTGTAAACAATAGCATCAGAAAACATTTCTATTCCACGATAAGTGAGATGCGTTCATCCGAGACGATGCGATTAGGAAGTCTACCCAGTGTTGCACGCAAAGTAAAAGAAAGCCAAAACGCAGTGAGTTGAGCTTGGAAATTTGTGCGCCAATCTTGCTCTTTGTTAAGCCAATAAAATCTTCGATGCGAGTGAAGCCGGGCATGCCAGCTAGTCATAGCAATAAAATTCCTGAATAAAGGCATTAATTTCACACTTTTGACTGCTGAAGATTGCAACAATGACTGCCTATCCCTAAACAGTCCAAGCACTATGCGAAAATCTCAAGGAGGAAAGGAGTTCAGCAACACAGTCATATTGAGGACCTCCCATTGAGGCATCACTAATGAAGCAGGCTCAACTTCAAAATCCTAGAGAAAAAACTCAGTTTGTCTAAAATGTCGCTACAACACCTACTATACAGTTTTGCATCACTTAACAAAGGCAGCACTTTGAATGTTTTGGCTTAGTTACCTGAATGTGAGGTACCCTTTGATTCGACGAGATTGGAACCTGGAAGGCGACCGCTTGCGCACCCGACGCAGTTTGAGGCTCTCTCGCAAGAGTTCTTCATGGTCATCCTCTAGCCTCAACTAGGTCAAGAAGCCTCGCCTTCCAGCCGCCAGTCCAGTTCGGTCAAAAGGTAGTTATCGAATAGTTATTTGGTCATATACATTGTTAACTTGCGATCATTGTTGAAAAATTGCGATTATGCGGCCAATGCGCCGCTACTGTGCTATTGAAAGCAGCGATTGCGTTCTGAGGGTTTTCTAAAAAGTGGCCAGCACTTTTCCAGATGACGGCATCCGAGCCGCGAAAAATTAGCAATCTGGTTTTCTGCTGCTTGATAGTCTACGCAATGCATTGCAGCTCGCCTCGGCGATTGTGAAGTGGTAGCTCATGAAAAACTTTTGTGACTGTCACATATGTTGTAAACTTGATGAAACAAATCACGCTATATATGAACAACGACCATGCAACATCACTAAATATTGAGCGGTCACTTGTCATTGTTGACATATTAAGGCAGAGAACAATCGTCCCAATGCGCCTGAATAAAAAGTGGACAAAGAAGAAGACGTAAAACCAGCTTTGAAGTCATAAAAAAGCAGGATGCTTGAGATCTGGCTTATTCTAAAATAAATTTGGTTTTAAGATAGAGTGTTTTGCGGAGAAGGGTTAAGGGCATCAGTCAATTAGCATACTGATAAACGAGGTACATAGGTTGTATGGGATGTGACAGAAATCAATTCTGTAAAGACTGTTCTTTACACATGTACCGCATGTCGCTTATCAATGACTGCAACCAAGTATTTTCGATCACAATTCAATGGGCAATCGAGGAGCGATAAATCACTTTGTTTATGGCTGACCATGAGTAATGATGTAGAAACATTTTAGAAGTGTAGATCGGCTGAATCGGTACTTTGATTTTGTCTTGATGCACCAGAAGAAATCCGCTAAGATTCATGCAACGTTAATCAGAGGCTATGACCAAGATGTGAACTCCATTCAGCAAATACAGGTAAGTCTGAAAGGCATTTACACGACGTTTTATTATACATAAAGGAAGACACTGAAACGCTCCAGAGGCACTGCACTACACTGGACTCGTCTTTGTGCGAGGAAACTTCGAGAAATTCGGAGGTATGAATGCATAATCATGTGCACTGAGTTCAAAGAATTGAAACAAGTGATTGAGAACTAGATGGCTACCAAGTTTTGTAACTTGTGACTTAACTACTAATCTTTAGAAGCCCATCTCTACTTGAAGACAGTGTCCGAGCAAGGTTAGGGGTTGTGAATTTTATGGCTATGTAAAAGCGACGGTCTCACCGTCATCGCACAAGTGAATTGATAACAAAGGGAGTTATCTTTTTGAAAAATTGAAAGACTCAAGGCCTTGAAAGCCCTGCCTACTTGTAGTTTTCGCGCTCTGCGACAGAGCACGCATGGGCCAAAATCAGAGTCGTAGTGCCTCCAACGACGCATCTCCGCCTTGATGAATAGTAATTCACTCGGCTAACTTCAAATATAAGAGGCTTAGGGAAACAGCCGTTCTTGCCCTTTTCGCGCCTTCCAAGGTAGACTTTGGGATGCAGCCATGGACAACTCCATGTAAGCGAAAAAGCTAGCATTTGACTTTTTGCTCGAAACTGTCTGCATGTCCGAAATATTTGAATCTGTCAACTGCGAAGTGACTAACATATCCCCAACTGCCTCGTAATACTTTGCGAGTGTCAACGTAGGCTCTAGATTCGACCTATAATCATGATGATTGGGTTCAGTGATGCACAACGTTTTGAAGGTACACTTCTGATAAGAATCACTTCAGTTTCCGAGGAAAGCCCTTCGCCGAAGCATAAGGCATAAACAAGTACATTTCACGAATAATTCTCCATAAGTCTATAGCAATTCGCGAAACAAATCTCCGTCTATATGTTTAGCTCTAAAGAGGTGCAATACTTATTTGCAAACTAGATCATCTCATTTTAGTGTAATTCACATATCAAAGAACTGCGAGAGATACTTGCCTCATGCAATAACTTGAATGCGAAAAGTCACCAAGATGGGCAGGTAAACGCTTTCTTTCTGAAGTCGGATTTTTATATGTTAGTTTATGGAGTGGAACACAAATTTAAATGAAACTGTAGAAGGCGAAATAGATAGAGCCCAAACAAAGACAATCTGCAGCAGCACTGCAACCGACGACACTCGGGTCAGTAAATATGCTCTTCATTTGTCTAAGCAGAAAACACCTGGGCCCGTAGTAAACCTCGATCATCGGAGGTGACCTCCCCTGAAGCCCATAAGTAAGGTTTCGTCAGGTGAAATGACGACCGCCCATTCCCCATGCTCTAAGAATGCAACGTCACTTGACATGTGAGCCTCCGGTTAGGTTCGGCAGGGAGTTCACCTCCCTGCCGAGTAATCAGAGGTGAGCCGAGCGATGAACTCCCGAAATAGTGTGCTAAAGAGGAGATTTAGAGGAAATTCCCGTAAGTTACTCCTGAGTAACTTACAATACACCCCTCTTCTCCTAATAATGCAGACGGATTCAACGTAAAAATGCATATGATTTTACACGTACGGCCACATCTCTGCCGCCACAGATGTGAATGATTGGCGGACGCGTTTTGACTTGTGTACCTGCTTGAACGTGAAGCACTCAATCATATCAATGTGGATGGTTGGAATTACCAATCAATGGCTCAACTGAGGTAGAGCTGACTCGTCGAAGCCTCAAATGGGGTTTTTCTCAGTTGAGATCGACTGAGGCAGCTTTACTACGGGCCCTGATTTGTCTCAAGGTGTTTCCTGCTTAGAGGCGTGGTTATATGTTCTCGTCTAGGGATTGGCATGTTCTTTGAAGTGTGGTCAAAATGTAAATCACGTTCGTGCTAACTAAAGATTTTCACAGTTTTCACTCCCGTCAATATGAATAGAACCTTGCGCAGATACATAATGTTTTAGATTTTCTGAAAAACGTTGACTCAAACGGTGGGCATGGAAGCCATGTCCGTCGTCGACTGTTTCTTTCGGAGAGACAAAGATCGCCCAGACTGCTCTTTTTCTCCTATTAAGTTCTTCCCTTGGATTGTTCCCGAAGTTTATTGGACGTCCTAGGTTCGCGTCAAAAGGCGTCTCGTAATGGTTGCTGCCTTCTACGTACCTCAGAACATCTCTGCTTCGGTGACTGCTTGAAAAAAGGCTTGGTCACCCCTAAAACGAAGATTCCATCAACTCGTAATCCTCTCTCTCATTCATTCATCATCTAGCAAAGGCAGTGAAACTCTAGCGACACTACTTGCTTCTTCGAAACTCCCCCCCCCCTTCCGATTAGAATGACATGGATCGATGAATTGGCTATATGGTTGTTGTACCTGCAGCAGCCGTCGAATGTCCTAACCTGAACCCAATCCCAGATAATCCGCTTACCTTTCTTCTTCTTCTTCTTCTTCTTCTTCTTATTCTTTTTCTTCTTCTTTATCCTCGCCATTGAACCGCCGCGCAGGGTAGGCGGTGTTGAATTTTTGTTTCCATTTGACTCAATTGGCTGCTTGTTGTGGTGTGAGGTTAGCGATATGCAGGTCGTTTCGAATGGTGTCCAACCAGCGGCTCGGGCGGTCGCGTGGTCTTCTACCCCTTGGATCTAGACGAAGTGCTGTTTTTGCTATTGTACTATCGTGACTTCGTAAAACGTGACCGTATCATCAGAGCCTTGTTCCACCATTTTATCTGTAATCGCAACACAGAAAATGTGCCGTACGTCGGTGTTCGTTACACAGTCTCTTCGCGTAAGGCTAAGTAGACATCCTATCATGAGCGTCTCCATCTTGCTCAGGACTGCTCGTGTTTATTGGTGACTGGCCAACACTCTGCTCCGTACAGGGCTATTGGTCGTACCATTTGGCGATATACTTTTTAAGATACACTGGAATTCGATCGCAGAGTACTCCCGTTACTTCACGCCATTTCAGCCAGGCTGCATTCGTCGTAGCACGTGAGTTAATTGCTTTACAATCCGGCGTTGCATGGGAGATATTTGAAAATAGTGACTTTCCTCAGTGGCTGTCCAGCGATACTGACTGTTCCGTCTGTTTGCTCCCCACATGTTAAGTAGTCTTTAACGTTCAGTCGTAAACCATACTCTGACAGACACGTCTTCCATCTCATGGATGCCTCTTCAAGCTCCTGCCTCGATCCACTTGCTAATTCGACGTCATCCGCGTAGAGAGGCGTCCACGAGTGCGGCAGTTGTATTTCTCTCGTCACGGTGTCCATGCACAATGTAAACAGCAGAGGTGATAACATCTTCGATGTACTCCTACTTGGATTGGGAATAGCACTGATGTTTCTACTGCACAGCGTACGGCTCCCGTCGGTTCGTATAAAGAAGCGTACGTGTATGTATGGTACCAGACCCTATCACAAATTGCACTAATTCGGAGTGACTTCCACGATATTCCGGATACGCGTATCGAAGACTCGTTCAAGAATCTTCATCGTATGACATGATGAGCGTCGGTATATAGAACAGTCACTGACGTCGCCTTTGTTCCTTTCAAATAGGAATGTAACACGACCACATTCGAGGTACCTTCCCCACAGCGGTAATCCGACTGAAGAGTAATGGGAGAAATTCCACTCCACGTTACACTTCATCTTCCATAATTCCGCGAATGTCATCCGGCCCTGGAGCTTCACCATCTGACATCTTCTTCAGTGCTTGCTCAATTTAATTTCCCACGATCCGGCACTGGCCCAAACGTTGGCGCTCCCGGTGGGACTGGTGGGTGCTCTTCATTGCATAAACCTTCGTAGTAATCGCTCCATCCTTTTGGGTATTTGCTTCGGCTGTCAGGAGCTTCCCCTGTTCATCTCGGATGTGCATAACGTGGTCAATGTCCTGTTTCGCTCGATGTTAGGCAGCAGCCGGTTGGTCTATCTTTTTCTAGCGGGCCCTTCCAGCTCATCGTAAATCTTGTGGTGCGCTCCTTTGCCTCAGCTACTGCACGCCTTGCTCTCGAGTTGAGCTCCAACAAAGAAATCATCGCTTGCGTGGGTGCGCTGCCAGATTCTGAAGGCATTCTTTTTCTTCTTCTCAATGACTTGCTGGATTGACTCAAACCACCACCAGATCTACTTGTCGACGAAAAGGCGTCCAGGCTAAGTGGCCCCCAAGATCTCCTCAGCCCCTAATCGTAGCTGCGAAGTAATCCGATTCCATCTATTAGGTTGTCCGGAAATTAATGCCCGTTTTAAATTTCAACCGCACTAAGTCATACACTTCTCATCACTAAATAGGTTGCAAAGTATTATTTGATAGAGCAAAGCAAGCTCTACAAGATGGCCGTCTTGCTTTTGCAACAGCTCTCATCATCTCGAGTTTCGAGCCAAAAACTAAAAATACTCAGCAGTCCGAAAAATCGAAAAAAATCGTAACTCAGTTCATAAAAAACCTACAAAAATTCTAACTTGTTCACGCAAACACTATCCACATAAGACATCAATATACGCCGTTGCCGTATTTTTTTTCTGTTAGAAACGAAGAAAACGGAAATTTTCATGCATTTGCCAAAGTAATGCTGTGCCGTCCCCACATAGGTAGTTGTATACCACAAGCCTGTAGAAGTACAGACTTGAATTTCCAGCTCTCTACAAGCTTTAGTTCTCGAGAAATACCGAATATAGCTTTCCCTAGTTAGGTGGTCCAAGCTAAAATTCAAATTTTTCGAGAACTAAAGCTTGTAGGGAGCTGAAAATTTAAGTCTGTGCTTCTACAGGCTTGTGGTATACAATTACCCATGTGGGGACGGCACAGCATCACTTTGGCAAATGCTTGAAAATTTCCGTTTTCTTGGTTTCTAACAGAGAAAAAAATACGGCAACGGCGTATTTTGATGTCTTATGTGGGTAGTGTTTGCGTGAACAAGTTAGAATTTTTGTAGGTTTTATGGACTGAGTTACGATTTTTTTCGATTTTTCGGGCTGCTGAGTCTTTTTAGTTTTTGGCTCAAAACTCGAGATGGATGAGAGCTGTTGCAAAAGCAAGATGGCCATCTTGTAGAGCTTGCTTTGCTCTATCGAATGGTACTTTGCAATATATTTAGAAATAAAGAGTGTATGACTTATTGCGGTTGAAATTCAAAACGATTAATTTCCGGACAACCTAATATTATCAATCAATTTCCCATCATCATTCGACAAATTCAAATTGTTGAATGTCCTAGCTCACTCTTCGCGCCATGTGGACGATGACTCGCCTCGCCTCTGGGGGAACCCTAGCAACTTGATAAAAATCCCTAATAGTCCGATGCATGTGACACGACTGATTCGTACACTCTCCGGCGCGTTGCTCCGCCTGGCCCTCGTCGTTTGCCGGGGTTCACCCCATTGCCAGCCGGCACCGCGGGGAGGTGACGATGGGACTTTGCCGGCAGACGGGCCGCCTATAATTTGGCTATTTCGGTATTGTTCTTCATATTCAAGAAAAGTCAGGACGAGAGGCAGGTGCAGCTTCCGGCGAATCAATAAATCTCGAAGCCGTCTAAATATGATCCATGCAGCTTAACACGTTTCGGGCCGCGAAATCGCGCGCGGCGAAAAAGAGGGTACTTTCAGCCGTTAGCCAACAAAGGGACCTTAATTCGTAGATTGTGTGCTACATCTGTAATTAGCATGTCAGATAAGATCCATACCCAAAGTTCTGAGTGAATTCGAAGTGTTTGAATTTTGTCGTCTGAGAAGGACTTCTGTGCTTTCTTGAAGGACAAGAACAAGAACTCAGTTTCTAATTGTATCCAAAAGTATCTATGTTGTACCCGACACACATCATTATTGAAATCACGGTTTTTCTCTTTGTATTCAAAGCTAAGAAAAGTTGCGACGTCGCACGCGTCGTTCGCGTTGCCGCACTTCGTTGCAATTGATGTTCGATTTGTCCTCATATCTCCTGAACAAATATCGATGGCACAGCTCTACAGACCCTTTCGAAAAGGAGGAGCTTAGACCTTTGACTTGATAACCTTGGACAAAAAGAAAACCTCCTATAAAGAGAAGATCCTTCAAAGGCGCATTCTGCACCACGTGCAGCACCGGAACGTGTTAAAGGCAGTGGATCAGCAAAGTGGACCTCAATCAGATTTTGGTGGCATTAGGCAGTGGCAAACCGAGGGAGAGGGGGGGGGGGGAATGGGTCGCGAAATTTTTGAAATTTACTTACATGGGTTATAAAAATGTGCAAGTGACTCGTTTATTCTTGTAAATAACTAGAATAACTTTTGAAATTTTTAAAAATCCAAATTGGCCTTGTAAAAAAGTTTTTTCGGTCATGAATTGGAGGGTGGGGGTGGGGCTGAGGTGTACTTGAGGGGGGGGGGAGAGGGGTGGGAGGTCTACTACCTAATGCAACAGAAGTCTGATTAGGGTCCATTTTCCCGAAAAAATGCTTCTAACTCTTCAAAACCGATTATTCTTGGCCTTGCGAGCGTCATAGATACGCGAGCGCGGAATAGTTTTTTTGGAAGGCTTGTACCGAAACTGGGAAGGGATATTGGACGCTAGCTCACCAAGTCGCTCCGTTCGCCTTTCCTCAGGAGAAGGACGGTTCTTGAGGTTGTTCCTAGTTGCGCATACAATTGAAAACCTCAACTTTCCAAATTTGAAAATACTTTACCAACATAGACAAGGGCTTTTCGGCTCAGCTGTAGTTACTCTGAACAGCAATGGACTCTACCTACTATTGTGACAATGTCAAATAAATCCGTCCACCCATGTATGCTAGGATGAATATATCCCGGGAAACATGCTTTCCAATTGGTGGATGGAATCAAAGTCGTGAGTCATTATGATGCGAGAAGAGAAGGTCATTACGATACCATTTCATTGTTTTACTTTTACTTAAAGTGCATGTCAGAAATGTTACTAATAAAGGGGACAGAGCGGTTGTTTGGTATAAGAGCATCTTCAAATCTCGGTATAACGTACACCTCTTTTGCAGAAAGAAAAAAATGTGGCATCAACTAGAATGGAAAACGAAGAAATAGTAGAAAACCATCCATCGCCCAATAATAGTAGTTCAGGAATGGAAGAAATGAATTAATCAACTGGATATAAATATGATTGCATTAGGTTTAGTGCTCAAAAAAGTAGTAAATCAAATCAGATAAAAAGTTGAAATGCTATCTTTGTACGATCAGAAATTATGGTTGCAGAACAAATTGTTACTTTTCGTTCAAGGCTCAGTAACGAGATTCTCAGAGATAGGATTTTAGCATGCTTTACCAGTAGAAAAACAATGGCTGGTCAAAACCTTTCCAGGTAAATCTCTACCTCTCCTCGATGTACGCTGAATTCCTCTAAGCGTCAAGTTAAAAGCGTTTCGCGAGGTTGAGAAACTGAAAACACCCCAGTGAGCATCCTGATTATCGTACACCAGAGTCGGTCCGTGGAGAAAGGCGGGGGAGCGCCCCTCCCCAAGGATGGGTCGCGAAATTGTTGATTCACCTACATCTTATATATAAAGCTGAATGTCTGTTTGTCTGTCTGTCTGTCTGTATGTATGTATGTATGTCTGTACGTATGTTCCGAATAGAAAATTCCATTTCTGAACCGATCCGGACCAAACTCGGCACACATACACTTCGGGCCCCGGCGGGTGTCATAGGCTACTTTTCGTCATCGATCGATATCGATTTCATCGATTTTTATCGATTTTTTTGCAAAGTTTGAGCTACGGGGCTGGGAGTTGGCACAGGGAGGTAATCGAGCATGGGGATTCCGAATACAATATTGGTTTTCAGGATTATCGATTACTTTTATCGATTTTATCGATTTTTTTGCAAAGTTTGAGCTACGGGGCTGGGAGTTGGCACAGGGGGGTAATCGAGCATGGGGATTCCGAATACAATATTAGTTTTCAGGATTATCGATTACTTTTATCGATTTTATCGATTTTTTTGCAAAGTTTGAGCTACGGGGCTGGGAGTTGGCACAGGGAGGTAATCGAGCATGGGGATTCCGAATACAATATTAGTTTTCAAAATTATCGATTACTTTTATCGATTTTATCGACTTTTTGCAAAGTTTGAGCTACGGGGCTGGGAGTTCGCACAGGGGGTAATCGAGCATGCTGATCATCCCCAAGGGGGGTGATCAGCATGCTCGATTACACCCCTGTGCCAAATTCCAGCCCCGTAGCTCAAATTTTGCAAAAAATCGATAAAATCGATAAAAGTAATGGACGATCTTGAAAACTAATATTGTATTCGTAATCAGCATGCTCGATTACCCCCCTGTGCAAAATCCCAGCCTCGCATGTCAAAATTTACAAAAAAAATCGATAAAATCGATAAAAGTAATGGACGATCCTGAAAACTAATATTGTGTTCGTAATCAGCATGCTCGATTACCCCCCTGTGCAAAATCCCAGCCTCGCATGTCAAAATTTACAAAAAATCGATAAAATCAATAAAAGTAATCGATAATTCTGAAAACTAATATTGTATTCGGAATCCCCATGCTCACTTCCCCCCCTGTGCCAACTCCTAGCCCTGTAGGTGAACTCTGCAAAAAAATCGATAAAAATCGGTAAAATCGACATCGATCGATAACGAAAAGTGGACTGTGACACCCGCCGGGGCCCGAAGTGTATGTGTGCCAAGTTTGGTCCGGATACGGCGGAGCCGGGTAAGCCAGCTAGTAGGTTATAAAAAGGCCCATCTGACTTGTTTATACTTATAGATAATTGAGATGAATTTTAAATTTTTCAAAAATCAAATTAACCTTGCGGAAAAAAATTTATAGGCGTGGCTACCCTCCGCCCCCCTTTTCCTAATATTTCGGGGTCGTGGACCCGCAAAAATCTTGGGAAGCATTTCAAAAAATTCTTGAAGTGCGTGGATCGTGAGCATAACAAAGGGGTCTATCGAGCAGAATGGGTGTCATTTCCGTATTTACCATGTCGAATAACGCCTTTGCACCAAGTCTAAACAAATCTTGAGGTTTCTCAATTTCATACAACAGCGCTTCTTTGGGGGCCAATCAAATTGTGCAGTATGGCACAATTCGATCGGCCCCCAAAGAAGCGCTCTGCTTATAGCGCTATGCTGGCCATATGCGCGCGCAAAAGGCTAGCATTATAGGCGTGGCTACTTGTTCACGCGCAAATTTTACCGCATTTACCTTCAGTGCAAGCACACTATATTAAGCGGAAAATCTACTCGACTGTACCTTGCATGCATCTCGTATTCGCCCGAGCTTAGCATGTGATCCGGATTTGTGGACTTCGTAGATCCCTTTTCGCGCAAACTTCTGTCGTCGTTTAGTTAAGGGTCTACTATTACATTACTACCAGAGCTACCCCCCCCCCTTCGTCTGATGAGACGCTGCCTTTGAACCCAACGCTTGCCCTCTGGGCACCGGGTACTACTCATTCAGAAGGTTATATACTCAAGAATGTGTGATTCAGTGTTAGTCGGGAAGTCCATAGGTCCGCACCCCTAAGTTAGTGGAGTTACTCGATCTATCGATGTTCACTATACTCCTTCGTTAGAAACAAACAAACACTTCAAAATGTACTTTTATTTTCTCGAAAAACTGCGAACATTTCTCGCCCATTTTCACCACATTGACAGTCAGGCTTAAGAATTACTTAAACGAATAATCAAAGATATAAAAAAATTTAAAAGAAAAAACACGCTTTATCGGGTTCCTCTCAACAAGTAGAAACAACAACACTCCATATAACAAACATTCTCGCTCTGCTAGGGCCCAATAGTGCTCCACTTCCCTGCGCAAACTATCTGAGATAATTGAGAAATTGAAGACGAAGATCATGGGTCGACTCTTTTCATTTCAAACAAGCAATAGTAGCCACCGAACGTCGACGAAACAGCTTCATCAAAACATGGAGATCGAATGGCTAAACAAGATAACGAGAGAAAACGTCTCATAACAAAGATGATGAAAACTGACAACTAGAGGACTGTCTACGTTGCTATACATGCAGGGTGCATAGACTGACTGGGCACGAGCAGAAATGATTGGTAGAGCAAAAGGTATTGGAGATATGGGGACACTCGACTGCGAAAAGAACAATGGAACGATGATGGCCAGATGTTGCAATGGACATACGGTTGCACTACTTAGAGCCAAGGGCAGGGAAGGCATCAAGGGAGGCGTCAAAGTGTGGCGGTGCTTGGGTACGGTTTCCTCCACGGCCGCCGCGACCACCTCCACGCGGTCCACCGCGTCCTCTTGGGGGACGATCTCCGCGGAAGCCACGGTTCGGTTCAGCGAACTGGATGTCAATATGCAAAGCTTTTTCGCGAGGCTCACGTCGAATAATCGAAACTTCTTCCTCTTCTTTATCGTCGGGCACGACTTCTTTCTGGAGTTTCACAAGTTTTCCGAAGTTCTCCTCTTCCCCTTCTCCCGCCTTGCGAACGTTGAACTTGGGAGCCTCCTTCTGAAAATCAAAATATGCCAGCTCACGCTCTTCGCAAAATAAATGCTATAGCAAAATAGAGGAGTGTGTTTACGTACGCCAACCTTGTGGGCTTCAATGTACTCCTTCAGTGTTTTCTGTTTGGCAAGTTCAGCTTCGAGAGCTTCTTGAGCCAGCTCTTCCGCCGTCTTTTCACGTGGAACCTCAGGCTCCTCGGAGGCTACGATTGGGTCTGTTTCACCAGCGAGTTCATCCTGCAAAATGATTGTGCAAACGCCAAGTCAAGAAAGAATGTAACAAAACAGGGGTCATTCAAAGTTCCCATCATCTCACTCTCTTTCAAACATTATCAATGCACCTGCAACCGCTTTCGTTTAATTCTGTCGTTTCTGACCAGAACGTTTCTTGTCATATTTATGACCTACTTGATCGCTTTGTCCAAAAACAATGCTTTTTGAAAACTCCGAGAACTCGTATACAAAACTTTGCTTGACATGATGTAGATGTGACTGCAGGATTAACAGCCATTTTAATCAATCTCATATAGTGCTACCCATGCGAGATCAAAAATTACGGATTTTGCAAGAATAGTATACTGCGGCTTTTCTTCTATATTGATTGCAAACATCAAATTCATTTTTTCTGCTTGGTTTCGCAGGGGATTATCACATTCGCATGGCAAATTTTGCGATAATCAATAGATTCACAGAAAAGAGCCGGTACAATTTACAAAACTATCGCCTACGTACCATGGAATGTATGATAATTTTGGGAACTGGTACTGACCCTTGCTGCCTTCAGCTTTTCGTGCAAAATCGCTAACACTAATACAAAATAAAAAGAATCAACGGTTTGCGATGCTATTAGACTTTCCAGTGCTAGAAGTAGTATGTGCGGGAGAATCGCACTAACATCACAAATAATCTTAGGACAAAGTGAGCTAATTTTCCAAAACAACATTCCACTCAGCGTACCATGCTGGTAACTACGGCCCTTCACCCACCTCTGCTGATCTCAAGTACCACAAGGCAGCCGTGCCAATTACATAGATTTCGTCTGGCAGTGTTTTATAAAAATAGGCGTGATTTTGCTCTAACATAAGGAACACTTTTTGGGACTATCCATATTCGTAATTTGTTGGACGGTAATTACAAGCACAAAATTCGTATCTTCAATTGAGAAAGTCCAATTACCTTATCGTCTCCCCAATTACCACGTCCATGACCATCTTTCTTGTCAACGCCACGAACACCAGTACGGTCTGAGCCACTCTGGCGATCGAACTGACGCCCACCACGAAATCCGCCGCGTCCTCGTCGTTCTCCATTGAAGCTACCACGTCCGCGTCCACGGCGTTCGCCTAGAGAGCAATTTTAATTTTGAGAGTAAGGTAGAGAAAAAAATGACATTCTCACCTTGGAATTCCACAGCGGGAGCGTCACGTGGGACTTCTTCGAATACGTCTGAGGTATCTTTAGGTACATCCGTAAACGTATTGGCATTTCCACCACGTCCACGGCTACAATGGCATAAAGTAAATATTAGCATTTACGAACCCACTGAACAGTGCAAAAAAACCGCAGCAAAATGATTAGTAATCGATACTGTATTAACATGATTGATCAACCAATATAACAACTAACTTCACGAATTCAAGAACTGCAAATAGCAACTTACAATGGAGCTCCGCGACCACGTCCACCACCGCGAGGTCCACCGCGACCCCCTCTTTCACCTCGTTCACCACGTGCTTCTCCAAAGCGTTCAGAAAAGTCCCCTTCTTGCCGAGGCGGGCGAGGGCCGCCACCACCTCGACCTCGTCCACGTCCACCACGACCACCTCTTTCACCGCCAGTTGGTTTGCTGTTCTCCTTTCCGGTGACTGAAAAAGGACTCTACCTTTCGAAAAAAACGGCTTTTCGCTTTCTTTCCAAACCGAGCTAACTTTTCCATTCTTTTTGCCTTCTAAAGTTCTGAGAAAGCATCAACCAGGATGTGGACACACTGGGCAGATTTAACAAAGTTTTTGATGGAAAAGAATCGCAATGAAGCTAGATGCGCTAGAATATTGACGTGCTATATAAGTTGAGAGTTCAAACGCATGCAAGACAAGTCTAATTCTTCTTGCTCATCGAAGGTACTAAGCAACGAAATTATAGCGGTTACAAATCAATTGTTATCGGTGACTACCCAATATCAACAGAATGATAAAGTGAAACGCGACTGTGTCTCGATGATTAACATCAATTGGACATTTGTTTTCATCCTGGGCACGTGAAAACGATCGATTGCAAAAAGACAGCAACTTTATATATAGGACACCAAAGCAATGAACAAAGCAAATTTGACCAAAATGGTACGAAACAATCACAAAAAATTTGATATTTAAAGAGCGACCAACCTGCAGGCTTTGGTGCTTCTTTCGGAGCTGCTGCTGCTTGCTTAGCCAACTTCTCAGCTTTTTTCTGGGCAGCGGCCTTCTCAGCCTCCATCTGGGTGACCCGGCTAATCAACTCCTGTGGGTCATCAAGGTCTAAAAACTTCATTTCAAGGAAAGCTCTGTTGTAGTAAAAAGAAAATAATGTAGCTATGACAGTAGATTGAAAACAATTCAAAATGCAAAGTACATGGCGAACTAACCGTCATCATCCGACATGAAGCCGAACTTGTTGGCAACATTGCAACCATACTCGACCATTTTTGTTATAGAAGAAAGATTTGTAAAGCTTTAAATGGCTTTTCGTTCCTTTGATCTCTTCTTCTTTACGGAGTAGTCCAAGTCAAAAGTCCATGCTAAATGGCCCTAAACCGAAAAACCGATAATTTAAACAAACTTGTCCTTTGCAATTTCCCCTCTTTCACGATTTACAAATGAAAATAAGAGGCGACAAACAAGAAGGAAAAGCTGGAACAACCATCACTGGTATGCGCACCAGAGCAATTATCGAACGATTTTTGTGTGTCGAGCGAGTCGACGCGCACTGAGTGGGTTCTGTGGCGAAAACTACATCACCCGCCACTTTGAAAGAAAAACGTGAACAGCTGACAAGTTTTTCATTTTGTTTTTCTTTCAGAAAAAAATTTCTTCGGTGCAAAGTGACTCGGTTAGTTGAGATTGATGTTAGATAAATATCCAAAGCAATGTGGCCGTGAGGTCCTACATAAATTGGGGTTATAGTGTTAATGTTATGTCGGCAGTGTCGATGAACGCGTAACTAGTACTCCTCTTCGCACTTCTTTCTGAAGTTTATTTCGGGGTCCTTTCCACAGTAGAGTGTGACCAATTCTGGGAGGCTCTCTGCTCCACAGCTCGCCTAGCATCCAAACGTCCCTGTCTTACCCATACCGAAATCACTGCTTGGTCATACCCAAATATCGCTATTATTGGGTTCTAGTTGATCGTTGAGGCCGGTCGTTATCGCTATCAGCGCTGATTTCCACTTGATCCACTTCGCTATCGGTGAGGTCGCCGAGTTGACCAATAGCGGTGGATCAAGCGGGTTAAGTGGATCAACTATGGTGCGTGCCTTAGGCGTAAAGGGCCGGGCATGCTTCACGCGATTGTCGCGACGCGATTTGGCGATGTTCCAAGTGTCCATAACTCATTGTAATCAAATTTTAAGTGTACTAAAGATGGGGCGTTTTATTAGTCTAGGTAAGTTATACACACTAGGCATGCGCAGTTTGCTATGTTGGATCTGAAGACTTCTGGCAAATTGCCAAATCGCGTCGCGACTGAAATCGCGTGAAGTATGCCCGGCCCTTAAGGCATACCTCACGCGATTTGACCAAATCGCGACGTCCACGCGACTTGGCATTCTGCCAGATTTTCACAAACTTGTCGGCGCTATTCCAGTATCCGGGCCCCAAAATTTTTTTGACGTGGATTTTGCTGAAACTTGGCCCAGGGGGGTTGTTCGGTCCGCTGATGCCAAATATCACATTGGTTTTATACAATAGCGTCATTTTCTCGAGTTACGGTAGGTGTGCGGTGAGGGGTCAAAGTCTCAAAATTCGCTGTAACTCCGCACAGAGGGGTTATTCGACATGCTGATTAGAAACATCACACTTTCTCCGCACAAAACGTCTCCCGCACAATTACGGTAGGTTTACGGTAGGGGTCAAAATCAATTGGTTAATGTATTTTCTCCCTGTACTTCGCTTAGGCAAAAGCCGCAGCAGGGTGTGTAGCGCGCGGCGGTGGTCGTGTGTGCAAAGCTTCACAATCCTCCGAATCGCCGTACACCCGTTTCAGGCAGAAAAAGGTTTTCCACCCGTCAACATGTACCTACCGTAACTCGAGAATATGACGCTATGGTACAGAACCAAGATGATATTTGGCATCAGGGGGCCGAATAACACCCCTGTGTCAAGTTTCAGCGAATTCTGGAATTTTGACCACTTACCGTATGCCTACCGTAACCCGAGAAAATGACGCTATGGTATAAAACCAATGTGATAATTGGCATCAGCGGGCCGAATAACCCCTGTGGTCTAAGTTTCTGCAAAATCCATGCGAAAAAATTTTTAGGGCCCGGATACTGGAATAGCGCCGAGGACGTCAATGGGGGACTATATGTCGCCGAATTTGGAAGAGTCCGCGCGGATTCCCTGCAGGAACGCATATCCGCGCATGTACAAGAGTGCGTATTTGTCGCAAATGACCGCGGGGACCGCCCCTTTTCGGCGACATATAGTCCTCTACCCGACTGAAATCGCATGAGGTATGCCTTAGGCCTTAGGGAACGGCCATAGGTTGCGGCGTTTGTCGGTGTTGTCGGGATCAGAGATAGTTTAGAGAGTGCGCGAAACGTGGAGGCTATCATGAGTTCCTACAACGACCGGCAACCTCGGCAAACCCGACAACACCGACAACCGTTGCCGGCAACCTATGGCCGTTCCCTTAGCTGACTTGGAGATAAGTCTTGAATTTTGCGAAGCAGTGAGGTTATCTGGGTCGCTGATCTTGAGTGCAAAGCACGCTGCACTGCGCCAATCCTAGTGCAGCTTCTAAATCAGACTCCAACAGCGTCCAACCTTCCTCTACCCGCCGCAACTGTAACCGCTCGAGGACAGGGTCGAAGTATAATCGAATCATTTCTAACTTACACACGCCATATTTGGTCCGCATTATCCGGTTGGTCCACTTCATTTACTTCGCTACTGGTCAAATCAGTGAACCAAGTGACCAATAGCGAAGTGGATGAAGTGAATCAAGAGCAGGTTCCGGAGAGCAGGTAGTGGTGGGTTCGAGCGCGGTTTGAAGCTTGGTTCATCTGCAGTCTATTTTGTGATGTTCATCGTGTATACTTGTTTTGCAGATTCACTATGTTTCTTGATGAACAAATTAACAAATCGCGGCAGATGATGTTGAAGAACACGTAGGTTTTTTAAAGTATTTTTTGCTTTGATTTTCTTTGCTAGCCTTTCTGCGTGTTGTTTTGCCACTGATCAGTCATCTCAATAGTATTTTGCTAAGAAATTTGAAGACTAACGAAGCTATTTCAGATCTGCATCAAATCGAGGCAGTCGTGAGCCTCTAGCTGCTCAGTGTACTGATCAGCGTAGTCTGAATCTCTTCACAATGGTCGAAACGCAGAACTATCCTACACACTTTGTTCCAATCAATTCCAATTTCGGCAACCCTCTAATTGCAGTCTTTCCTCGAATTGCCACTGATGAAGCGGAGAAGGCACCAACAAAATAGTCATGCTTTAGTCGGGAAATTTGTTTGCTATTATGCAGGAGGAAGAAGTCATGTGTACATACATATCATTCATTCTAGGACTAGGAGACGCGAGACCGCTCTGCACACATTGTCTAAACAAGCTTAATCGTGTACTTAGCGGGTTTATACTATACGGGTTTATACATTTATCTCGCCCACGTTTATTCACTTTGTGGAAACAGCAAAGAACAAACTCAGACATGTTAGAACAATGTCCGCAATGCAGTCACCCGTCTCCTTTTCGTAGAATAGATGATATAAGGTTTTAGTTCAAGGAACCTAGATTTATTTAGTTGAGGAAACATGCACCATTTGCTCCTATCATTGGCACATTTTCAAAAAGAATGACGTTGATTTTTTCTTCTGAATTATTTGCATCTGCCTGCTTTTGTATATATGTGTAAAGTCTTCTTATCAAAGCTTGTTGGACATGTCTTGGGAGTGCAATAGTTATGCTGTCAAGCGTGAACTCACAGGGCATGGCGTAGGTTTGTGATCAACTGGGAATTTGTTCTGGGGTAAAAAACAAAGGGGATATTGCTTCTGCGGGGTCCGGGGTGGAACTGACCTCGGAACATCATGTTAGTTTTCACGTATTGAACTTGTTTTTTACAAGCGCGCTAATTTCAGTTGCAAAATCTAACCAAACAAATGGCTTGCTTACAGCGTACAAACCACATGACACCAAATTTGGGTTATGTGTATACAGCATTACTCCGAAGTACATTATGTAAAAAGTTTTAAAAAGTCATGTGTCTTAGTACCTGTTCTCGATTTCTTGATTACTAGCATAGGTGCGATGGGGTGATCGGGGTCCTTCGAAAGTGAAGGGTGTCCCAGCTGATTTTGACCCCCAAAAGTGAAGGGTGTCGGAAATGTTTCGGCGTCGACCGGAGGGGGGGGGTTGAAAAAATGGTGAAAATTATAAAATTATCCAGTTTAAATGGTCAAATTCTCTAAATTGGATTTGTATGAAATATAATTAGTGAAATGTTTATAAGTAATTTGTTTTGAATTTATATAAATATTATCTCATTTTCATACACCATTTTTCGGTGAGAAGATGCATGTTTAGGTGGGTGGAACGTGTAATGTGTAAATGTGATTTCGACCGAAAATTACAATGGACAATGGCAGATACTCGAGTCTTGGAAGGTGCTGAATGAAGTTTTACCTGGAACGTACAAATGTGGATAATGTTAATAAGAGACTCCGCGATGATTAGGAATTATCGTTGCAAATAAATCCGTAAGTCGGTATCTGTGGAATACAATAAAGAAAATTTGTTGCTCAATTGTGTCCACTTGAAGCAGAGTAAACATACACAGTGTAGCACAGTGATAAGACTAGTATAACTGATGTCAGGAGAAATTCCTAGGGCAGTAAAGTCGAAGCTACGATGTTGACGATAATCAAGCAAGGTCACTTTTTCTAACTTGTGTAACTTGCAGATCACTCTCCAGTATAACTCTTGTATAAATGGGCTAAAGCCAATTTCGATCTAGATTCGGATTCTGGCCTTTAAAAGCTATACAACGATATATAATTTGTGAGGTGCAATATCTTTGCCAGGTGAGATAGTTTCCAGAGGTCCAAAGGTACCCCCCCCCCTCCACGTCAGAGCCCCATATCTCCACGGTGGGGGCATTTCATGATTTAATTTTTTTTGCATCTTCAAGAGGGAGGTCCATTTAGTATTACCTATACCCTCGCAAAGAGATTCCACGGGAGCGACTGACTTAAATTCCAAATTTACCTGTGTTTTTCAAGCGCCTTTTATTCCTTGCTGTAACTCTCCTTCAGTATATCCGATCTTTCTGCGAGGGTATAGGTAAGACTCAGTAAACCTGCCTCTGTAAGACGCAAAAAAAAACTGAAGCACGAAATGCCCCCATCGCCGAGATATGAAGCTGCAAAAAAACCCATCAAAAATCGATTTTTTTAGTATAACTCTTATATAAGTAATTAAATCAAAACGGGAATAGTGTAGGAAGATTCGTCTCGTCAAGAGCTTTCGAATGATATATAACATGTGGGGGTTTACTGCTTCCGGGTCGCGGGAAGGGGGGGTGATCGGTCTCAGTTCAGGGCGATCACCTGGCGGCGCCTCTCCAATGCATTAAGGTGGCGGGGGGTGATCGCCCTCAACTGAGACCGATCACCCCCCCCCCCCTTCCCGCGACCCGGAAGCAGTAAACCTCCACATGCTATATATCATTCGAGAGCTCTTGTTGAGTACAATCTACCTATACCCTTCCCATTCAATTTCATTCACATACAAACAAGTTGTTTGCAAAAAATCGATTTTTGGAGGTGTGATTTTTGCTCTATTTGCGACTTTATAACTCTAAGAGGAATACTTCTTAGGATCTACTTTTTTTTCGATGTGATAGAGGAAGGGTTCCTTATTAACGCCTATACTCTCGCAAGATCAAATTCTGCAAGTTACTCAAGTTATACTTACTCAAAAACTGACTTTTCTCAAATTTGGCCAACATTGTGACTGCAACTATACTGCCCTGAATATTTCTCCTGACATCATTTCTACTAATTTTATCATTGTTCTAGGCTCTATATCTTTATCTACATTAAGCGAACACAAATGAACACCATTTTTTTTTATTGTACTACATAAATATCGACATAAAATTTTATTTGCAAAAAAAATAAAACATGATCAATGCAAGGTCTTTTATTAACATATTCCACATCAATATTCTCCAGGTAAATCTGTCGTCCATCAGCACCTTTCAGGCCTCCAAAGTAACTGCCATTGTCCGCTGCCCATGTTATTGTCGGTGGAGATCATTTTTATAAGATCTGCGTTCGATCCTTCTGAAAATGCATTTGTTCATTGATATTTTTGTAATTGTGCAGAAATTCCTCACCTTCAAAAAAATTTCGTCCGTCAGGTGAAGGGGGGGGGGGGTGGTCCGACCTCCAAAGTGAAGGGGGGGTGAACTTTTGCTCACCCCATCGCACCTATGATTACTAGACCAACACCAAATCAAGTGGGTTGGTTCGGCGCTTAGATATCGAGTAGTTTCCAAAAGTTTTCAGCCTTTTTGATTCGGACGATTAGGACGTTCAAAGATTTAGCGTATAGTGAAGAGAGCGAATCCCATTGTTTTTCCTTGTGCTTTTTGCTTTTGTATTGTTATGTTGATTGAATAAGGGTTATCTTACTGATTTTGACGTCGAAGAGGATCATAAGGGACCGGACGACACGCTATGAGACTGCCTCATGCTCTGCACTTACAACGCCAGGACAGTCTCCACGCTCTTCTCCACATCAAGTACCATGTCATCGCTCTGCAGGAAACGAAGTCTAGAAAGAAGGACGTGCAACAGATGAGTGATGGGACACTCATCATTCGTGGTGAGAAGGTTCCATCACAAAACGTTGGAGGCGTTGGCTTTGTTGTCCACCCATCTATCGTCCATCTTGTCGATTCGCATGAGATCCTATCACCTCGACTAGCCATCCTACGACTACGACCTCAACGTCAGAATAAAGGATATTCGTCGGCGACTGCCCCGATTCGTGCATTTACACCACCGTGGGCGTGCATTTTTGGAGCCTTTCCAGCTTGACAGTACGCTGCATCGGGCATTGTCCTTTGGCCTCTTTTGTTGATTTAAGCATTTCACATCGTTTTCTCTTCTTATTTTTCGTATTTCAGTCAGTCATTCGTTTTCCCCTTCTCTTAGATTTTCTCGATGTTCGAATATCCTACGATCTACTTTGATGAATACTGAAAGGTGAGGAAAAACTTTGTCTAGGCACATTTGTTGAATTCCGCCTTTTACCATCAAACATCCTTTTTCAAAATGGTGAACCATCGCCTCGGGCATAATCAGATGAAAGGGTGTGCTTTGTGCTTTGGGGTGTGTCCACAAACAGTAGTGGCTATCATGGATTTTCCATAGATGAGGCCACTTTAAGGTTTATTTCAGCACTTCTACATGGTCTCTTCTCTCTGATGTAGAAGTTCTAAAGTAATCACTGCATGGTTTTTCCCGGGAAACATGTCAATTATTGTGAAACATCAAAGAAAACTTGCAATGTCAATCGTAGCCATGATATCCACCACTGCAACTACAAAAAAGGTCATTCTTTTATTTATTTTGCTGGTGCTCTTTTCTATGTTGCTCGCGGCGATGGTTTCACATAGACACTAGAACGGCTGATGTCTGAAATGAAAAATAAGAAGAAAAAAACGATGTAAAATGCTTGAATCAACAAAAGAGTCAAAGGACAGGGATGCTGCGAGCTACCAAGTCCCGGCGCGCTGCGGCGTACTGTCAAGCTGGAAAGGCTCCAAAAAGGAACGCCTGCGATAATGTAAATGCACGAAACGGGGCAGTCGTCGACGGACATCCCTTATCAGCATCATCACACCAACATCAGCAGCTGACGACTCAGAACTGGATGCTTTCTACGAAGACGTGGAGGAGGTCGTCCGCAACGAGAAGTTCTTTTACAAGTTTGTTGTGGGCGGCTTCAATGCGAAAATCGGGAAATCACACTAGAAAAGAAATATAGGATCGTTTGGATATGGACTCCGGAATGACTGCAACCATCGTTGGGCTTCTCTCCGCCGCATGGAGAAAGAACATCGCCGGTGGACTTGGGAACCGCCCAACGGAATAACTCTCATGCGGAGGTCAATCACATTCTCACCAAGCGAAGGTGAAGCTTGCTCGACGTCGCAGTAGTTCCATCCTTCTGCAGTGGCTCCGATCACCGTCTCCTTCGAGCAAAGACACGATTCAGTTAAAAGCTGGAAAAGAAAGTCTGTCACAGTGCCGCAAGACGGAAGGAAGTCGTTTTTGAGGGTAACAGGCTGGAAGAGCTCATATCAAGTTGTGACTGGACCATCGAGGAGGACTACGACTACGACCGGCTTTTAAAGGATTGCGAGCCTGTGGAGAGTGCGCCTCAGTGATTTCTGAGAAGAACTTGGAACGTATCTCGAAAACCACCAAGGAAATCCTCGAAAGAAGAAGATTTCTGCGGCAGGATCCGAATGCAACCCATCTCA